TTACTCGATGTCAGTCATTACGGATATCGTCCACATTGCTGAACAGGGGTCTAAATGTGTGTGTTACGGAGTGGTGCTTTGATCCGAGAAGAACGTGGGCAGTGGTCCGGGGGTCCGCTCATGAAGCAATTGTCTCTCAGAACAAGGCCATTTCGTCCTGAAGGAGCGTCTCATCTAGTTGTCCTCCGCTACGTTGTCACCTACAAGGGGGTTGTGGCCTGGCTTCATCCAGAACCCGCTATCTCTCGAGTGAGAGCTCTATCTAGACGTCTATCTGATCTGATTCGTGGCTGGAGGTTGGGCACGAACTCGAGCCAGATCTTCTCCTGGCTCGCCGCTTTGCCGAGAGGATGGCCCGTCCTCTTTACCTTCGTATCCTTCTGACCACTTGAAAGTCTTGATCCTTGGCGTGGCGTTCAAGCGGAGGCCATTGACCACCAGCTCGCTCTTGTTCCTCGACATATCCCCTCCCACAGTAGCAATATATGCATCTTGGCGCATAAGAGCTGCAGCTGGTTGCGCCCACAACCTTGCATCGCAAGCTACACCCCCCTCCCCTGGCTACGCTTTGATCAAACTCTGTTGTCTCTCCATTTCTGCTCTCAGCTCCAGCCCGAAATGGTGCTGCCTTTGCCCACAATGTCCCAAAGTACCTACATACGATACTTCACACCAGACCGAGAGATCGAGCGGTAACCAACGATCGGGATGCTTTGAGAATCTAGTCCACCAGCCTTCTTGGGCTGCCACACAGGCCCTGGCCTGATCTCGTCCCTGGTCCATCATCCGTAAGTACATCCTCAACAACAGCCCTGCTTCACCCCCAACCCTCCCTGCTCTCTCTCTCTCTCTCTGTAACCGTTCTTCTTTTATACATCGTTGCATCTCTTTATCTTCTGCCTCCTTCCCCTCGCTCAGCAGACTTGCAGGCTTTGCATTCTCGGCCAATATTGCATAGCTGGACAAGGTGTTCGGGCATCTCTTTCGTTTTCGTCCACACCACATTCACTTACAACCTCTCTTTTCAGCACCACTCGTTTCTTCAAGTGCCTGGCCTTGTTGCCTGGGATTGTGCTCCCCACTTTACAATAGCACATCTTGTTTCTTTATATCACCAAAGGCCGTGCTGCTGCCCTGTTTAGCGGAGTACAGTCACTTACATAGGGCATATCTCACTGCATAAGATATTCTTGTTCCTGCTGCCAACACTCACCATACATTACACATTTGGTCGGGCACATATTCACAATCGAACTAGAGATAGTTCTGAAAGAATACTCATCGCTGTCCCTCAAACTCTTGGAGAAGGCTTGGGACTTATATAGGCCCATCGCCTAGGGAAGGCAAACTCGGACAACACTTGTTTACAGTATTTTCAGATCATATCAATCAAGATGGGTCTCGCAAGCTACTTCAAAGCGAGTACCAAAAAGGCCGAGCAGGAAACTCCTGCACCGCCGCCACCAACCCAACTGGTTCCTCCTCCTCGGTTACAACAAGAAGGTCGGCAGTCAGTGCTATCGGAAAAAACTCCATCATCCGCGTCCGTCAATGATATGGACCTCCAAGCACCTACTCCTAGGTTTCATTCTCGTCGTCAGTCCAGCTCTGGCGCATCTACTCCAGCGTCAGTTCAGAGCTCTCTGTTTCTTGACGATATCAAACATGAAGTCATGGTCAACTACCTGTACCAGCAGCAGTGTTCTCAGCTCTGGGTCAGTGATGGATCGGGAGAGATTGAGGGAGTTTTGCTTCGCAAGGCTCGAGGCCACTACATGGCTTGTCCTGCGGCGCTTGCCAATTCTCCTTTTGCTTTAGCATGCGCCGCTCTCAATGTCCAGTGTGCCATGACTGTCAATTCTCGTGTCATCAAGACGTTCCTGCAGTGGTCTCCGGATGCTGTTGATGTGCCACTCATGAACGGCCTGCGAGTGCAGATCCTGCCAACGATTGACGACCTGCCGCGTGCTCGCAAGTATCAATTTGCCGCCTTTGTCGCTTCTGAAGGCCTCTTGGTTGTTTGGGATGATGACGCTCTCCATTTGGTTGCCCGTGCCAAGGCAATTGAATCCGAACTCATGGAACTGGTCTGGAAGAGGGGCAACCTGGATGAGGAAGATAACGAAGAGAAGCGAGGCCCGCCCGTTGCTGAAGTTGAAATTGACGAAGAGAGCGGCGAGATCATTCCTGAAAAGCGACCTATCCATCTTCAGAACACGGTTCTCGTGTCTCTCACCCTGGCTCTAGTCACCGTCTCTCTTGGTGCCGCCTGGAGGCAGTTGGCCATTGAGGTCTCCGTCGACAGTACATACATACGCCTGGCACTCGTTGTGCTGGCCCCTGTTCAAGTGTTTTTCACTCTGTTTTTTGGCCAAGTTATCATTGGTTGCCTGGCTCAAATCTTCGGTCCCATTCGCCAGCTTACCATCAATTCCAAATTCTATTCTGCTCGTCCTCCGCCGCGCTTGCAGAGTGCCATTTTACCTCACGTCACCATCCAGTGCCCCGTCTACAAGGAAGGTCTGCAAGGTGTCATTATGCCAACTGTCAAATCTATCAAACAGGCCATGTCTACATATGAACTTCAAGGTGGCTCTGCAAACATGTTCATCAACGACGACGGTCTGCAGCTGATTTCTGAAGAAGATCGCTTGGCTCGCATTGAGTTCTACGCTGACAACAGCATTGGCTGGGTGGCTCGTCCAAAGCACGGAGAAAACGGCTTTACGCGTAAGGGCAAGTTCAAGAAGGCTTCCAACATGAACTTTGCTCTCATGATCTCCTGCAAGGTCGAAGAGAAACTTCAGGCAATTGAGCGCCCTCCCGAATGGTCCCAGAATGACGAGGCCATGGCGTATGAGGAAGCTCTCAAGGAAGTTCTAGAGGCTGATGGACGCGCTTGGGCAGATGGCAACATCCGTATGGGAGACTACATCTTGCTTATCGACTCTGATACCCGTGTTCCTGCCGACTGCTTGCTCGATGCTGTTTCTGAGATGGAGCAGTCTCCCGATGTCGGTATCATGCAGTTTTCTTCCGGTGTCATGCAAGTTGTCCATACCTACTTTGAGAACGGCATTACCTTTTTCACCAACCTTATTTACTCTGCCATCCGATACACAGTATCAAATGGTGATGTTGCGCCATTCGTCGGCCACAATGCTATTCTTCGTTGGACTGCCATTCAGCAAGTTGCCTACCAGGATGAAGATGGATATGACAAGTTCTGGTCTGAAAGCCACGTTTCGGAAGATTTCGATATGTCACTACGTCTGCAAGTCAATGGATACATCATTCGTCTGGCTGCTTGGGCTGGTGAAGGCTTCAAGGAGGGTGTGTCTTTGACTGTCTACGATGAGCTTGCTCGATGGGAAAAGTACGCCTACGGCTGCAACGAGCTTCTGTTCCACCCCATCCGAACCTGGCTTTGGCGCGGTCCCTTTACTCCTTTGTTCCGCCGCTTCCTGTTTTCCAACATCCGATTCACGTCCAAAGTCACTGTCATTTCCTACATTGGTACCTACTATGCTATTGGAGCCGCTTGGATCCTGACTGCAGTCAACTACTTTGTCATGGGCTGGTTCAACGGCTACTTGGATAAGTACTATGTCGACTCATGGCAGGTCTGGTTTTCCATCATTATCGTATTCAACGGTCTCGGTAATGTTGCTTTGGCTGTCATGCGCTACCGTGTTGGTGAGCGCAGCTTGCTTTACGCTCTGTTTGAGAACTTTATGTGGACTCTCATGTTGGCTATTTTCCTTGGTGGTTTGTCACTGCATGTCAGCCAAGCCCTGCTGGCTCACATGTTTGAGATTAACATGACCTGGGGTGCCACCAGCAAAGAGGCTGAGTTTTCCAACTTTTTCATTGAAGTCCCCAAGGTTTTGAAGAAGGTTAGTTTTCCTTGTCAATTTTACGTCTTTGACGCGACCCTTTAACTAACGTTGTTATTTAGTTCAAATTCTCCATGCTCTTCTCACTGATATTCATCGTCGGCATGATTATTCTTGCCCAGGCGCCGTTTGTCCCCTATGACTGGCGGATCAAGGATTTCGTCGCCATTCTGCCCATGGCTACTGTTGCGGCTTCTCACTTCTTGTTGCCTCTGGCCTTGAACCCTGCCCTCATGACCTTTTCGTGGTAAAATTGATGCTTTGCATTGATTTGGTTGTTTTGCATTTTATACAGATGACGTTGGTTTGGCACACGCTTTCATACTAAGTCATAATTCACTACTTGTTAGACTTTGTTTTCTTCTGGGCACGTATAATTATTGGTATTACGAGGAGAGGCTGGGGGACTTTTTATTAAAGCGGTGGATGGGTTTTGGGAAGGATATAATCTGGGTATTAAGTATTGGTTAAAACTCTTGGGGGGCATGGCGGTGGGATTTGAGAGGGCATATAAAATTTACGGTGGACTGTGTATTCGTGATGTCTAGTATAATATAGTATAATGGGATATATACCATATAATGTCTCTCATGATCCAGTATTAGCTTTTTCAGATTTTGCCTGTCACCATTGTGCTAGCAGCTGTATTGCGCGGCACCACATCAACATTAAAGCAGCTAGATAGGTAGTAGACTCGAGCAGTTTTTCCATTCATAGACATCTTCAACATAAAAGCCTATACGAAAATTGTAAATGTATTCCCCAAAAGAAAAAGAATCTATCTGTATGCCGAAAAAACGCCTCTATGCCGATTCGTTTCGTTCCACCAATGGACTTCCAAAAGAAAAGTCGTGTATGATTTCCACCCATATCACAGTTTATCCATCTCATTCTATCTATCCAGTTCCTCCTCACAGAGCGCGAGCGCGCACGCTAGCTTCTCTACCAGAACCGCTAACACGAAACATGTATATCGCATATCCCAACTGGTGAAAAAGTGGCAAGATGCACATATCAAAGTGCCATTGAAATGTCAAAAGCAAAGAACAAAAACTTTTCTTTTCCCTTGTTAAAAAAAACGACCTGATGAAAGCCAGCTTTTTTTTACTCATCATCATCGGTGTCAGGGGGGTGAGGAGTCCCCTTGGGGCTGTTGAGCCACTCAATGTGTCTCAGACGGCGACGGACCTCGCGCTCCTTGACCTCCTTCTTGGTCATCTTCTTCTTCTTTCTAGCCTTGAACTTGAGTTCGCCGTTGTCCTCGACGCCAGAGTTGACAGCGCTGCTCACGACGGAGTTGGCTGCGGTGCTGACTGCGGTGCTGGTGACACCGCTTCCAGGGCGGCTGTCTTCGAAACGGCCAAGATCGACAGCGGCAGTTCCGCGCTGGGCGACTCGTCCATTGTCGACGTGCCACTGCTCAGAGCAAAGAGCTCCAACGAACTCTTCGTTGTGGGAAATCAGGATGACACCTCCCTTGAACTCTCGAATAGCGACGGCCAGACCTCCAAGAGAGTCTCGGTCCAAGAAGTTGGTAGGCTCGTCCAGAACCAACAAGTGAGGGTTGTTCCACATGGCACCGGCAATGACAACCTTGACCTTCTGACCACCGGACAGCGAACCAATCTCATTGTGGTTGGCGATATCAGGGTCCAGGCCGAGATCCTCAAAGTGCTTGGAGATGACGGATGGCTGAAGCTCACGGTATCCAAGACCTTCACGAGACGCCTCGTGATCATCAAACTCCTGCACCAGCTTATCGAAACCAAGCTCGAGAAGAGTCTCACGAGAGATCATAGTGTTGTACTTGGGCAGGGTTGCACGCCATTTACTATTTTAAAAGTCAGCTTAATTGATCCAGGAGAGTATGTCTTTTCAATCTGCACTTACACTTCATATTGAAACGTCTTCTTGTACTTTTGACGACCAACAAGCGATTCAATTTGCTTAGCAGGCTTGCCGTCCTTGAGGTCGATAAATTTGTCCATCTGCTCACGATCCTGCTCCGACAAAGCACGAGTCTGCTTCATGTGAACTTCACGATCGTCACCGTGCTGGTATCGCCACTGCAGATACTGGTTGGGAGTCTTCTCAAGATGCATCTCAACGTGCTCCAGGGCGTGCTGCTTGATGTAACCAATTCGAAGGTTGGGGTGCTTCTCAACCTTGCCGACCGTAGGAATGGTCTCACCGGTGAGTAACTTGATCAAAGTAGACTTGCCGGCACCGTTGGGTCCAATGATAGCCACTCGAGAAGACAAAGACAGAGAGCAAGAGACGTCTTGCAGTGAAGGCTTGGGAGCCTTGGGGTAGGTGAAGGAGACGTTGCTCATACGGATGATGGCACGGGTCTGAGACTTGATACCAGTCAAGATACCAGGGGGAGGGAATTTGAACTGGACGTTGGATGCCGAGAGGGTGTAGTAGCTCTTAGCCTCAGGGCGAAGTTCAACAAAGGCTGCAAGGTTGCCCTTGTAACAAGCGAGCTTCTTGTTGGGCTCATAATGGTAGATGTCAGTGGTGACGTTGTCCAGGAAGCCAGAGTCGTGGGACACGATCAAACTGGTGATGTCGGGGTGTGTCTTGAGATAGTTTTCAAGCCAGGCAATGTTTGCAACATCCAAGTGGTTAGTAGGTTCGTCCAACAAGAGGACATCGGCACCCTTCAGCATGGCTCGGGCCAAAGCGAGCTTCATCTTCCAACCACCAGAGAGCGAGCCGACGGCCTGAGACTGGCGACCCTCGGGGCCATCAGTAAAGCCGAATTCCAGCAAAACCTTGGAGATATGGTCATTTCCCTGAGGACCAATTTCAGGGTCCTTGGCAACAAACTCGAGAATGCTGATGTCGGCATCTTCTCCCTGGTTGTGCTCGACGTAGTATGTGCGGAGGACATCCTGAGGAGGGAAACCCTCCAGCTTACCACCGGCGATGGCCTTCATGAGGGTAGACTTTCCAGCACCGTTGCGGCCGCAAAGACCATATCTGTGACCCTTGAGAAGTCGCAGATTGGTGTGAGAAAGCAGCAGCATACCACCGTAAGCCAGAGAGAAATCCGCGTTGACAATCTCGACCTCGCCATCATCCTCCTTCTCCGGGACACCGTAGCGGCGTTCATCTTCCTCCACGTAGTGTTGCTGAATAGCATCGGCTACTTGCTGATAGGCGTCGGCAACAGGCAGCAGGTTCTTCAGGTAGGGAGCAATCTTGGCAGAGATTCGCTGAACGAAGCGGTAGTTGACATCAGTGGCGACCATCTCGCCGATGTAGTTCTTAGCAATCTGGTAAATCTCAAACTGCAGCAAAATCGCATTGTGCTTCTTGACCTCCTCATCAAGAATCTTGACAACGTCATCGGCTTTGGTTTTCGCAATAATGTCCTTGTCGTTGCCCATGGCCTTCTCCATGGTGGCAAGGGCTCTCTCTGCAATCTCGCGAACCTCTGGAAGAGAGGCGCGGTCGCAGACAGCCTTAACACCAGGTGTCAGCTTGGGAAGGAAAGTTCGAGCCTCGATAGGATCATGGACAAGCTTAGTCAAGTTCTCGACAATGACGACGGTCTGGCGGAGGACCTCTTGTGGCGTGGTGGGGGTGTTGAGAGATCGCTCGAGGAAAGGGGTCAGCAGAGCCAACACGGGGGATGTGACAATGGCCACAAATGTAGTCATTGACAGGGCGTGAATAGCCTTCTGGAGCGTCTGAGGAGACGGGTGTTGCATAGTATCGACGAGCAGGGGAATCCGAGGAGCAACATCGTCGTTGGACAAGAGGGTCGTGAGCGAGTTCATCGTCTTAACAGCCTGCTTCTCGACCTCGGTCTTCAAGTCGTGCATGCCGCCCTCGACGATGGGGATCAAGGCGGCGAGCTTGGCACCCATGGCCTCGCGAAGCACATCCTTCTCGGCAGCCTCCTCCTTGGTAATGCCCACGACCATCTGGGACTTGTCGGCCATCTTCTGCAGCAACTGGTAGGCTCCCACGGTGCCCTGCCACTTGCCCGTCTTCTTCTCCAGATACTGCGTCAACACGGGCAGCAGTCCAACAACCAGGGCCTCGGCGCTGAGGTTGGAGAAGAGTGCGTCAAGGCCATATTGGGCAGCCTCGCGGACAACGGAGCCCTTATCTGACAAGGCGTCCAGGGCACAGGCCACGGTGCTGGCATCCTGAACCAGCAGCACAACCTCGCTCAGGGACTCCCTCGGGGGGAAGCGCTCAAAGATGGCGCCCAGCAGGTTCTGGCTGCTCTCTCTCCGGAGCCCGCTCTTCTTATCAGCAGCCGCCTTCTTGACCTCTGCTAGGACGCCGTATGTGACCAGGCCGGTAGACCCGACCGAGTTGAGGAGGACTTCGCAGAGGCCGTAGCAGGCATCTATGGACGCAGAGGATGTCTGAGCAGTGAAGATTGTGTTGAGAAAGGCGGCGACATCTTCCTGTGACGGCGGGGGAGGGGCGTCTTTCGAAACCACAGTCGGGAGGCCCGACGGCGGCGAGACGGGGTGAGGCATGGCGGTGATTCTAAGCGTCCTGCTGAATCTGACTCTGTAGATGAAGAGAATAAAAAGGAAAACAAAAATAAAAAAACGAGACTTAATTCCCCAGAGCAAAGAGTCTCAGCCGCAGGACGCAAGAAGGGGCTGTGCAAAAGCAACGTCTGGGGAGAAGAAGAAAAAGAGGCGGATGTCGTCCTAGGGAAAAAGGGAAGAATTATACGGGGACAGCTGAACCGGCGCCCCCCTCTAGTGACTATTAGCGGTCACTGCACTGGCTGGAGCCCCCCAGAGCCTTAGCATCTTGGCTTATCAGCTTAGCTTCCTAAGCCCGAAGTTTTTTTTTCTCTTTTTTTTTTTTTTTTTTTGAAAAATTCTCTTATCAGCCCCTTATCTCCTTAGCTTTGCATGTGCTCGCTGACGTTATCACCACTGACAACTCCACGTGGGTCATTGGGGGCGTCATCTTTGGACGGGCAGAATGGTTGACAAATCGGTATGCGACAGGCCTCGCGGTTATTAAAAAGAGCTCATTTTAATGTTTGCCAGCTTGGTATTGCAGGTGATTCCATATTTCGTTTATAATGGTTCACACTGTATCCAACACAAATGACCATGAAACAGATAGCATTCACAAAGAGAGGTAAGGTTTGAGGCAAAATAGAATAGAACCTTGTATTCGTGTTTAAACCGAACTCATTGTCAACCAAGACCAGCATGCTTTAACTTAAAATTCGTGAACCGAGTCTACGCTTCATATATTTGTCCATCTCATTGACGCCACCACGCCTCTCCAATCAAAAGTGTAAAAGAAGAAGAAAAAAGACATCGACGGGATGAAAAGAGCCAAGAAAGGGGGGATGAAAATACACAAAAGGTATAGATATACCGCCAACATAGGGTATAATTCGAAACACATACATTAGCTATATTGCAATACGTTGCAAGAGTCGTACACCGCAGCTCCACGTATGTCCATTCTAACAATATGTGTTTCCTTCATGAATTATTTTTGTAAGTATGGATGAATAGAAAATGGGGCATCGCAATCATGGTTGCGTAAAGAAAATAACAAAAAAATGGGTGGTAAAAAGTAGCAATTGGAAAAGAAACGCGATATGCAGAGGTCATTAACATCAAGGTTCGCCCTGGCTCTCGCCTCGTAGTGCAACTGGGCCTTGGAAGCCTGCGGATGTGGGCTTGACTGCGTCCATCTCAAGGCCTCGAGAATCGAGCCTCGGTCTTTGGTCTCGGTGAAGGCCCAGTCGCTGATCACCGTTGTCATATGACTTTTTAAATTGGTAGTAAGAAGGCGTCCGAGGTCTGCACAAGACAGCCAAGATGTTTTTCCAGAAGCTGACTTGGTCAAACGGTCGGTATCGCTCGGCCTTTGTGAATTTATGAGAGTTCATGAATTCTCTCGTCGTTTCGCCGCGAGCCATCAAGAATATGTGGTATCCCATGAGGGCAGCGGGGTAGAGAAACGCAAAGACTCCCAGAATGATCAAGGCTAGAGAAACGCGGAAGTGGTTGATGGATTTGGCAAATGAGATGTTTTCATTGTTCATGAAAACAATAAGCTGGGCAAGACTGGCTCCAATCAAATAGAGTGACAAGAAGGTGGCGGATGAGACAAAGGTGAAGAAGTATCGGTAGTTGCGCTTGCCAACGCAGTTGTTGAGCCACACGCAGTGGTGGTCGTGCGTCTCCACGCAGTTGTCGCACAAACGGCAATGGTGAGCACGAGGCGGCCGCCAGATGTTGCAGGTCCGGCAGTGCTTGACGGGAAATTCCATGGCGGCGGCTGTTGGTTCCGCTGACTTTATCAGGGTCCAGTCGTTTGTCGGGGGATCGACACGGAGCGCATCTTCAAGTGAGCCGAGAGGCGGAAACTGGTGAAGATTTCGCGGGAGAATCTGGTGTCTGTTAGCACTGAAAGCCAGCAACTCTTAGGAATGTGAATTTGGAGACATGTGGATATGTCATGTCTCATCCAGGAAAATTATTAATGCCAGCACTTACCCCGGGGTCTGAGATAGAAGCATGAAGGAAAGATGAGAAGCAAATGTACGCAAGGTACGCAAAGATGATGGGGATGGCAGGAGAAACATGGTGCCACAGCCACGGTGCTTCAAAGACGAAGAATAGAACACAGGGGAGGACGATGAAAACCCCAGTGGCAATGTTGATGGGACGCTGCCTGGTGTTTTGCCATCGGCCTCCAAACCAGAACATGGTGTTGCCCTCAAAGTACTCATAGTTGCGTTGCTTGCGGATTTTGTGAGATGCTGCGGTACTCTCAGTCTTGGGCCGATGTTGGGAATCAACAGGGTTCAATCGCGGTGATGACGCAGTAGAACCAAGTTTTTCAACGCCGGCGGTGTTTCGGTTCTGGCCGCTTTGGCTCTGGTCGCGGTCTCGGTCGCCCAAGCCAGGCAGGAACGTCGATCCAAAAGACTTTGGTGTTTTCAGCATCGGGCTAGGAAAGCCCCTCATGTTCTTGTCTCCGCTGAGGTCGAGATGCGGAGGGGATTTCTCTGGATTCGAGGCCTTGCGCAGCGGTCGAACGCTTTCCGACATGCTCCCAGCCGCATAATGTCCAGTGGGGCTGGTCGCATCGGTGCCCTGGTCAAAGGTATGTTCGGTGTTGTCGGTTCCGCGGGAGGGTAGATGCCTGTGATCTTCGGTATACATGACATACTGGACGGGTGATATAGGGCTGGCCAAGGGTGCAAAGTCGTGGATAACGCTTCCATCAATATCCGTTGCGTTGTCCGGAAGGTCCCCATACTGTGGCTGGGGCGCAGCGGGTGGCTGATTCGTCGAAATGGGCCGCACAGCTCCGGCTCTCTGGGCCTGCAGCTTCTGCGAGCTCATGGGGTGGAAAAAGGCGTTTGACGTCAGAGACGGGACATGACTTCGCGAAGTCAGACTCGGCGATCGTCCCAGTGCAGAGCTCGTCGTGCTTGTGCCGCTTCCTCTCTTCCCCACGCCAGTCAAATTCTTCCTGCCACCTCCCCAAATTTTGGGGGTCGAGGCTCCCGTCCTGGATGTCTCTGGTCGGATTACCGATCCCGATTCTCTTGTTCGATGCGTCTTGGGTGCCGATGTCGACGCAACATCATCTCCTTCATCCTCGCTGGCAATGTCCGTCATATGAGAGGATACGACGCTGGCAGGGCGCTGCGCGTCGGACTTGTTGGAAATTTCGGGAGTTGAAAACGTCTGCTCGTCGCCCGACGGCGCAGCAGGCTCGTCTGGGTGCGGGGACGCCATCGTGATGGTCCCGAATGTGTGATGCTCGCAGCTGGCCCTATAACATAGCCCGTTCTGTCGTGTGATTTACTGGTGCTGTCCTTTTTTCTCTCGCTTCTGCTGTTCGAAAGCACCAGACCCGAGGATTCCGCTAAAGGGATACAAATTTGAGCGCAAGTAGAGATCGTGTGAACAGCGTGTGACAGATCGACTCGACGTTTGACAGAGCAGGCGGCTGCCGGGAACGCGCAGATAGGGGTCAAGGGACGAAGTAGCTTTCGGTCGCTGGGAAAAATGGTTCGTGTGCAAATCGTGATTATTCAGGTTAGCTGCTTTGTAAGATGAGTCGCGCAACAGAGTCGTCGTGGGTCGGATCGCGAGAGTCCACAGCAGGCGTAACGGTCAAAGGAGCGTGGCGAAAGGGCTGTATAAAAAGAAGAACAAGGGAGAGAGAGCGTAGACGAATCGAAAAAAAAAAGAAAAGGAAAGAAAAAAAAGACTGCGCAAAACTGTATGAGAGAGTGTCGGAAGCGGGGATGCTTCAAGTTGGCAAGGGAAAAAACAAAGATTCCAGGCGATAAGGCAGTTTCGGCGCTGTGAGTGAGGCAAGGCCGGAAGGACGCCCGCTCCGGCAAAAGCGGAGGAGAAGAGAGAGAGAGAAGAGAGGCCGCGAGCATTAAATTGCATCGACGTGCGTTTCTCTCGCGACGAGCGTCTCTGGGCCGTTCGTCCACTTTTCCGACAATGCCCTGCCAGCTGCTTAACGAGGCTGCAGGCATGCCGTCGGCGCAGACCCTCCTTTCCCGCAAAAGGGGCTGGGCCATTGGTGCGATTGTCTCTACGCAATTTAATGGTGGTTGCGGCCGGCGCGGCAGACGCGGTAGTCGCAGTACAGGCATGGCGTACTGGCTACGAGTGTCTTATGGGGAGATGCGGCGGCGAAGTGAGTAGCCAGTACCTGCGCGCAGCGACGGCGGTACATCCAGCCATGCTGCTGCACGGAGCACATTGCAGCCAAGGTGCGCGAATCGAGCTGCAGCCCGGGGCGTTGCATGACGGCGCAATTAACGGCCTGTGTTACCGATCAAAGCAAGACATAGACGTGCTTACAAAAGCCTTCGTATATCGATGCATAATACGGAGACGAATCGACAGGCATGCTTCGTAAGAGGAAACGAGACAAAGAGGCTCCAGCTTTGGGCGTTCAGGCACTGGCTGTGTCCTGGCAAGCTCCGGATACCTGCTTTGAGCTCTCGTCCAATCCATGTCAATGCGCCAAATCCGCCGCGTCCGCTATTGGCTCGTGGAAATTGCCCAGCTGCCATCACAGGCCTTAGCGCGTGCTGGTGTCCCAGGCGGATCGATGCCTAACCAGGATTTCTCTCATCTCCCACGCCTGTGCCTGCGCTGTGAGCTCATGGTTACCTAAGCGGTTTCTCTTTCTTTAAGATTCATGTGACTTTTCACGTGCGGCATCCCACCTTCGGCATTGGCCAATGGCAGGCTCGGAATCTCGGGCTGGGCAATTCATCATACGACCCCCCAGCTTTTAGCACCACTATTCCGGCAAGCTTTTGGCAGCAAAACCAACCTCGTTCCAAAATCGCATCTCTTCCACCCAAACCAGCCAATCCGACCCGACACAATGGCTTCCATGATCACCCGCCGTTTCTTCTCTACGACTGTTCGTCGTCTGCAGACTTCCTCCAAGCAGGAGCTGCAGGCCGAGTCCAAGCGAAACCCCGAGATCTATGTGCGTCATAATTGAAAACACGAAGCTCTTCTGCTCGGCTCCGCAATGTCGAGGCTTCAGTTCAGGTTGGGAGGAAATTGATGGCTAATGGTTCATGTGTTTCATTTACAGATCCTTGGTGGTGTCATGACCCTCGCTCTGGGCGGTGCTGGCTTCTACTTTGGTATGTATATTGATATATGCACATGCACTTTGCGTGCTATGATGCAATAACTCGCTTTACTCCCATATTCTCTTTTCCTTTAGCAGCATTAAACATAGCATAAGAAACAAAGGGCCAAATGCTAACATGGCTTTCCCAGGCCGATCTCCCACTGGTGCTACCTCCGAGGCCCCCGTCAACGTCGACAAGATGGCCTGGGAGAGCGGCTCTGGAGGCAAATACTCCTACCACCCCGGCGGCGACCCTAACGCTACTCCCCGCGATGCCCCTAGCGCTCTCAACGTTGTCATCATCCCCAACGTCACCGCTCCCAAGGAGTACCACGACAAGTTCAACAAGTGGGGCAAGGAGGGCTACCCTTAAAGAGATGGGATACGGGTTGCATGGAATTGTGTTGTGGGATGAGGAGGTGAAGGGAGAGGCAACGGCAGAGCAGGCATACCTTTTGTATTTAAGTGAGGTGGGTTCGCCCTGTGTAGACTTATGAATGGAGGTGGGGGCGTAAACATGTACATGTCTTACACCAAAACAATGACGTGAGAAAAGGGGCATAAGAAAAAGAACATATCTTTTGCTTATATTGAAAGTGAGTCGCAGCATTTACTCTTATGTATTGATATCATATTCAGACAGTTTGTTGGTCTCCCTTTTCCCTACAGGTGGATTAATCCAATGTCACTTGAGCAAAGCAGCAAAAACAAAGCAAAATAGGTCGTCGCTGTTATCATTGTGACCCTCTTCATCTCATTAACGAAGGCAAAAAATCACATCACAAAAAGCTTACACATGGAATAATCATATTCTCTCAAGTCATCTTCATCATACCCGGGGTTTCCCTTCCTTTCACCAAACGCCCTTCCATCGTAATCGTAACCCTTTTTGCTAATTCTAAGAAATAAGCAAATCTATCTCCTCGCCCGTAAATCCAAACAGGTAGAGCAGGTCCAGCATGCTCTGCCCGTTCAACCGCGCGCCCGCCTCCATCTGCACCGTTGGCTTAGCGTTCCACGCCACACCCAGGCCAGCCTTGTCCATCATCAGCAAATCGTTGGCGCCATCACCAACGGCAAGGACTTGGCACAGATCAATGCCCTCCTTCTGGGCAATCTCAACAAGGAGATCGCGCTTGCGCTCCTTTCCGACAATGACGCCCTGTACTTCGCCGGTGAGCTTGCCATTCTCAATGACCACTTCGTTGGCGTGCGCGTAGTCGATGCCTAGCTCCTTGGCCAGCCATCCCGTCAGGGGCAGGAAACCGCCAGAGAGAACGGCCGTCTTCACGCCCAGTCGTTTCAAGGCCTTGATCAAGTCCCGCACGCCGTTGGTGACTTCGAGCACTGGCCGGAGATCCTCAAAGAGCGTTGCCGGCAGACCCTTGAGTAGGGCGACTCGCTCGCGGAATGACGATTCAAAGTTGAGCTCTCCCATCATGGCCCGGTGTGTGATGTTGGCGACTCGCTCCGCAAGATCCGGCGGGTCCTTGACGGTTTCGGCCAGGAGATCAATGACCTCTTGCGTGATGAGGGTGCTGTCCATGTCAAAGACGACCAATCTGGGGTGCTTCCGCCACAGCACGTCTCTCTGCAGAGCCACGTCCACGTTCCACTCCTGTTCGAACCGGTAAATCAGCTCGTGCTTGCGCAAGTCATCCAGGCTGAGGTAGCTGGGCGCCGGCGCCGGCGTCAGGGTCAGTTCGACAACGCGCGGGCTCTCCTGGTTGTCCAAGCAGCGATGCGACGAGTGCGGCTCCTCCGCGCCGTCCGGCAGCGGAAACGTCGACATGAGATGGAGGAACGACGTGACGCACAGCGGCGAGACGTATGAGCCGTAGAGGTGGTCCAGCTGCTCCGACTCCTGCGTGGGAGGCTCCAGGGGGAAGTCGTCCATGCTGGTCGTCGGGGCCATGTTCGGGGGCAGCGACTCGGTGCTGTCGCCCAGCCCGTTCTTGGTCTTGGCCGGCGAGCGCGACCTGCTCAGGCCGCCGGACGTGCTCCTCGCGCCCGGCGCATTTCGGTCGGAGCCCTTGTAGAAGAGCGTCGCGATCAGGCGGTCCGTCTTCTGGCCGGCGGGGGGCGCGCAGTTCTGGTGCGAGTAGCTGTGGGTGACGCCGCTGTCGACAATGATGGGCGGGTGCTCGGGCGACGGCACGCCATTGAAGGGCAGCGCGGCCTTGGGCGACTTTGACGGCGACGAGTCCTCGACGACGGTGTCGATGCCGTGGTGCGCCTCGGGGATGCGGTGCTGCGGCGGGCGGTATTGCTGGTGGTCGCTCAGGTACGAGCTGCTCCGCATGCTGCTGGTGAGCTGCGGGCGCTGCGAGGACTGTTTTGCCGCGTCTGCCATGTTTATTTACTTTTGATTTGACTTGATGGCGACTTGAGATTCAACAAAGAAAAAAAAGGCTGGAGCACAGCAGCTGGATCAACGCCGGGGCTGGTGGACAGGGAAAAAAAAAAAGAAAAGGCTGGATGGGATGGACAAATCAACAGCCGCAGAGTCACAGCCTCGCACGCAAAAGAGCTCAAGTCGAGTTCAGCCTGCCCGCTACCTTTGTTTGATCGCCCGGGGCGTGGAGAAATTGCTCCGAAAGTAGGCTCGAGGGCACTAAAACAGCAAACTGGGGCGCCGGTACAGAGAATATGGTGTGATTTGCGTAATATGATGCCCGCCCGCTGGAGAGGGATGGAGTTTCTGAAATGCATGCCGCAAGGTTGCCCCGCATCTGTCAGTCCCACGTGCAATTGCGTAGGGGCTTGGACTTGGGCTGTCAAAAATGCGAGTGGCGTTTTAGGGTAAAGTATCTCGAAGATGAAATGCCAATTTGGCAATTATATCATCCCTTGTAAGTAAACGTATCGAGAATAACCGCTATTTGGTGTTAGGTGTAGGATTCAGAGGAGATTAAAATTGCTGTGAGGAGTGGTTTCATGGGTGACGTCACGCAGCCTGTATTGAAATAGAAGTGAGCTTTGGGGAAGATGAAAAGATGCTGTGAAGAGCAACTCATTGGCAGAAACCTGGCAGCTCAGCTAGATAAGATACTAAGTTGACGCCAGCGGAAAGCTCACCAAGAAATGCACTGCTGATCATTTCTGCGTACAAGTTGACTGTAATGATCTTTTCTCAGGTATGAGATATAGAAAAAGATACAGCTGATAAATGTAAATCTAAATGTCATCACCAACATCGAATTTCACACATTGGTATTATTCCAGCTATCAAGGCCTTCGCTGAAAAATAAAAATACAAAGTTCCCATATTCAATTATCCCATCATTCATTCATCCCTTAAACCTCATCCAAATACAGCCCGTCAACTCCAACTCTCCATCACAGGCTGCAGCCCCCATCGTCCCTCAGCCTTCCCACCCTGCCAATTCTTCATCAACTCAAGCCCATGATGCAGCGCCCAAATCACATGGCCCAAATCGTCCAAGTCCTCCGGCAGCGCCTCTCGGGTATCTTCAATCCACGACTGCATCGTCACCTCAAGCTTGGGCCCCCGCGTCCGCATCGCCTCCCATTCCACCGCCGACTTGGCCGTCCAGAGAGCCACCTGCGCCGTGAACTGCAGCTGCAGCGTGCGGCCCTCGACTTGGTCCCAGCCTTGCTTCAGGAACAGATACGTGCCTGATAGGATCTCGGCGGTGAGGATGGTGCGGCGCATGCTCTCATAGTAGATCCAGGCGTCCCAGCTGTCGATGCTCTTGGAAAAGGACCGGAGGCGCGGATACAGGGCTGCTAGCAGAGATTGCACAATGGCTTCGTCCCGTTCTGCGCGCATCCGTTCGCTGACGTCGTCTCTTGCAAAGTAGCGAATGCATTGATAGACGACTAGGGCTTGCAGCACAGGGAGCAGGTCGAGTCCCCTGCCAACACCACCGCTAGCAGCAGCATCATCAGATGCGGAGGTGATGGCGTGTCGGATGGACCCAATGAGACGAACCACTCGCTTGGCAACCTCGCCTCGCACGAGCGCCGCATTGGCCGTGTTCCTCATGCAATGTAGGGCACTTGCGGCGAGAGCTTCCTGCAGCACTTCTGACGACGACACCTGTGTGTGGTGGATGAAACAGTTGTGGCCCGTCATGGCCAGCATCTGCGGCTGCGAGGCAAGACGGTCGGCCGCATACTCCGTTCTGGACTGAAACACGGCCCCGATGGTCGGAGGAGTGTTTGATATGTCAAAGTATATAAATTCGGGGGTGGAGTAGTCCGATGCGGGAGACTGTTGGCCCGATGAAAGGGCATGCATCAGCCGGGGACTCGGGCCCAATGACAGCACGGCCTGATCCTGGTTTTGGGAAATGTACCCGTCTAGCTGAGACAGCAAGCCAGGTACCAGCGGACTGGGCACCGTTAGAGACGGATGCGGTGATAGATGACCTGATACGGCATCCAGGTTGCCATCCTCGCTATTGCTGCTATTATTGGCACTCGCTGCCCAGATCCCATTCACATCTTGGACAATACCACTTTCTGCGCTCGTTGGAGATGAATTCAGACCAAGCGTCTGATCTGGACTCCCAAATGCCATCCAGGGATAGACGCACTCCTTCTTCGCTCTTTTACACCGAGCGCAAGTAGGCAAGTCGAGATCGCACCGCCGTTTGCCAGCCACGCAAGCAGCACATGACTTTTTACGAGTTGATAACATGACAAAGCTGCTTTCTCCGTATCTAACGTGGTCAACACCGATAGCCCAGAATAAGACAAAACAATTGAGAAGAAAATTGCGGAAGAGAGTCAAGGAAGTTGAAGGCTCTAAGCGGGAGCGGCTGATCGGCTTCCATAATAAGTCGGCGGCGCCCCACAAAAGTGCGGAATTCCGCATGGGGCCCTCCGCATATGGGGATATTGGGGACTCCACGCCTTCACGGAGGATGGTCAAGATGCTACGAGACAGCGTGAAGGAGAATTATAGAGGGCGTTTCTGAATTTGTGGAAAGCCGCACGCAAAAAATGGCAATGATTATGAATGAAAATGTATATAAAGTGCCTTGATTGTAGAGTTGAATCGTCTTCAAACCGCAAGCATAGTTCAGCAAGTATACGCCTCGAGAGGAGCCTTTGAATTAACAATACCAAGCTCTATAACCCAAAAATCACTGAAAAATGGCAGCCACATCAAACGATGGCTTCCTGATCCCCTACCGGGTCATCTCCATCACCGATAAAACCCACAAATCCTCCTACCCGGCCATTTCGCCCTCTCGCCCCGCCCTCTCCCAGGCCGGCCGGACGGTCCTCATCACCGGCGGCAGTGGGGGCATTGGCTACGGCATTGCCCTCGCCTTTGCCGCAGCCGGCGCCGAGAAAGTCATCGTTGTGGGCAGAGAAGAGACCAAGCAAAAAGAGGCAGCTGCAAAGCTCGCTCAAGAGGCGGGCCCTGAATCACGCACCAAGTTTGAAGGGAGGGCTGCTTTGCCAAACAAGCCAGAGAGCATCGACAGTTTGTGGGACTCTCTTGAGGCGGAGGGCGTTCACGTCGATGTCCTCGTTTTGAACGCGGCTGTTACGGGCTCTGCGGCGGTATCTTCGATGTGGAACGCTGGATGGGAAGCTATCTGGGAACAGTTCATTGTCCATGTGCGTTCGCTCAACCACTATAGCGAGCGGTTCTGGAAGCAAAACAGCGATAAAAAGGTAAATATTGGGGATGTCTCTGTGTATGAGCTTCACTTTTCGAACATGCGATTCGCTGACAACTTTGCCACTGCAGAAATACCTCGTTAATGTTGCAACATCTGCAATCCACGACTGGCCCGCTGGAGAGACGACCAAGATCTATGGACTGACCAAGAATTCGGGCGTGCTCCTGCTCCAACAGCTTGCGCGGGACACTCCAGTTTCCAAGATGCAAATCGTCAGCTTTCACCCTGGGGCCATCTTGAGCCCTGGTGCGAAGAGCCATGGCGCCACTGAGCGCTCTTTGAACTGGGATGACAGTACGTGTATACCCCAAATCTCTGGACAGGAGGCCCCATCTGCCTATCACTTTCAAAAATCTCCTCTTTGCGTCATTGAATTGGCTTGTGGTCTAACCATCTTTGTCGTACAGTCAGTCTCCCCTCCTCGGTTGCCGTGTGGGCAGCTTCAGACGAGGCGGCCTTTTTGCACGGTCGGTTCATCTGGTCGGCGTGGGATGTGGAGGAGCTCCAGAGCGGGCAGCTCAGAGAGCGTATAGAAACCGATGAGCAGTATCTCCGGATCGGCGTTCACGGCGTATAGTTGCACTCATAGCATTGCAGGTGGGCAAACAGGCTTAGTGTCCTGCTGCAGCTGTGTATGATGGTACGAGTACAAACATGCATGGCATAAGCCAGGCATTGACAAGCGCTGCCAGACGCAGCAACTCGCAGCAACGAGACACGACCCAGTCCTATCCCGGCTCTTCCTCGTCACAGGAATGAGTAGCTAGTCCTTTATAAAAAGCGCATAGAGAACAAGAGCATGCCCCTCACACTTGCAGCCTATGTAATCAATAGCTTCTTCTGCAGTCATTAATAAAGCAACTCGTCTCGCGAGCTGACGCATACACTCGCTAGTAAAACATCCTTCCCCATTCAGCCAATATTCAAGCTCTCCAATGATCCCGTCGAGCGACGAGCCGACTCGGGCCCTCGCGATGATCCACACCAAGACCCATAAAATCGGGTTAAGGTGCAAATCTAATTATCCAACGGCCGTCGGCTTCCGACTCCCTCAGAGCCGCCGACAGCCCGAAGGCGCCCAAAAATGAGCCTGCCCACCGAGATGGCATCATTTTTCCAGCAAAAAAACGGCCAGAGTCGTCCCTGTTTGACCCATATCTCTAACAGCTCTTATACCTCCCGATTTCCAGTCCTTTTTGGTGTTTCCCATAAAATCATCTTCCATGACGAGCCTTGACGATTATCTTCCAGATCCTTTTCGTCATATGGGATGAGATCATTCCCTCCCTCCTTTGCGATTTCATCTCCGGCAGCCACCTCCATTTCTAAGCCAACAAGGCCCCGGAAAACCCTTCGCAGCCCCAGTATTTGCAATAATGGAGCTCTCGCAAGTAGAAGTTACTCGAATAAGTGCTGAGCAATTGTGTGAAGTACCTTGTCCATGATACTGAAATCTTTTGCCTGGGGTCCCCGCTCTCAGCCAATCAGAGGCCTTAGCTCGACATCGCGGAAGCTTTGGCGTCGATGTCGTGATCGCTCCTAGACTCAACGCCAGACGCCTAAGGAGCTTCCAAGGCGCGTGCTCAATGCAATTTGGCTGGTTTCTGCTGTTTCTGTGAGCGATGGTCCGAGGGGACTGGCCTGGTAGACTGGACGGGGGCCTGTTTAATTCGCCATCATTGGTTTCTTCGCCCGGGAGGAGAATTAGTCAGGGCGGGCTTGGTAAAGAAAGGCCACAGATTCCCCCGGAATCCCTCCTTTCATATCAAAAAGAGTGCTCCCCCAGGATTTTCAGTGATAATAAAGCAAGCCATCTTTTCTTTCTCTGCCTCAGTTTCTTCAAACCGCAACCCTCTTCTGCTCAGTGACGCACGCTCTTCATAGTCCTGGAAATTATCAGCCACTTGCATCTCTTCATCGCATCGCACTTGTGGATACAAACTGGTCGTCAGGCATATCCGCCCAATTGCTTCATCCATTGCCCAATCCAAGGGCCTTCTTCCACTTTCAACACCAACAACATAACACTCCCTTGCCATCATGTCCGTCCTCATGGAGCAAGCGGCGGCTCAGCCTTCATACACTCACGAGAAGATTGATCCCAACGACATCGAGTCTGGATATGCATCCGGCCAGTCCGACTACTCTCCGTCACCACGAACAGAAAAGCCTGTTATTTCTCTCAGCAAGTCTCACATTGAGTACCTCAACGACCAGATGGAGTCTATGCACCCCATGGACATCCTTCGGTTCTGCAGGATCATGTTCCCCAACCTCTACCAGTCGACGGCATTTGGCTTGACCGGCCTCGCCACCATGGACATGCTGTCAAAGATCCAGAAGGAGAACCCAGAGTCCCGGACGGTTGACCTCATCTTCCTTGATACTCTATATCACTTCAAGGAGACATATGATCTGGTCGATCGCGTTAGAGAGAGATATCCCAATGTTCCCATCCACATCTTCAAGCCCGACGGCATGGAGAGTGCTGAGCAGCTTGAGGAGACTTACGGAGAGAAGTTTTACCACAACGCCGGCGACATGTATGACTTCATTGTCAAGGTCGAGCCTCTTCAGCGAGCATATGATGAGCTCAAGGTCGCTGCCGTATTGAATGGTCGTCGAAGATCTCAGGGCGCCGCCCGTGGCTCTATCCCCATCATCGAGATTGATGAGGAGAGAAACATCGTCAAGATCAACCCCATGGCCACCTGGTCCTTTTCCCAGGTCAACCAGTACATCAAGGAGAACAACGTCCCCTACAACGCCCTGCTTGACCAAGGCTACAAGTCCGTCGGTGACTGGCACTCAACCGTCCCCGTTGGCGAGGGAGAAGATGAGCGCGCCGGCCGATGGAAGGGCCAGAGCAAGACCGAGTGCGGCATCCATAACAAGAAGTCCAAGTACTCTGAGATTGCCACTCAAATGGAGAGCAAGGCTGCCCCAGTCTCATGAGACTTGAGTACAGCGTGTCGTGCTCCTCTGTGGCGAGGCACGCTCAGGATATAATCCGTTATGATACGACGACCATTAATGGTTTTTGGCGATTGGAGTATTTTAAAAGGAGTTGCATCGAGGGGCCAGCATATTTGATGGAGAGATTTTCAGCCTCCTGGATACACATCATGGAAGAGGCGTTTCGGCTTGGTTTATCTGTTTTTGCGCGTTCAATCATCTTATCCCGAGAATTCCCCGGCCGAGCAGGTTGCTAAACAAAAGATGGCATTACATGCCCGTATTAGCTGTAGAGAGCGGGAGCAAATAAAAAGTAATTCATTGATGAAACCTGTTGCCACTGTGACTAAAGTTGACAAAGAAATCGTCGCTGGAGTCAGCGCTGCGTTAGAGTTTCTGGAACATTGATGTTTTTGAGCCACGGAGTGCCCCGCGCGGCGCCCCGTAGATAAGCGTCTGACAGCGATCCACGGGACTAGCAGCCAAATGCTGATAGAGCATTATCAGCACTTTTTCTCGTCTCCAGGGTAATATGAAAATGCATGTACGGTCAATTCGATAATTTATGCGATATACACTCTTTTGCACTCTGAGTAAAGCAGGCATACAATCGACTTTTATTATTCCTTTTATTCTGTTTCTTGTTATCATCCAATCATTCTAGTAGTTATAATGCAGAGTCTTAGTGCACCTTCTGCTGCCTTTAGTGAGAAAAAGGCAAAAATTCTCCAGCAGCTCGCTGTCCCTGACGCCGAATACTCTGATGCATCGCCAAAAGGCACAGTTGACGAAGGGATCCGATATCTCATTGATGAAATAAATACCGCCGAAGGGTATGTGACGACAAGTAGCTGCGCTGGTCGTGCAAGTGTCTTTCTTGAAGGTCGAAAATCCAAAACTGGCGACGGAGAGAATGGCGAGAGTGAACAAGTTGCAAGAGTAGGTGGCAAGGGAGCGGGAGGTACATGGCTATACGTCTCTCATGATCCCAAGTCCGATGGAGGCGAGGGATATTTGGATTGGATGAAGGAATTGGGATTGCCTGATGCAGCAGATGGGCTTGAGATATCCCATGATGCCAGTGATGAGAGGAGACTCATACACTTCAAGTTTGAGCCCATGGTGAGTAGCCTTATATTTTCTGTAAAGGACACTCTTTATTGAGCACTGACTGACGAATACTGTCAAGATTCTTCACGTTCTTACTGCTTCACTTGGCCACGCCCAGCTTCTGTTAAGATGCGCCCTGCAAGCAGGATTCCGAGAATCTGGCGCCATCAACATCACGTCTCCATCTGGCGAACAAACTACGCCCATGGTTGCCATCCGCTCCATGGGTTTAAGCCTCGAATCACTCATTGGCTACGAAGATGCAAAAGGACAGCGTCGACGCATAGTTCCCCCGGAGTATCTCAAGATGCTCTTGCAAATCTCCAACGAGCGCTTCGTAGAGAACACAAAGCGGATAGAGAGATTCCGAGCAGCGTTGAAAGAGGCCATACTGGAACCAAAGCCGGCAAACGCACCGAAAAGATTGAATCCTGAAGGTAGAGAGTGGGAAGATGCTGCGGCTAGGCGCGAAAGGCTGCGAGCCGAAGGGTTGAAGAGGAAAGCAGCGCTTCAAACTGAGAAGAAGGAATCGGCATCACAAGATACAGATATAGTAGACTTGCAAATGGATGCTTCTAATGAATAAAATGGATTTTTCTTCTTTTTGTTTATTGGTCATACATTGCAACTCCCATGCATGCAGCTTTTACCGCTGCCAAATTTTGCCATAGTATACACATATATACGCCTCTGTTCCAGCCCGCTCGCTCTCAAGTTTGGCCAGTGCTTGAACCACTGACGGTCATTATAAGTCTATATGCCCGTCTTTTCCGTTTTCTTCTTCTCTGTTCTTCCCATTCCGCGATTGACTCTGAAAATCCCTCTCATCTCTCTTTTTATGACGAGTTTATGCAGTCACCCTGTTAATCCATTCCTTCTCTAGCTTCTTCACCTCCGCCTTGAACGCCTCAACCTCGTCGTAGCAGACCAGCGGCTTCCTGTCGTTTTCTCTCAAGCATCGGATAACGTTGTTTCGTGCAACCTCCACGCCCTCGGGCAGTTCCCGCACCTGCTTTCGCTGCTCGAGCTTGCTGCTTAGCGCCTCGATCTCCTTGCCGACGCTATAGCGTGAGGGGCCCTTCTCTTCGGCGTCTGAAGGAGCAAGGTCGGCGAGTTTGTCGTGCGCGAGTTTCAAGGCCTCGGATTCTTTCTGGTGCAGCTTCTTGAGCTCCTCGGCAACGCGGGCCTGGATGTGCTGCTCGACTAGTCTGCTGCGAGACGCATCGGTCTGGGGTTTTATCGCCATGTTAGTTTTCTTTGGCATGAGGTCAATACGGAATATCATATCAAAGGCGTACTTCAGGGCTGGTTTGGAGCGTCTCCAGGACCGGTAGAGAGACACTGGGAGGTCCTGAGCTGTTTTGATATAAAATTTTACGTCGTCAGCTAACCAATGCGGCCGCAGGGAGGTGGATTTTGTCATGTTAGTGGAATCAATGGATTTACATACACCTTCCATGAATGACCTTGGGGCTTGGACTCTTGGGCACCCATGGTGGCGAGCTCAATGGCGATGCGACAAATATTGGATGGAGCTCGTGATACCACGCTTGGAAAATTCCGGGCGTAGTCGGCTGGCGTCACTGTGTACGGCGGCCGGCCCGGAAATTTTTCTGCCTGAGGAGCACCTGTGGCTGGTGGCGCAAACCATGTGGCGGGTGGTTATCGCATTTCAGGGTCACATGATGTTAAGCTTAGTAAGCTGCGCAGCATCCCATGTGCTGTGTGTCAATCCAGTGCGTACCATGTAAACCACAATTGGTTGATTGCCGTTAATTGTTCAAGTCAATAATAGCAACCTACAATGGAATTTACATCATAAAGAGCCAACAAGGAAAACGTTTGCATCGTTCAATACGACTGCCTGCATCTAATCACTGCATATCGACTTCAGATGAATTCTGCACTGTTTCAGATCATCCTGATGGCGGAGTCTACCAGATAAGATTGCCGACTCGATTGTGACCATTCTGTCGTCAAAAGTGAGACAATCATCACGACAAGCCAATTGTCAAGCCACTGCTGACCCCGATTAAACTGCTACTATGATAAACTACTTTATTGTAAGATGCTCATGACGGTCACCGTCGCTTCATCGGGTAGTTCGCCGAGAGAGCCGTGGGGCTTCGAGCAAGTTCTGACCCCTGGCAGTAGATGAGGATGGCCTTGGCTTCATCTTTCTGTGACAGCTAAAGGCGCCCGGTCCCGATGAGATGGAATAATTTTTTCTTCCTTTTTCCCACTAGCATCTTGCTTACTCGGCGCGCCCACGTTTTTTCCAGCTTCTGCTCTTGCTATTCCGCTATCGTATAGAAATTCCGGCCCAGTATTGGCAAGGCACGCCTGAGTGGGGAGGATGCTCGTGCGCAATTTTAGAAGTAATCTTTCGCAATATATCTTTAATATCTATCCCTAGTAACTGAACAGGCCGACCTGGATAGATGTTGGCTTTTACAAGTAGCTGCCTTTCAGGTTCAGGCCAAAGATTAACAAGGGGCAACACGACAAACATTCTAGAACAGAAATGACTCCTTATACCCTCGAGTGTCATGCCATGTGCGCATCTGCTCATGCCATTTCGTGCTGTTGGAAGTGGTAATGTGCGGTGGTAAGAGATTACTTGTACGGAGAACAGTTGATAGCATCATCCCGAAGCCCGGTGTAACGCTTGTAGTTTCTGGGGCTCTCTTGGCACACTGTCGTAGATATCTGCAGCTGAGAAATGCCTTGGCGGCAATAGCGCTCCGCAGATCTGAATGTCCATCTGCAGGCTGAAGCCTCTGACTGGCTACTCGCCCTAACCTCTCGCGTTGCATGTGGTCGGAATGGAGAGTCAGTCAGTGGCCGGCAGAGTCGTCAAGTTTGCCACTCCCTCGTGTTGCTGCTCCCTCGGTGTTCAATAATGGCACCAGTAGAACGTCGTAAAAGAAACAAAAGACGAGTCTTCCAGGCCCCCTGAACTAGGCTCTGCTATGGCATGCAGGGCCCGCCGGGTGGCTTGTTTCAGAAACACGATGGGCCAGTCAAATGGCGCCTCTGGCCGTCTAGCCCCAGCATCTGAAATGTAGCGTCGCAGCCATCCACGGTGCCCGGAAAGGCGTTGAGATGGAGCTTTTCCGCATTGGTGGTTGCTTGGGCATGCAACACGCTTCTCTGCGTCTAGCGAATCCCTGCATAGCGCTCCCGAGCAGCCCCGAGCAGTCCACAGCTCGAGTCGCGAGCGTGAGGGGACGGGCGTTTGAAGGCCTATCAGTCGCTGGGCCAGGTACAAGTAGCTGACCGAGGCTGGAAGAGGGAGAAAATGATGCAGTCAGGTAGGCAGTTTTTGGTTAGCGATAGAGAGAGAGAGAGAGAGAGAGCCTGATTTGGACTCCAGGTAGGAGATGCATCGGGCACGTGTGTTGGCAGCCACACAATAAGAGATACCAGGTACCTGTGAAACAAACCGATAACCAGCATTGGTCGTGCCATGTTGTGTACTGTCGAGTTCTCTCGAGGAAGAGGAAGAAAGATCAGAGGGAGAAAGATCGTCAGAATTAAGCGTAAACCCAAACTCATGGTATAGTTGCGTTTTCTTGTTTCTCACTCCTCCACAATATCTACAGCATGTGCAAATATTTTCAGTGCTCGCAGCTCGCAGTGGCGTCGCCGTGCTTGGTACCTGCATCTTGCGCCAGGAAACAAAGCCAGCTGGCGTTTTTAGTGGCCGCCAGCCACTGGCAGCCAGCCGAGGAACCCCTCTCTAGGCCCTCTCTGGGCGGGGCCACAGGCTGCAGGGGCGCTGTCATCGACCCGTTCAGGGCCCACGCTCGGCAGGGGGGGCGCTAACAGCTTAGCACCCCCGGCGCCCTGGACCAGCCCGCAGCCTCAACGTCCAGCAGCCATTGATCGCTGTACAGACACTGGACATGCCATCTCGAGGCCATCAGGGGGGATGTGCGCAGTCCAGGGCGAACCATTGATCCTTTTACTCTCCCTGCTCCCCTCGCTCAACTTTTGTCTTCATCATCGTTTCTTGTCTTTCCCTCGCAGCGTCGTTGGTTCGCCCCCGTCCATTCATTCTTGTCTTGAGTTTCATCTGATTCACCTGCGCTCGCTCGTCGTTTTTTCTTCTTCGGGGAGCAAAAAAACAATTAAATCAGCTACCTTCCTTTGCATCATTCCTCAGAGAGGCCTGTGATCTTTGATTCTTCGCACCATTTCCACAACCCAGTGACTGTCGGCGTCATCAACCATCTCTTCGAAACGCTCAGAAGAGCTGTTTGCAACCTATTTTGTTTCTTTTCACTCATCACAATCACACACCCCTGGCGCGGGATCGGCTCGACTACTGCGACTCTGGCGTTTCAACTATTGTGGCCGCTGCTATTGCCTAACCGCCACGCGCATACCAGCGTCTGATCGCCCGAGTGAAACGAAACTGCATAAACAAACACACCAAAAGAGAAAGACACCACATACCAAAACGCATAGCGGCCTGGGTCGCTCTCCATTTTACTGTTTTTTTTTCACTGTTTTCGAGTTCCTGGTCCTTCCTGGTCCTTGCCTGGTTCTCCATCTCCCACACTATTCAATATCCACGGGTCCACCGAAAACCGCGCGTCAGCACCCCCCGAGACGAAACGAATCTCGCAAGCAATCAATCAATCAATTTTTGGACCGGTTCATTTGGCTGAATTGGCCCGAAGCCGAGTGGCCCTTCTGGAAGCAATTTTTGGCTGCCGCTGCGGAGTAGAGCGAGCCACAAAATTGCCCGCACTCAGCGACGGGTGATTTCTGGGACCCCTGCACCACCATCGCTTCTGTTCACCCTCGACGTTGAACCATTTTCGTCTCCTTCAACTTTTCCTTCCTTTCCCACCTTCATTGTTGTACGCACAGGATGCTTTTCAACATCGGAGTGTAACACAATCGACTTTTTTTGGCCCTTTCCTCCGACCGTCCGTGCCTCCATCTCGCTACTGGGTGGCGCCATTTGGAACACGGTCGACACACTCTTTTTTCCTATTGCCAAAGAGCATCTTTTTTGGTTGACAGCTCGTTCACTCTTTTACGGCTTGTCTACTTTCAGCCTTTTGCACTTCTTGACCCTGCCTCCCTGCCTCCTCCTCCGAAAGCCATACCTCGTTTAAAAACAAAAAGACCAGCTAAAGCAGCATGGACTACCATCCGCGCCGGTTCGCTGGTGGCATCGAGTCCCTGGTTCCTACATCAGTGCTGCAGGTCAGGTCGGATAGCTCAGAGGTACAACCCAACCCAACAATCGCACCCTATACCACAGCGCTAAATGGTGTCAACCAGACGCAGAACGATTTATTTAGAGACTTACTTTGGATCAGTCTGGGAGCCGTTGGTGTCATTATCTTACTTATCAGAATCGCAGAGCTAGCATGGGCCAAGCTACGCCAAGTATCGGCCATGTCAGTGCCGCGGGAGAAGCAGGGCTACTGGAAGATTTCCCAATGGAGCTGGATGCCGGGCATGAAGAAGCATATGATCTATGCTCCTCTGTTTGGCAAACGTCACAATCGAGAGTTCCGCTTCTCCTCTGCCATCAACGTTGGCACCCTGCCGTCACGGCTGCATGCCACTCTCCTGATCTTGTACCTCGCGAGTAATATTGCGTACATGTTCATCCTGGACTGGACTCAACCAAACTACTTTTCCTTTTGCGCCGAGTTGCGAGGCCGAGCCGGCACTTTGGGCGTTGTCAACATGGTTCCCCTGATCATCATGGCCGGACGAAACAACCCTCTGATCAAGCTTTTGCAAATCAGCTTCGACACATACAATCTCCTGCATCGATGGATGGGCCGCATTGTTGTTGTCGAGATCCTCATCCATACCATTGCCTGGGCCATCCCGAGCGTTGCTAACAGCGGCTGGGCCGGGGCTTGGAAATCCGTTACCCACAGCTCGTTTCTCGGATCCGGAGGCCTTGGTACTTTGGCTCTGTTGCTGATCTTCATCCAGGCCGTCTCGCCTCTCCGACACGCCTTTTACGAGACGTTTCTCAACCTCCACATTCTCCTTGCCGCCGTGACAATCGCCTGTACATGGATCCACTGCGCTACCGCCAGCATCCCAGGTGGCCTTCCTCAGCTGTCTTGGATCATTACCATTGTGTCACTCTGGATCGCCGACCGACTTGCTCGAATTGCTCGCCTTGCGTGGGTTAACTGGTCCGACAAGGGTTTTGCAGATGCTCTGTGCGAACCTATGCCTGGCGACGTTACGAGAGTCACTTTCCGCCTGCCGCGATATGTTGACATCAAGCCAGGAACTCACGCCTATCTTCGCTTCTGGGGCGTCAACGCATGGGAGAGCCACCCCTTTTCCATTGCTTGGGTTGAGCATGAGGTCCAACACTCCCTGCCTACGTCAGAGAAGGAGCCTCTCACCGCGATGGACCGCAACAGTGCCTACACTTTGGTATCGTTCCTCATCGGCGCCCAGACTGGTATGACACGAAAGCTCTTCAACACGGTCAGAGCCTCAGAGCAAGGTCTTCGAATGAAGGCGGCGCTGGAAGGTCCGTACGCCGGACACCACAGCCTCGACTCCTACGGCCACGCCGTCCTATTCGCCGGCTCTACGGGCATCACCCACCAGATTTCCTACATTCGACACCTGCTCAATGGCTACAACGACGGTACCGTTGCGACGCGACGAGTTACGCTTGTTTGGATTATCCGGGAGTATGAATCCCTAGAGTGGGTGCGCCCATTCATGGACCAGATCCTGCGAATTCCCAACCGAAAAGATATCCTCCGCATCCAAGTATTTGTCACACGGCCCCAAAACCCTCGCGACATTGCCAGCACCAGCTCGACCGTCAAGATGTTCCCCGGACGACCCAACGTCCCGTTACTGTTGGCCAAGGAAGTGCAGGAACAGACTGGTGCCATGGTGGTCAGCGTCTGCGGGCCCGGTGCCTTGGCAGACGATGTACGAGGCGCTGTTCGGTCAGTGCAAGGCCACACGGTGATTGATTTCATTGAAGAAAGTTTCACTTGGTGATTTACGTGTATGCATATACTACTATCTGGGCGCTATGAAATGGCATTTTTTTTTCTATCCTAGATGTGAAAACCGAGGAGTTTGCCGGCGAAGAGGTGACCGTTCTTTTCTCATACCATTCGACTTGTATATATTTGATTTGCGATCTTCCGCTACGCGGGGATTTATACCATTTACAGAGGGACGTATCAGACGTTGTATAGAATTTGCATACTCCTCCATCGTTCTTTTTTACACTTTTTAAACAACGAATCGGCGCAAATGGTTGTTTTTTTATATCTTGTTTCTATAGCATAGCATCTCGGAGAAATGGACTGGCACATTTTTTTTTGTTCCTACTTTATTTGGCCCATAGCGATGCATTTACTCGTGTGATTCAACATTCTTTACCTTTTAACTTGTAATCCATTACAAGTAGACTACTATATGCCATACAGGTAGGTATAGATGGATTAGAAATGCTTCATGTTACTTGTGTCTCTTGCGATGATGAATCTTTATTCGTATCCGATATTCCTTGAGATGTACAAAAATAGTGCTCTGCTAATATGTGTCCCGCTTCTAAATCAAAACGACTAAAACCAAACAACCAGCCAGTGGTGTGATTTCCAATCTCGATGCACCCACACAGAAAATCAACGAAACGCCGTCATGCAGATCGATCTTGGCAGTTACGCCTTCAACCCTCCTTCAAACCGTTCTAGTCTCAAAATCTCGCCCCAGATCAAGGTTTCCTCCTCTTTCTCTTTGTCATATCATACCATCTTCTCCTCTGTGCCGTGAAAACTTTATGCTTCTCCAACAGCCAGCCCCAGCCCCGTCAACTGCGTAGCAATCCCCACGTCTTCTAACCCCCTGAACCCTTCCTCGACGGTCCACGCCCTGCCCTTCTCCCTGGGGTGCAAAAACTCGCATGAGCGGCCCACGACGAGGAGGCCCGGCGGGCGGCTGCCCTCTGTCTCGATGGCCTCGGCGACGTGGGCGAGGGTGGTGCGGATGACGCGCTGGTCGGGGCAGCTGGCGCGTTCGATGACGGCGCAGGGGGTGGAAAGGGGCCAGAGGGGTCTTGTTGAAGGGCCTGTGGTTTCTGATGAGGAGTGTTCGTTTTCGACGGGCGTGGTGAGTTCTGCGACTAGGCCGACGATTCGGTGGAGGGCCATGAGGAAGACGACGGTCCGCGAGGGGACGTACTCCGGCGGCTCGGGGGCTTTGCCCTTCTTGCCGGTGCCGGTGCAGATGAGGACCTGGTCGGCGACGTCGCGCTGCGTGGCGGGGATGGCGGCGAATAGGGGCGCGCTCAGAGCGCTGGTGACGCCCGGCAGGACGGTGACGGCACCGGCGGCGGAGAAGCCGTTTTGGCGGAAGTAGGCCAGCTCCTCGCCGCCGCGGCCGTAGATGAAGGGGTCGCCCTGCTTGAGGCGGAGGACCGTCTTGCCGGCCTTTGCGGCGGCGAGGGCGGCGGCGAGCAGCTCCTCCTGGGCCTGCTCGGCGTTGCCGGGGAACTTGCGGGCGATCTCGACGGGCGTGCGGCGCGGGATCAGGTCCAGCACGCCCGACGGCACGAGCTTGTCGGCGAGAACGAGGTCGGCGGACTGGATGGCGTTGTAGGTTGCGCGCGTGAGCAGGTCTGGGTGGCCGGGCCCGCTGCCGGCGAGGATGATCTTGCCGAGCGGCTGAGAGGAGCTGCCGTCGCCGTCGCCGTCGCTACCTCGGATGCGCTTTGCGAGGTCTTCCTTTGCGGTGACGGCGTAGGCCTCGAGCAGGCGGTGGACGTCGTCGTCGCTGACAGAGGCGAGCTTCTTCAGGGGCCAGTACTCGCAGACCTGACTCAACCAGCGGATTCGCCTGTTGCGCGCATCCTCCTCCGTGACGAGCTTGTTGAACAGCGCGCTCTGGTCCACGGAGTCGTCTAATTCCCCAAGACTTGCAGAGCTGGGCAGGCCGTTTGCCCTGTCATACTGCTGGATGCGCCGCCGTGCCTCGCCGAAGCGATCACACGCGGCGCCCAGGTTGGGCGGCAGCGAAGAGGCGATTTCGCGGCGGATGCGAGAGGCGAGCTTGCAGCCGCGGCCGTTTGTGGTGACGCCGATTTGGAGGGGGCCGTCGTTGTGGGTGGAGAGGAGGGAGAAGGTGCAGAGACGGGGGGCGTCGACGACGTTGATGGGGATGCGGTTGGCCTTGCAGAGAGAGGCGATGTGAGAGCCTGGACGTGTTAGTTGTTATATATATTAAAGTGTGTAGAGATTTATATTCACCTAGCTCTTCTCTTGACGAAGTCACAAAGACGGCATCAACCACTCTTCCCACTTCCTCCCTGCCCAGCTCAAAGAGATGCTCGTCCCTATACGCCGTGCGCACCCACTTGACGCTGCCGTCGTCGATTCTGCGCTGCAGGCTGTAATGCAGCTCTGCCGTCTCGGGCGCAACCAGCACGGGATGCGCGCCGGCACCGAGCGATTGGGAGCATCGTGCTGCGGCGAGGGGGTTTGTGCCGATGATGAGATGGACGTTGTTGGCGCAGTTGAGGCCGGCGAGCATGTAGTTGCTGCTGCTGCTGCTGCTGCTGCTGCTGGGAGCTTCTGCTGCTGCAGCCATTATTCTGCGCGGGACGTCGGGAGGACCGAGATCCGATGTGCTGGGGTTTGATGACTCTTCTTAATTCTTATGCTGGGTTATATATGAGATGAAAGTATTGATGAGGTACGAGGAGATAAGACTGAAGTTCTTATCAAGTGAAGTGAAGTGAGATTCTTGATAAGAAAGTGAATGAGAGGTCTCCGAGGAACAAGACTCCGAGGAAACAAGCTTTTTCTATAGTCTCGAGAGAACTTCCCTCATTCTTATCAACAGCTACGAAATATCCACCTTTCACCCAAATTCACCACTCATCGTGCCTCCCGACAGGCCGACGACCCCAGCGCCGAAGACCCGATGGTGATTTTCAATCTAGCATGGGTCTAAACTGAGGGGAGGGCCTTTTGCCTATGCCTTTTGCTTGGGAATCGATTCAGAAAACGCCGCTTCCAAGGCCGCAAAAGCTGCCGCGCAGAAAATGAACAATCTGCCACCAAGTTGACGCCATTTGGCGATGTGGGGCCGTTATCGGACGAATCACTTTTCTTTGAATGACAATTTGTCACTCCAGACCTTTTTTTTTTTTTTTAGGTCTGTGGGAATTCCGGATAGCATACTGCGAAATCAGGGGAATTGGAGAAAAAACTATTTTACATTGAATAAAACAATCGCTGGTTTTTGCCGTGATGAAACAAGAACGCTTCGTATCGAATCATAAAACTCCATGAATTCCGCCCGTGACCGTGGGTACTTCGTAACGCCTTCTTGTTTTGAGAAAACCTCGATAACTCCAAAACTCCCTTGCTGAAAATCATCTCTCCGTATGAAATGGAGCGAAAAAGACTTTGCGCCGCGCTTGACGTGAAAGAAAGGAAAGAATGAAAGATTAAAGGAAAACATGAGAAAAAAAGAGGAAAAAGGAAGAAAAAGGGAAAAAGATAAAAAAAGGGAAGTTAGCAAAGCAAAGTAAAGGGAAAGAAGGAGAGAAGGGGAAAATAAAGAGAGGAAGAAGATCAACCTGAGAATCTCCATGGCTCTCAGTACTATGTAAGAATTGGGCAAGTCATGAATGTCGAGCGTTTATATACCCCCTTTGTATCCTAATTTGTGTTGCGTGCATGTTTAAAGGAAAAGGTATGAAATAAAAAGGCCTCGGGAGAACCGGTTCAGTGCTATGACATTATATGCTTAGATACTGCGTCCGTAGTGTCCGTAGTGTTTTTCCATCCGCGTTTCTCAAGGGTAGAAAAGAAGAGAGGCAAGACTCAATGTGGGATCTGAATAGTCTCTTTTCTCAATCCTTGGGGGGGTCGTAGAACAAATACAAAGAATAGAGAGAAATATTTGCAAAAACTCCTGTTTGCAACCTGGTCGAGGTTTTGGTGAACCAATGGTGGAACATGTAAAAGAATTGAAGAAAAGACAGATTTTGTGGTTTGCAACGCCGTAGGAAGGGACGACACTTTGTGATGGAAAGCTCCGAATCCTGCTGGTCGTCCAACGAACGAGAAACGGAGGCAGAGACAAGAAAGTGATTTGAGTCGAGTTATTATTCCAGCCCCATGTAGGGATCGTCAAGCGGCATGTTGGAGACTCCCTCAAGCGGCTGCATCTGCATTGCGGCCATGGGATTTCCCTCTATGCTGCTGATGCTCTCCATGCGTTGCCGCTCCCCGTTTGCCACGAGCTTCTTCACAAAGCCCTTGGCCTCGTTCTCAACCCAACGATTGATGTTGGCATCGTTGCACTCGGTGTGATTGATTAGATGGTTCTTGATCTGGCCAACCTCCTCGCGGAGGTTTTTGAATTCCTCGCGGAGCCTGTCGTTCTGTGCTTGCAGATGCGACTGCATCTCCTTCAGCTTGTCAATGTTGACTTTCTTCTTCTGTCGACACTTGGATGCGGCTACTCTGTTCCGCTGCTTGACCTGTTCCTTCTTGTCCGAGCTGCTGCGAGTTCGCCGAGCACCCCCTTTGCTCTTAGTGCTCTTGGCGGGCTTTGGAGCGCTCCTCTTGGTGTTGGGGTTGCTAGCATCGATGTTGGTGTTGATGTCGGTGTTGATATCGGTGTTGATATCGGTGTTGGTGTTGGTGGAGGTTTCGCTTTTCGAGCTGGCTCCAAGCACTGAGTTTGAGGCGATGGAGGTGTTGCTAGGCGAATCATCCGGGTTAAGGGATGACGCTCCTTGTGTGGGAGACATGATGAACTGGGCAGTCTGATCGTTGCCCAAGGAAAAGGATGAAGCCGTATCGCTATAAGGATCCGAGTCCATCAAGCCAGGATCTTGTGTAGCTTGCGAAAAGTCCCCCATGGAGTCGAACAAGGAAGTCCACGGCTCAAGAGATGGCGCTGAGTAGGAATATGGCATTGCGCCTGCCGCCGGATTGCCCTGGCTGCAAGCAAGCAGGTCCAGCTGTGGGTCGATGGGAGCTTCCGCCATGGCGGTTTCAACACCCCTGTTCGTATACATAAGGTAGGTGGCAGTTTGTATTGGCGCTGTGGCGAGAATTACAGTGAATTTGAGACCGCGAGTGACGCCGAAGACGTGTGGATGGCCTTGTGGCGAGTCAAAGTGCGTAGGTAGGTGGGCGTTCTCAAAGTGCGATTTTGAGTTATAGCTAGCTGGTTTCTTCGTGGTGGAAACTGATGTCCTGGATCTGAGGACAATTGATGTTTTACCACAAGAGAGAGAATAGCAAGCGGCTACAACGGCACACACGAGAGCAAGAAGTGCAAAAGAGTGCAATTGTAACGAACAAGAAAAGGATGCTTGTTGCCAAAGGAGTTGTCGAATGTATGTAGTGTAGAGGATAGCTTACAGTTTTGAGCTGATGATCATGACAGACTGTAGTCTACACCTGGACACGTGTATCGTCCTTTTAAGAAAAAGAAAGAAGGGTATGTCTTATGAGTAAAAAAAAAAAAATGTTTTGTGGATTTACACGGGTCGAGAAGAGATACTTGGGCAGTCGGTGGCAATCTATATATGGATTTGTGAATCTGATGGAGAACGTGGTATTCCTCATGGAGGGGGCCATGTCATCATAGCGTTCGTCACCAATGCAAAGTGAGCCCGGTAAATTGGGGTTCCTCATTCTTTTCACTTCCTGTTTCCCCCCCCAAATTCCCCCTCTAGGTTCGCGCAGCCGGCCAGGAACAGCTTGGCGACATGTTCTTAGCTGGGGCTACATGAGCCCAGTTCTATTCTGTGGTTCTGGGGCAAAGTACCGTGAATTGCTGCGCGGCATGATCAAGCCGCAGTCAAAGAACTGCACGGCTATCTGGAGTCACTCTGAGCTGCACTTCTTCGTGCTCCCAAACGTGCTGCTGCTGGTTTCCCCAATTGATCAGATGTCGAGCCCTCGCATCAGGCACGCATCTCAGCATCTACTTGGATCGGACGGGATGTGGGAATCCCATACCAAGATTGTCGACATCACGGCTGTTAGAGCAGCAGGGGTCTTCGCCACCGTGATTTTCCTCCACTAGGCAAGGACAGCTAGATCGGATTTTTGACTTTTCGACTGCGGAAGGATCATTTTGCATCTTTACACGCAGGCCAGGCCACTTGGCCGAGCTGCCACAGCGATGTGCAGGCCGAATAGCCCAAAACAGCCATGTGTGGCGCGGGCCTCGTGGCTAGTGCGCCCAGGGCGGCGTCTGAGGCTCGTGATTCCCCGCTCCAGTGGCCCAATCAGGCAAGCTGGCGTTGCTCATGAGGGCGCCGGACCAGAAGCTCCGACCAGTGAAACCTCGTCCTCCAATAACGTCTGACACTGGCCGGCTCTCATTCACCCATGGGCATCCAGCCTTGACGTCAGGCAGTGACGGCATCGCGTTGGGCGTGCAAAGGCATTGGCCACTCGGAGCCGAGCAGAGGTGCCGTTGAGCGTTGCTGGGAGGCTGCTTACACACTTGACCTGCGAGACATGCCCAGAGCAACCGCCGAGGATCGTTGCCGTTGCTGGAGGAAACGCAGCAGTGGTTGGCTTGCGGGGAGCAGGCCGGTGGCGACAGCTTGCATACATAGCTCCGGCGAACAGACAGTACGAGCATGCAAGCCTCCGAGGAAAAGCGTGGCCCGCTCTACTGTAGCCGTCTCTGACAGGTATCTGAATTCACATGGAACGCCCTCCGACGCCCCAATCAGATGTCACCGGAACCTTTGCAGTTCTGAGACGCTTCCGAGCTCCAATCAGATGTCACCGGAACATATGCCAGCTCTTGGATACGCTAGAGAATTTGCAACTTTTTGTCTGGCTTTCATCATGATACAAGCGTTGATGACGACGATTGCATGTGCTTCCAAGGCTTCCTTTGTGGTGCGGAGGCATCGCCAACACCAATCAGATTTCTCTGGCATCTCGAGTTCTTGGCGCCAGAAACACCAGAAACAACGGGGAATTTCCTCTTCATCCTAGTACAGTGTGATGGCGATTGCGCTGCGTTTCGAGGATTACCTGGCAATATCTTGAAGGCAGTCTTGGTATTCGCTGCCGATCCTCAAATCAGGGTCCTCTCCAGTATCTGGAAAACCCGACGCTAGAAACGTGGGGGAAGCTCCCCTTTCGTCTTGGTGCAGTGCATGACTCTTGTGTTTGAGTGAGCTTGAAGCAGTGAGCTAAAAGCAGTGAACTTGAAGCAGTGAGCTTTGATGACACCTACTGCGGAAGCATCTCCATTCCAACCAGGTGATTATTCGACGCTAGAAACATGGCAAACTTTATTATTGGATGTGGTACATGGTATTACAAGTGCGCTGCGTTAACTATCATTTCAAAAGCCGAAAGGGGTGAGCCTCGGTGTCCAACACATGGTCATCCAAACTGACGATATCTGGCGTCAATTATTTAATCCGCAAGCTTGAAAGGATGGGCCTCGGTATTCAATACATAGTCATCCAAGCTGATGATGTCTGGCGTTGTGAAGAGGAGGTAAAAATACTTGAGCGTCTCGGCAAGCCAGAAACTCTGATTATCCTTGTCAGTATCCCTAACTAGATGTCATGAAGATGGAGAACAACACTCATAACTCACCTCCATATAGTCCTCCTGAGGCGGCTTCTCCGCAAACGTCGTCACGTCCAGCACCGCGGCATTCGCATACTCCGTCTTGGTGCCCTTTGCAATGGCCTCAAACATGTCCCACCCGGCATCCTGGAATTCTTTCCGTCCCGTGAGTCGATACGCGTAAAAGACGCTCTCGATGGCTTCCGGTCTCAGCAGATATCTCGGGTCTTTGGCGGTGGTGAAGCCCTTTGGCAGGTGCTCTTTCCACTCGTTGCGCTTATCACGCTCCAGCATCCAGTACTCTTCGTCCCAGGGGCAATGAGCGCGGTCCTTGCACGGCGCGAAATCGAGCCTTTCTGGCATCATGCCCGTGGGAAAGGCGCGGTATGCGTAGACGCAACCGTTGGTCAGCTTGATGCCTCGCTCGACGTCGTCTTCGTTGCTGAAGAGCCGCCCTGCTAGGCCAAACATTCCACCCACAAAACAGGCCAGATGCTCCGTTTCGGGATCAAGCACTGACTGGCCTTTTGCGTTGATGTTTACGTTGCCGGATATCAGAATGTCGTCCTCGTCGGGCAGCATTGGACGGAACAAAAAGTGCCGGTTCGCCGTCTTGAGAAACGTCCTGGACATGATGTCGTACTTGGGCTCGCCGCCTCCGAGCAGCTGATGCATCTTGGGCAGATACTCGTACAGAGAGTCGGCGCAACCGCCAAGCGTAAAGGTGCTCCCCTGGACCACGTCTTTGGCGTTCATGTTGATGTTCATCGGCCAGACTCCTGGCACCATGGTCTGGTTCTGTCCCTGGTAAAACACATCCATCAGTTGCGCCACGACACTGTAGTATTTCATGTCCCCCGTGACCTGGGACAAGTGTGCCAGCTCGAGAGACAGCGTTCCTGGCGAGGCCGATACGACGCCACCTTCGACTTGCAGTCCTCCTCCTTCTTTGGCGGCGAGGAAGTTGATGAAGTCGACGGGCATGCCGTTTTCGGTGTTGAATCCGCCATAGATGAGATCTCCCAGCTCTACTGCCTTCTTGAGCAACAGTTCCCTGCCGCTCAAATCATAGGCTGCTAGCAAACCGCCGAGATAACGGATGTTCGTCTCAAAGATGTTGATCCGGTTGCTAGTCGAATTTCCAAAGTCGATATCCGCCACTGCAGCCACTGCCTCGTCGAATTCCTCCCGCAGTCCCATAATCCAAAGCGTGTCGAGCGAATCAACCAGCGTGGCCGCCCAGCCCGAGAATTGCTCTCTTCCGCCTCCTGAAATCGGCAACAGGGCGTCTTGCATCCAGGCATGCTCCTTATACCCCTGCCATGCCCGCAAAGCGACCTTTTTCACCTCCTTCAGTCTCGCTCTCCGCTCCCGCGCCGCAGGTGATGATTCGGGTCCAAAGGGGTGCTGGATCCGTGGAAGAGGCCGCGAACTCTTCTTGGGCAGTGCTATGGTGTTGTTGGGGAGGTAGCGAAGCTTCACGGCGCCCCAGTCGAAGCTGGACTTTGACTCGGGATACTGGATTTGCGACGCGCCGTCATTCATGCGGTGCTTTAGCGAACTCCATTCTGCCGTTGATGGTGCTGGCGATGAGCCCTGGAAGCGCCATAAGACGAAGAGGATTACTGTGAAGATGATGCCATTGCGTACGAAACGCGGGCGCGCAAACATTGTTGTGGCCCTCTACAGAAATCGAATGTAGTCGCGACGCCCTTTGCGACGATGAAGCGGGAAACAAGACCATATGGCCTTACTGCAAGAAGAAATTAGTAGCAATTGGCTGGATAAAAAAAGACCGAGACACGAAACGAAATGAGGGAGAGACAAGGCAGATCACTACTACCAGCCCTACCTTATCTCACGGTAAGTTTGCAAAATAGAGTAAGCAGAAGCCACATCAACAGCCTAAAATAGAGATGAGATTCGAACAATCTGTCCGGATCCCGACGCTAAACATAGCAGGATTAGTAGCAGTAGCATCAGCTCGGGTCCCTATACAAACAATTCCAGGTTCTAGACCGGACTGTTTTTTTTTTCTATTCCCCCCCTCCTCTTGTCTCTTTTCCCCCTCCCCTGATGAATCAAGGAGCTTCCAGATGGGGAAGATCAATTTCCAAGGGATGGATTTGCATCGCGTGCCTAGCCTAAAACGCTGCTGCTGCTCGCTAGTGGAGTTTGCCTCCATGTTCTTATTTTAGAGCTTTTGCGGCAGAAGAAGACCCGCTACAGGTAGGAAGGAGTCTTGCATTGTATTTCCACAACGCTCGTACTTAGACCAGGATTGTAACTTCGTATCGGAGAGTTTCAAACTAGCAATAAGGATCCACGATGAAGAAACTTGATCAAAGAGTTTTGAATTCGAGTGAGATAGTTTTCAAAGTTGATCTGCTTCGTTTCGCTTTTTTGGCTGGTTCGTTACGGCGCGGCGCCGAGAGAACAGGTGGCGCTGCGAATATGCTTAATTTGCACCTTATTCCTTAATTTGGCTGAGGGGCGTTTGAGATGGGAAACACCCCCGCCAAGCGCCGAAAGAGGTGGGCATGCATGAACTTGGAAACATACGAGTGCGCTGCAAACGAGCATGACTTTCTAAGTTATATCTTGTTTCATAGAGAGAAGAAAGTGTTGAATGCTGAATATTTTTTTAAAGAGACAACTCATAAGCCCTGCAAAGACTTCTTAGACTATTGTACATACAACTTTCCAACTCATATATAGTACATTTTCACACACATCCATTCACCCATATTCATCGCCTCCCCCTACCCTTCTCATTCTCCATTTCAAGCTCCTCCTGCACCTCCGCATCCATCTCCCTCTCCATCTCTAGCTCCTCAATATCCTCAGCCTCCAAAATCTCCTTGATCAAATCAGTCTGTCGATCCCGCTTGCCCTTTGTCCTGCGTTCCTTTCGCGCACTCTTCTCATTCGCCGATAGACGCCCGCCATCCATTGTGATCTCGACCTTGCGAGGCTTCTTGCCGCCTTCCGCTCGTTTGCCTCCATCGTCCACCCCGCTGCCGACTCGGACGCTGCGAGACACCCTGGTCTTTGCGCCCAGAGCCCAGAGATCGCCCCAGTGCGACTTTCTCGCGTCGTGGTATGCGAGCTTGCTGTAGCTCTTGGGGACAGTCCATCGCTCAATCTTGCCTTCGGACGTGCATACGTCTAGCGTGACGTGGCCTTTGCGCTTCAACGGCGGGAGGACCATCCTGGGGAGGGTTTGCATGTCTGGTGGGCTGGGGGAGTTCTCGTATCCTGCAAAGGCTTGCTCGGTGGATTTCCATCCTGGGAGCTGGTCTGCTTTTGCGCGGCCACGTTGAATCGCCACGTAGCTAAACTCCACGTCGCCCTGGTTGTTTGTGCTGTTGCCTAGCATTTTGGTATAAAACCCAGGCCGTGTGAATCGTTGGTTGAAGTAGCAGTAATCTTTACGGCCCTTGCTTTTCCCAACTTCTTTATACATGGGACACGTTCCGTGGTTTGTGCATGGTGCGATGATGTGGCCGGGCTCTCGTTCCTTGTGATATGCCGGGTTCAATTCCTCAGTCGGAGCACTTTGCTCGCCGTTTTGAGGCAAAATGAACTGTTTCAGAAGCGTATCCCTCACGTGGGCGACTGCTTCAAATCCACGGGGATGTGCTTTTTCAATCACAATAAGCACACCGCCGTCCTTGTTAAGTAGAGTCCAGAGGTTATTCAAAACAGCTTGACGGTAATGGTCCTGCTTTTCTTTGAGGAATAGATGCGAAGCAATGATGAGATCGTAGCTTTTTCGTGCCTGAGGCTTATCACCAGCATCCAGACGCTCACCTTGCATTTCTCCCGAGTGTTCGTAATCTGGCAATCGGGGCAAGAACGTGGTGTTGGGCAGGAAACTCTTCAATCGATGCCGTAGCCGGTCTGATCCTGTGATGACGGTTTTCCTTCCGGGAGGTTGTGAGCCCTTCACCACGCCCTGTTCTCTCAATAAATCCCACTCTGCCTGGAGGACTTGGTCCCAAGCAACTAAACCAGCACCGCCAGCACCGGCGTCCAGAACGCTCAATCCTGCAGAGCCGTCTTTTTGAAGGCGTTGCTTGATCCAGCCACTGCCTAGTCGTTTTCGTACTTCCCGCAAAACTGACGCCACAGAAGCATACGAAGGAGGTAGATATCCTGCTAGAAATGCATCTGCCTCAATCTCTGTCATGTGTCGCTGATCGGGAGGCAAACCAACTCCGCCCATTTGCCCGTTTTTCCTCCCTTCCGGCGTGAATGGAGACGTCGGCAGGCCTTGTCCACCAAAAGCTGCTTCGGCAGCAGTCTTGACGTGTCCCAAATGAGTTCGATCCAAGAGATCACGTATGGGCGTAACAAGAGTGCTTTGGGGCAGCGAGATTTCGACGGGGCTTCCATGAAATCTGCCGTCCAGCGTATAAGGGTGGAATCGCCGTGACTCGCCAAGACCCATCTCCGGTTCTGCGTCTGCAGGAATCTCTTTAGACTCTGGGAATAACTCTTCTTCGTCCATTTCATATGCCTCCTGCTCGACCTCGGCCTCTTCTCTCGCAGCTGCAATTTCATCCTCCATCTGCTTCTTCTGCGCCGTCTTGAAATCCTCCATGAGCCTTTGCAGGGCTTCACGCTCTCTCGGATTTCTGGCAACAGCATCAACATAATCTGAAGGCTCTTCAACCGTTTCTACAGCAGATTCAGACTCCAAGGGCTGTTCAGACTCAGGCGATGGCTCTGGCTCATCACCCTGTCGTGGAGGAATCCTGTAAGTCACTTCCTCAAAACCTCCCTCTTCTGACTGTCGCAGCAATGTCCCCTCATCAGCTGGTCGTGGGATTAGGATTTGACCTCCCATGTCCGCATGAGTTGGAATGCCGACATCTTCTGGCGCAGTCTCTCGAAGCGGCGGACCATAAAGCCGTTCATAAAGAGCATACTCTTCTTCATTGAGATAGCCTTTTGGAAGTGTGTCTCGAAAGCGCTGCTTTGCTTCTCGGACAACCTTTTCAATATCCTCTAGGGATTGGGCCTTTGATACATCTTGAGATTCCTGAAAAGCAATACTAGAGTTGGAAAAGTATCGTCTGTTTAGTTGATACGAGCCTCGCTGAATGTGTTGTATGCGTGGGGCAGTTGATCTTCGCACTGATGATGCCGTAGAAATCGAGTGGCTGAATTGCCGCTGTGCCGTGAAGAGATATGCATAACTGCATTTTGGGCAAGCATTTTTAATTCCATTTAATGACAGCATCTTCTCCCCTTATGCCTGAAATGGCCACAAAAGAAGGTCTCTGAGTCGAAGGTTTATGAACTTTTTCCAGTTCTCATGATCACGTGATTGCTATCATTCGCCATGATTGGACATAGCTGGCATATGAGAGGTCAGCTACGAAAGATTTAGGCCCACTGCAGGAATAGCTCCATTGAACCATTTTAAGAGGAAGCTGTTCATTTTTCTTAAACTTTTTATTTCATTTGTTTCTTTCTCTGTTTGGAAAATAGGAATAAGTTCTAAGCTCCACTTATTCATGTAGCGAAAAGATTTCAATATGCCAACATGGCTTGGATAGTGCAAGAACGCTCACACACACAAACAACAGCTAATCGTCCACAACCACAACCGCCTTAGCAAAGGTATAACAATCACAAATCGGCTAGGGTTCTAAACGCTGGCTTTTGCTGTTGCTGCTGCGCCCGGGCGCTACCTGCGGGCACAGGCCCTTTGGCTGCCGTTGGTTTCATCTGCGGCGCTGGCTGTTTGTTCGGGTTAAACATGGACTGTTCGGCGGCCTTGAAAGCATCAATCTGGCTCGCTAGTTAGCAGACTTGCCCCCCTTGAACTTCCTTACGCCTCCTTGTTACGTGCCGAAAATAAAGACGTCAGGTACAGTCCGACGAGCATTAGGACAATGTTCAACAGCCCAGACACGTTCCAAGGGCGGCCCTGGCCCTGAACGGGCGCGCCGCCGCCAAGAGTCCTGCCGGGGGTCTGGAAGACCGCCTCGGCCTTCTTGCCACTGCTGCCGCTGAGCGAGACGGCCTTGTTGACAGCCTCGGTCAGGGCCGACGGGTTGGCGCCTCGGATGGTCTCGATGGCCGTGCCGTTGTGGAAGATCTTGAAGGTGGGCATGGCGGTGACGCCGTTGGTGCGGGCAATGTTGGCTTGGTTGTCGACGTTGACCTTTGCAAAGGCGACCTTTTTCGGCGAGGAGTGCTCCTTGGCGAGGCGCTCAAAGTGCGGCGCAATCATCTTGCATGGGCCGCACCAGTCGGCGTAGACTGCGATGCTTGTGTTAGTTGATTCTGTATTACTTGTTGGCGCAAAGGGCCAAAGGTGAAGACCGTACAGTCTGCGACAACCACGCTGGTGCCGGAGAGCAGTGAGTCCCACTCGCCATCGGATGCGATATGGACGGGGCCGCTCATTGTGAAGACTGAAGACGCGAATGTAGGTTCTGGGAATGATATCGTATACTGTTTGTAGTTCGCGACAGTTGCTGTTGTTGGCTCGAAGGGATTAAACGTGGCCAGCTTGGCGCATGCGACTGTCTTAATCATTCATGGCTGATAAATAGCCCGTGCAGCCAAAAACGGAGCACTGCCATGGCGTAATCAAGCTGTTGCACCTGGCAAAACAAGCAGGCGGTAGAACAGGGGATCCACTATTCTGCCGGAACTATGTAAATAATTTTGAGACGAGCTACCGCCAAAAAGCGACGCCTGGTTATTATTTTGTATTCCAGTGACAAGATAATTCACCATGTCGCACCAAGAGCGTGAAGCAAAGGTATTGCATTCCGAATTGTTTTCCAACGTGCACGATTGAATGCTAAACAGGCATACAGAAGAGAAAGCTTGCCAACAGCGGCGGCAATGCTCAACAAGCGTTCCACGCCGTCAATGTGCCGGCCCAGGAAGGAAGAGACTGGACCGTCTCTGTAGCATTCCCCAGCAGCACAATCGCAACGTACGTTATCTTTTCTCTGCATTGTAGAATCGAAAAGCTTACATCATTGTTTAAAGTCTACCTACCGCTGAACAACGAATGGCTGTTCCCAGCCGCATCGCCCGCGCCCTCGCCATCTTCTCTGTCGACGAAGTCATCGTATATGACGACTCGCTTGCGTCTTCACGCCCGCACAAGACCGACACTTCTGTCTATACCGGAGACACAGATCCGGTCCACTTCCTCACACACGTGCTGTCGTACATGGAAACCCCGCCGTTTATGCGAAAGGCGCTCTTCCCCCTGCACCCAAATCTGCGACTCACGTCCTCGCTGCCGGGTCTCGATACGGCTCACCACCCACATCCCAAAGAATCAATGCCTTATAGGGAAGGTGTCACGATTGTGGGAATGACAAAGTCCAGCACTGGCACGTTGGTCGATATCGGCCAGGAGAAGCCCGTCGAGATCAAGGAGGACATTCCTCCCAAGACGAGAGTCACTCTTAAGCTTTCGGAAGACGAGTCTGAGCCATGCGAGTGTGTGCATCCTCATGCACCTCGCACGGAAGCTGGCTTCTACTGGGGCTACACCGTCCGAAAGGCGACATCCCTCTCGGCCGTCTTCACAGAGTCTCCCTATGAGAACGGATACGATCTGAGCATCGGCACGTCTGAGCGAGGATCTCCCGCGTCCAAAGAGTTCCCGTCCTCGAAGCGTGTGCAGTTTAACCACATGCTCATCGTATTCGGTGGACCGCGAGGCATTGAGTATGCAGCCATGAACGACGAGGAACTTGGTGGGATGGGCATTCAAGGCGGGAAGACAAGGGAGCTGTTTGATCACTGGGTCGATGTGATGCCGAACCAGGGCAGCAGGACGATTCGGACGGAGGAAGCCATGTATATTGCGCTGACGGTATTGAAGCGGATTTGGGACAATGAGTAAAAGGTTTTTGAATAGAGATGATACCCCCTCTATATCTTTCAGTATATGTATATGTAATGTTACACATTTGACAGCTATTCATGTGTTCGTAGAGGGAGGACGTGCTTGTATTAAAACCTTTTCTCCACGTACTTTAGTGGCTGTATAGCAGTCTATAAGAGCCATTGTTGAAGACTCTCACCCTGTTCCATCGTTGAATCATGAGTTCTCTAGAAAATTTTCTAGTCTCGCAGATAACGCCCAATTAATAACCAAAATTTGACAAGCCTTCTTTCTTTTATACATTTATACGTCTTGTTTAATGCGCCTTGGTAGCATCCAGCGCGATCGTCTTGCCCAGACCCTCGCTCGCCACTGACGCAGCTCTATCGCCAGCCCTCTTCCTCAGGACGTTCTCAATGAATGCCTCACCAGCCTTGTAGGACGAGCGCACGAGGGGTCCACTCGCGCAATAGAGGAAGCCCATGTCCAGAGCCCGTAGGCGCCACATTTCAAACTCGTCGGGGGTGACGTATTTCTCGACCTTGAGGTGTCGCTTGGTCGGGCGCATGTACTGTCCGAAAGTGACGACGTCGACGTTGGCCTTTCGCAGTTCTATAATGATCAAGTTAGAAATCTTTTTCTTCTGCGGTTGTGATGTGATGGTGGAAGAAACGTACCTCTCAGAGCATCCATGACCTCGTGCTCTTGCTCTCCCAGACCAAGCATGATGCTAGTCTTTGTGATAATGCCCTCCTTGCCCTTGACTTCCTTGACATGATTCAACACCTTCAAGCTCTGGCGGAACGTTGCCCTGCGATCGCGCACATACGGAGTGAGGCCTTCCACAGTCTCAATGTTGTGCGCATACACATCCAATCCACTCTCAGCCACAATCTTGACCATGTCTAGGTCGCCGCGGAAGTCGCCCGTCAGGGCCTCGACAAGCAATGTCGGCTTCTTCTGCTTAATCTTGCTAATCGTCTCTGCAAAGTGTCGGGCACCGCCATCGGCCAAATCGTCGCGGTCCACGCTCGTCAGCACAACGTAGCCAAGGCCCCATCGAGCCAGTGCCTCGGCTGTGTGTTCGGGCTCATGGGGATCCAGAGGAGCAGGCGCTCGGTTCGTCTTGACACTGCAGAAGCGGCATCCTCGCGTACAAGTGTCGCCCATGAGCATGATGGTGGCCGTGGCGGCATTCTTATCGGAGCCGCCCCAGCACTCGGAGATATTGGGACACCGCGCCTCCTCGCAGACGGTGTGCAATCCCAGGCCACGCAAATCGCTCTTGATCTTCTTGTAGTTCTCGTTGCCCGCGGGGATGGACGTCTTGAGCCACTCGGGCAGTCGCGTGATGGTTCTCTTCTTGCCGGCAGGGCCGACTTCGGCCGTCTTCAGCTCGTACGCATCGCTGGGCGATAGGGACTGCACGGGAGACGAGGTCGCAATGAAATCTGAGAGCGAACCCACTGACTTGTCCTTGAAGTACGTCGTGGGCCGCGATGCTGGCTTTGCGGAAGCTTGGTTGGCGTCGGTGGGATGCGGCGGGATGGTGGCAAAAGATCTCAGGGCGGCGGGAGAAGCAGCCAGAGCCCTTCGCATGGGCGCCTGCGCTCGCTGAATTGATGGGGCTATTGAGGCCATGCTTGTATGCGTGAGATGCCTGACGCTGTGATGGATGCCCTTCCGAGAATCCCGTCTGGAGGTGGGTTATTGATGATGAGGAATGATTTGGTTGAAGAGCTATCGAAAAAAAGTTGGGGAGCCGATGGGACCCGCATCATAGCGCCGCAAGCCGGAGACTAGGTTGGATGTGCCAATAGGGAATTGTCTTTATTAATCAGCCATTTTAACGGCCAGACGTCTATGATAACGGGTGATCTTTTAACCTCTCTATTATAGACAGTGTATTATCAGTGTTCATTTTCTTTCATGCGAATCTTATCTTGTGCAATACAAGTGCATAATTTCGTACCGGTCGTGTAGGCGGCTCACTTACTTGGATAGACACAGCTCCCACGCATGTGTGCTCAATAATACGATCAACGTGGAAACATAATATGATGAGTCATGCAACATTAAAGACATCATAAGCAGAGAAATCACGCCATGAAGTAGTAAAAGAATGATACGGTGATAATGTTTATTGTACTGCCTAGTCCCAACAAGACAAACACCAGGCTCGAGATCACCGCCTGTTTTCCCTCCATAACACCGAACCTCCTCTGTTCAAACTCCAGCATCTGAATAAAATCCCAAAGGGCACAACGCCAAAACAACAAGCCTTAGAGCTGAAGACAAAGATGTAGTTGAACGCGTTCCTCTTAAAGAAACTTGGGAAGTTCGCACCAAATACAATCCAGTCCCGACTATATCGTCTCCAGTATATAAAAAGGGGGTATCACCAACAGAAGAGAATAAATACCTGTCACCCGCGAAATAGAAGTACACCAACATGCTATATGTAGATCCATGGTATCAGATCCAAAGATGTTTTGAAGAGTTGCCAAGTGTAGGGGTTATGATAAATACAGGAGGCGTAAAAAGAAGATAATTGAATTGAAATGGATCCAGCTAGCCCGCTCGCTCACACATTCAATACGTGCTGTCTCTGGTCATATTAAAGGATATAACTGTGCTTTCAAGACACTAGCTTTCAAGATTCAGTTGATTCCCACGAGTGAGAGTAGACAATGCTCAGACCAAGCATTTGAGAATCGATGAAGAATGGGCGGTCGGCGGATTGCAACCGTAGCCAATAGTCATCTTGTCAGCGACAGGAACCGCGAGCATAACAGGATCACCCAAGAATAAAAGTATCAATGGGGGAACATGAGCTCAGCAGCGCCATGGGCGCGCTCGAGCACAAGGCAAAAAAAAAGTTGGGGGAATCAAGAAGAAGAAGAAAGAAGTAGACCGCCAGGCCTTTGTGGACGAAAAGGGCCCATCCCTTTTCAACAGAAGCACGTTGTCAAATCGTCGGCGAGTCGTAAATGATCGTAGATCGTCATACAGAAGAATGGGTTTTATTTTTTCAAGATGACAAAAGAAAATGTTTGATAGATGAACGAAGAAGACAAAGATGGTTGCTGTCGCTTCATCTCTAAAATGCCCACACCCCCAAGTATTCTGTCGCTTCGCAGATTTACATCATGGCGAAAAGCATCATGCCGGCGACACCGACCAAGGCGATCTTGCTGGCCTCAAGAGCAACACCAGCGCTGTGGGGGCCACTGGTGGTAGAGGCGACAGGAGCACCGGTGGAGGGAACGACTGTAGGCTTGAAGGCGGTTGAACCAACGCTGGTGCTGACAGCAGTGCCGGTGGACTGGTAGGTGGCAGAGGCAGCAGTGGTGGTGGCGTTATGAGAGGAGGCAATGGCCGTGACGGTGTGAAGTCTGGCGAGAGTGACAGTCTTGGTCAGGACGGTGGTCGACGTCTGAGTGGTGGTGGACTGAGAGAGAGCAAGGGCCGGGAGAGCGGCGGCGGCGAACAGAGAGAACTTCATCTTGAATTCTTCGTTGTTTTTTTGGTGGTTGAGCTTTGGGGTGATGTGAATGTTTGCGCAAAAGCTGTCTAAGCGTCGCGTGAGAAATGGGTGAAGGTGTAAAGTGCAAGCGATATAGCAGCGGAATCAGGCAAGATGACGGATATCTGCGATGATACACTAGAAGTTTTGAAATGCTGTAGAACCGCTTAGCAAGTTGCATTCTCCCGTTGATCAGACCAGCGTGCTTCTGCGCTTACCTTGCTGCGAATGTTGTGAGACGTGGTTTGTTGTTTGTTGCGCGAGGCAGAGAATGAGTGAGTGTATTGTATATAATACTGGATAATCGATATCCAAGAAGCGTGGAGCTGAATGAGTGGACAAGACTTTGCCAACGAAGTCTTTTTTTGTTTATTTGCGTAGAGGTCGTGAAACAAGAGGAAACGCCAGAGCAGATGGTGAGCGAGGAGGCGAGTAGAAAAAGAAGAGACGAAACACGCTCGACGGGGACAAACGACCCAGCAAAGGCGCCATCGCAGGGCGGACTGGCTTGGAGGGTGACTGAACCACGGCCAGAGCCAATAGCGCCCACAAGTGCCCCCCAAACAAATGCGGGGCGGGTGCCGAGCGCCGTGTAGGTCGACACGACATCGTCAGCGCAGGGGGATGAGCTGTAGCATTAGGTAGACGCGACTTGGGCTCTAGCCGCGCATTGACGGCGATGAAATTAAAGTGTGTCATTTAGGTACAAGGCCAGGCTCTAATTTTCTCGCGACCTCAGGGCTTGTCGCAGACGCAAAGTCAATGCTCCTGGTGGTCGAGTTTGCGGTTTCAGTGGCTGGCTGCTTATGCCGTGGCCTCCTGTTTTAGCTTTATTTGCTTTATTTGCTTTATTATCCCTTTTCTCCTTGTTAATTCGGTCTGTTTCTCTTGTTCTCTTGTTCTTTGAACTCTCGTCGTGCATCCATCAAGCACTAATGTCGCACCGAGAAAACCCAAGCCGTCACCATCACCTCTGCAATTCGCCTCTTGTTGGTCACATTGCCCTCGCAGTTCTTCCAATACGGGCTGACAGGGCAGATCCTTTCCCAGCTAAACGAGGCCGATCTGCACTCGACGACGGCCCAAAGCGAGCCCCTCCTCCACACAAGCCCAGACCACGTTCAGGGACCCTGACCCGACGGGCCTGAAAGGGCATCGCCTGACCTCGTGGCGATTCATGCCTTGGGCCTACTTTGCCAGAAAGACAATGCTAGACGCCAGTGCAATTTAATTAGACACATCAATGTACCTGCACACGCAAGCAACGCTGGCCAAGTACACGGGTAGAGACAGTCGACGTCGGTCCCCCTTGGTGCGTTGGCGTCCGCCTTTAAATGCTTCTCATTTCCTGGCGGCTGCTGATTGGCGGCGATTGTCTCCGTTCCTGCATCGGTGCCTGGCACTTGACTGCTTTAGCGGAAAGTTACAGGCACTAGCCAGCTACTGGCTTTTTAGCGCAGCGCCTTTAGCGAAGGCTTAAATTGCTACGAGGCGCCCAAACGGGTAGTAGAGTCGAGCTCGATTTGATTTGGCCTGATTCCCTGCGTCTGATCATGACGGAATGTCTAGTCGAGCTTATTTGACGAGTCGCTGACTTGGATGTGCCCTTTTTGTGATAGACTTGACATCAGCAGCACGTGCTTTTTTCATTCATACTTGTGTCTGTTCATCTTGTGCCCGTGTACGAGTAAACTTTTATCCAGGGCAGCGCCATATTGTCGCACCACGGCCCTTGAAACTCAGCGAAACTCAGCTCTCGACCAAGCACGGGGCCTCATCGCGTAAAGCAGCAGCATTCTGCGCTCTAGCGGCGTTATAGCGGCGGTCGGGCCCCAGCTCCGAGATCTCGCGTGGGAATAGTGTCGGCTGGACTGTCAATAGCATGGAGCACGTCCCAGGAGGAAACCGGTGTTAGTGCCACAGAGCGGCCGAGCAGGTTCTAAGAAGAAGAAAGAGAAGAAAAAAAAAGAAGAATTTTCGAGTCGCTGTTTGGGGGATCTGTGGTCTTTAAAAGTCTATTTGACGGCTGTTGTTTCTGTTCTATCGAGGATGTGTTGGCAGATCACTGAAAAGCTCAGCTTACACGTATTTTACATCGGCCTATTGCAGAGTCAAGACATTCATCAAGGCTAGAAGGAATGAAGAACTTTCTATAAAAATAAAATTATCAAAAAGTACACGTACTGTATTAGTCTTTTATGGACCACCATGCTAGCTATTCAACATAGTATTGCTACATCTTCTATTCTACGCCTCAATCACCCCCCAGGCTCCTCCTCCAGGAGATTGAATCACAACGCTCTCTCCAGGGCCCAGCCTTGTAGTGGCCTTTGCACCCAGATTAATCACCCTCTTCAGTCCTGTTGCCGCATCTGTAACCTTGACGCAGTTCAGACCAGCCTCGCCGTCGCCTCCGCCCTCCATGCCGTATGGGCGTCGGGATCTTCTCTCACTGAGAATAGAGCACTGGACAGGGACGCGGAACTCAATTTCTCTGACTGTTCCATCGCCGCCTCTGTTGCGTCCTTTTCCGCCTGAGCCTTGGCGCAGCTCGAAACGACGCAAGATGCACGGATATCGCTTCTCAAAGACCTCCGGGTCTGTGATCCTCGTGTTGGTCATGTGTGTGTGAACGCCGCTCTGGCCGATCCAGTCGGGCCCAGCGCCTGAACCGCCTGCAATGGTTTCGTAGTAGCCAAAGCCCTCCTTGTGCTCTCCCGTAACGGGGTCCTTGCCGCCGGTGCCAAAGGTGAGGTTGTTGCAGCAGCCTTGGCTGGCGGCGCAGGCGTTGAATGCGCGGAGGACGACGTCTGTTACGCGTTGAGAGGTGAGGACGTTGCCTCCTACGACTGCGAGACCGTCGCCGGGAGTTAGGATGGTGCCTTCGGGGATGACAATCTTGATGGGTGTTAGACAGCCCTGGTTGAGGGGGATGGACGATGATACGAGGCAGCGGAGACAGTAGATGATGGCGGAATGGGTGATGGCGATAGGGGCATTTGTATTGCCTAGCACATGAGGGCCTGTGCCGGTAAAGTCAAAGACAGCAGAGCCATCAGGAGAAATGCTGATGGAGAGAGCGATTGGTGTTCCGTCGTCCATGTAGTCCGTTGCTGTAAGAGGTTCTGAGCCGTATGTGGCGAGCGTCTTTTTCAAGAGAGATCGCACAGCGGCCTCTGCCGTGTGCTGAATGGCGTACATGTATCGATGCACGCAAGGCAAGCCGTATTCTTCAATGAGGCCCTTGATGAGAGCAATGCCCTTTGCGTTGGCGGCGATTTGTGCCTTGAGATCGGAGATGTTGTCTTGTAGTCTACGGGTGCCTGAGCAGCCATCGTACTGGGCCGGCTCTTCTAACAATAGCCTGATGACTTCTGCCTCGTCGAAGCGGCCTTGGCTGACGAGCTTGGTGGACTGTATAGCGGCACCTTCTTGCCATAGCGCCGTGGAGGTTGGTGGCATGGAGCCTGGAAGAATACCGCCAATGTCAGCGTGATGGCCGCGAGAGGCAACGTAGAAAGCGAGTTCATCGCCGTCAAACACAGGAGTAATGACTGTGATGTCGGGAAGATGCGTGCCGCCGCATGAAGGGTGATTCGACATGAGGACGTCGCCATCACGGAGCTTGCCCTCCCACAGGCGATGCTGATACTGGACGGCGAATTGCATGGAGCCCAGGTGCACTGGAACGTGTGGCGCATTGGCGACAAGGCCGCCGTCGGGGCTAAAGATTGCGCATGAGAAGTCGAGGCGCTCCTTGATGTTGGTTGATACGGCGGTCCGTCGCAGTGTGCGGCCCATTTGCTCGGCGATACCCATGAATCTGTGGCCAAAAACTGTGAGCTGGATGGGGCTGAATTCTTCCTCTCCGTCTTTTGACTTTGATACTGTTTTGGTGTTGAGTGCGCCGTCGATGACGACGTAGCTGTCCAGGATGGTGGCTGTTGTTCCGGGAGCGACGACGATGGTCTGGGTGTTGTCGATGATGAGTGCCGGACCTGCGACCTGTGATCCCTCGGAAAGCTTCTGGAGCTCGTAAATGGGAGTATCTACGTGTCCGGAGCCTTCAAAGTAAACCGAATTGGTTCCATCTGCGCTGGGCGAAGGGATACTCGTACCCTGGATCTTTCTGAGCTGAGCAAATGGAGTTTTGATCTCTTTCGTGCCCGTCCCTCCAATAGCTCGAATACGGATGTCATCTACAATAATGTCCTTCTCTGGGAAATGAAACCCGAAACTCCGCTTGTGGGCGTCTTCAAACTCCCGCTTAAAGTTCCAGTCTTGGCCCTTGAGAATCATGAGCGAGCTGTTTGAGCCAGCGTATCTCATGCTAAGGTACGAATTGTGAGAAATCTGGTTGACGGCGAATCCTTGCTTAAAGAGAGCGTCTGTTGCTTGCTGAGCTAGATTTTCAAGCTGCGATCGGATTTCACTTTCTGTCTCTGGGCTGTAGACTATCGCCGCAGGCCGTTGAGTCTCGTGAACGACGTCTGCTAACGAGATGCCGTAAGCGGACAGGATGGAGGAGTATTTATGCAGGATGATGCGAGAGATGCCCAAGACGTTGGCTACTGCGCAAGCATGCTGGCCGCCAGCACCTCCAAAACACGCAAGATGGTGGTCGGCAGCGTCGTAGCCACGGGCTTCTGTGAGAGCTCGAATGGGTCCAGCCATGCCCTCATTGGCAACTTTCAAGAAACCAAGTGCAACTTCTTCCGGCGTGAATAGTGTAAGTCCGGAGGCTTTTCTGTCTTTGTTGATCTCATCTGTGAGTTCTGCAAACTTGGTCTCGACAATTTCGCGGTTCAGCGGCTCGTTTTCCTTGGGGCCAAACACTTTGGGGAAGTACTCTGGCAGGATTCTGCCAAGGAACAGATTGGCGTCTGTGATGGTTAATGGGCCGCCCTTGCGGTAGCACGCTGGGCCGGGATGAGCAGAGGCTGACTCTGGTCCCACGTTGAATAGCCCGTTTCTCCATGAGAGGATGGAGCCGCCGCCAGCAGCAACGGTGTGGATGTCGAGCTGTGGCGACTGGATGGAGATGCCTGCAGTGGTGGTTTCGAAAACATGGTCATAGACGCCCGCATATCGGGATACGTCTGTGGATGTACCGCCCATGTCAAAGCCAATGATGGGCTTCTTCTCCTCTTCATCCCACGATGTCTGGGCGTAGCCAACAACACCGCCTGCTGGGCCGGAGAGAATAGCCTTGAGGCCGCTGAATTTGCGGTAGTCTGCGAGGCCTCCGTCAGATTGCATGAATTCGATTCGTGTATCTGCTGAAGAGAAGCCACCGCGGAAATTTGCCTCGATGGAGCTGATGTAGTTTCTGATGATGGGAGTTAGGTAGGCATCTGCTATGGCTGATGTTCCTCTGGGCACCACGTTGATCATGGGCTGGAGCTCTGATGATAATGTGACGGAGAAGCCCATCTCGAGAGCCATCTTCCCGACAAGAAGCTCGTGATTAGGAAAGGCGTAGGAATGGATGAATACTATGGCAACGGAGCGGAAGCCCTGCCTCCAGACGTCTTCGAGCTGTTTCTGAACCGCGCTGAGATTGGGCTCTTGTAAAACCCGGATAGTCTCGCCAGTGACTGCCGTGACGAGCTGTGAATCTTCTCCTGTAGGAATTGTCTTGTTGCAATTTGGATCTTCTGTGTAATCTTCCATAGTCACACGCTCATCCACCTCCACTACATAATCGTAGAGAACCTCTGGCCGTGACACTGATAGATCAAAAATCTGTGGCCGAGACTGGTTGCCGATAGCCAAGAGGTCGCGGAAGCCCTTGGTCGTAACCAGGGCGACTTTCTCGCCTTTGCGCTCCAAGAGGGCATTTGTGGCGACTGTGGTGCCCATGCGAATGGACTCAAAGTGGAAGAGGTCGAGGGGTTGGCCCCGAGGGAGCTGCTGGCCCGTCACCAGCTCCAAGATTCTTCGGATGCCTTCTGTCGGGGCATCTTGGTAGTTGGCGGGATCGACGGATAAAAGTTTGAGGATGATGTCTTCTCTGCCGGGGATTGAGGCGTGGACATCGGTGAAAGTTCCGCCTCTGTCAATAGAGACTCGGATACGGAGTGATTTAATGGCCATTATGGGGGTATTAGGTTAGGGATTTAGAATGGGTTGTTCATGGGTATGGCAGAACAGCAACCTGCCAGCACTTTATATCAAGCTCTACCGGTAAAGTCTAAAGATGAAGATGTTTCGGAGGAAAAGAAAAGCCAGGAGCTCCACGATCCAACGATCCCCATCTCCGGGGTCGCAGTCTTGACTCCATGCCTCGGAAATCTTGCCTCCCCAAAGCGGCAATAGGCGAGAACCAGCAGTTCGTGATTTGTGTGCCAAGCCGGTGTGGGTCCCCGCGACCGATGCGGTGGGTCGGGATTTGGCGTCGGAGCCAGACTAAGCCAAAAAGGCGTTAACGTCGCTGCAGATGAGGAGAACCGTCGGAGTCGATTCCCGACGCCTGTGATTGATTATTCCAGGTTGGAGACCGGAAAGAGCAACTGAGGGAGCACATTCGCGGGGATGAAGTCCTGTCAGTGATACCATCTGTTAATCGTGATATCGGGATTTCACGTATCGGGATTTTGCTACTACTGTATCTGAGGCTGCGGCTGGAAAGCCCTGCGAGCAAGAAAGGACTCGCGTAGGCTGATTTTCATATCGGAATAGTCCCCCGCAGCAGACACTGCGATCAGCGAGTTCCGGAATTATGCTGAGGCTCTTGCGCATGCGAATAGGTGGCTCTGGAAAAGTCAAATACTGCCGGAAGACAGGGCCGTTTCCCCACCGCGCAGGGTTCTGGTTCTCCGGCTTGAAGAGTTCCAGCAGAGTAGCATCGCCGGTACACTTGGCGTAGGATGGCTTCCCCAGATGATGTTGCTGCAGGGACGGGACAGTCTGTGGAGCAGTTTACTTCACGGCCTGTTGCGTAAGTGGTGTCCTATCCTTTCGTTTGAACTTAGGAGAAACTTGTGGGCTCATATTGCATTTGTATAGATGTCTCAACTGCCGTCAACGACGCTCTTACTGTTCTAAAGAAAAGCCTACCTGCTCAAGATGTCGAGATGCTCGGATAAGGTGTGTTTATGAAGGCACTAGGAAAATACTGGTGAACGAGCCGTAAGTGTAGATTGCGTCCGTGTTGCGTTTACCATTGTACCGGGCCTAACTTGATCGGATACAGTTATTTACGAGAGCTGGAAGCAAAAGCAAAAATCTTAGACAGTAAGTGGGATTAGCTATCCCCAAATCTTGTTGAAAGTGTGTGATTTTGGTCACTAACACGTTTGATGCAGGCATGCAGCCTGGAGGCTCATCTGCTACTCATGGCCACCGCATCACCACCGACGAAGACGACGACTTTGAAGACGAGCAGCCTTTGCTTGAGCCATTCACTCAACTCAGTTTAGATAAGCCTTCTACGAGTAAGCAGCACTGATACTGTATTTATAATTTACTCTAAATATTCCAACTTTCTTTTAGGCTTTCAAGGCCCTGCCTCTTCCGACAACTTCCTTCGCAATGTGAGAAAACTCTCAGGCTTCCAGGGCGACGATGGGAGTCTCGATTTGCCCTCAAACTTTTATGAGCCTGGCGCTTTGCCTTCACGGCGACAGGCTGTGTTTAGCATTCGCTCGCGATTACCACCCATTGATATGGCACGAAGGCTCTTTTCAGCGCAGTACATGTTTATCGGCACAATTTTCGCCTTTACCGATCCCAGAGATTCGTTTGAGCGCTTGCTTCTCCAGGCCTATAGCGGACCGCCCGATCCTTCTGACAAGACAGAGTGCCTAGAATATGCGAAAGTGCTGCTCGTACTAGCCTTTGGGCAGTTATACTCGGTCAATCAGTGGGTAGACTTCCGAGGTCCGCCGGGCTTCGACTATTTTCGAGATGCGGTAAATCTTCTTCCAGAGACACACGAGGAAGGGTCTATTCTCTGTGTGGAGACTTTGGCTCTCGCAGGATACTTTATGCAGAATATGAATCGTAGAGATGCGGCGTTTCAGTTTATCGGCAAGGCTTTGCGCATGGCGATTTCGCTTGGCTTGCACCAGGAAGTCAGCCCGCACTACTATTCACAGCAAGGCCCGGAACTGGACAAGACGGCCAGAGAGCATCGTCGGCGCGTCTGGTGGTCCATCTATAGCCTTGACAGGATCTTGTGCGTCAAGTCTGGCAACCCCATCACCATCCAGGACGAGGATATAGGGGTGGAAATGCCATCGCCGCTGCCGGGAGACCCCGAGTACTGTCCTGCCGTGGTGCTGCGACATTACACCGAGCTTTCTCGCATCCTGGGCCGGATTCACATGACAATATATCGGAGATCGAACAAATCGGCGCCGAAATCTGGTAAGAGCCTGATGGCGTCTGTGCAAAGCATCATCTTCTCGCTTTCAAAATGGAATCGTGAGGTGCCAGATGACCTGCGCTTCGACCCCGCGCAGCTCTCCTTTAGTCGTGAGAGCGTCGGGGCACTTGCGCACTACTATCAATGTATCAATATGACAGTGAGGCCATTGCTGTTCCATGTCGTGCAGAAGCGATTGCAGGCTATTCGAGGCGGAGGTGGTGCGGCAGAGAAGGAGCGTGACTGGAAAGAAGGGCTCTCTCAAACGACTGTGAGAGTCATCGATATGTGTGTTGGAGCGGCACAAGATGTTATTAACATGATGGCCATTGTAGCACAGAGAGATATGGTTGGTAAGTTGCTGCAAGCTTATATCCGCGTTTCACCAGCATGGTCTCAGGTTACTAATATAGCACTTTAGCAACGTATGGTTATATGGATGGCGAGCACATCTTCTCAGCTACAATTGTGCTCGTCATGGTATGCACAGCATTTCCTGACAACACCGCCAATACGCTTGCGATGACGGCTGGGCTTGGCCTGCTGAGGAACATGGGCGAGCGAGGCAACAGCCACATGGGTGCTCGCTATGAACTGCTGCTGAGCATATACTCTGGCTCAAGCATCACGCCTCTCACCGCTCCTAGCCAGCAGCTTGCAATGATGTCGCCCGGCTCTCAGGCCTTGGAAGCCTCCATACAAGGCAAGGGCGTCGTCCCTCCGCGAATATCAATGGCACCGCCATACCCTATAAACGCGTACGATAGTAGCACAAGCACTGCGAATATGCCTCTTACTTTCCCGGTTGTAGATAGCAACTCACTGAACGAGCCATTTTACGACGATAGCGTGAGTACGGGTATGGACTTTGGGCTTTGGGAAGAGGGCTTTGCGTATCCGACAATGGACCTCGATGTGGATTTGGCGCAGCGCACATCAACGATTGGGGGAACTGGCGGGACTGATATCCGCGAGTGGATGTTTGATTTCATGGGCCAGGGGAATGCTTCATGAGATATTGTCCAAGTAGAGATTAGAGCCGAATGAAATTATTATCGCGTAACACCTTATCTATTTTCAATCTCATGTCAGGCTTCCTCCATCCCCTATCTCCATCTGCCAGGGTAGCCTATCTAGACTATCATGCACCCACAACGTCAATATCTAATCAAGCAAACGTGGCAAACTATAGAGCATGCCCAATCCGTAATGTGACGAGGATGCAATGCAACGACATGATCAACACATCTCCACATGGCGCTGGCACGACGTCAGCCATTCCCCGATACCGTCTCAACATCTTGGCCACCAGCCATCTCCAACTTCCCCGCACGACGACGTCCCTCTTCTTCAGCCCAAATAGCGCCTCCCAGGGGTCGGTGAGGGTCTCCGACCTGCCCCGCAAACTCCACCATCCACTGGCTATCACCAACGTTTGCTATCTTTCAGCCGAGTGTTTCCCGGCCAAATTGAGGTCGGCAATCGGTAAAAGTTGATAAGAGATTTTTTCGTCTGAAGGCCTATGAGATACTGGGAGATAATATGGCACTTTTTGCGAGTTACCGGAGTTGCTCTTCCGTTTTCGTAGAGCCGCTTCTTTGTTTAAATGGATCGTGATGCCCACGTCGATCCACAGAGGAGTTACATTTGCATCCATGTTCCCCATGGGGTTATCATTTCCATTACTTAACGTGGGGTTTGAAACATCGGCATTCTTGCTTCGTGCATCTTTTTCCCAACTCTTTTCCTTGCTTCAAGTAAAGGCGCCTTAGAGGACTGTCGAGCATCTTCTGCCCAGCATGGCCACAGAACAGGCCAACGTCGGTTTCGACGATGACGAGAAGCGCCCATCTTCTCGCGATGTCTCTCATCATGGCATTGACGAGACGGGCATGTCCATCCCAATCCTCGATCCAAATGCCGAGAAGCGTCTACTGCTGAAGCTGGACACTTACTTTGTTCCCATCATCATGCTGGTCTATTTGACATGCTTCCTTGACCGCAGCAATATCGGAAACGTCAAGGTCGCCGGCATGCCTGAAGATATCGGCGCCAGCCCAAAGGAGTTTTCGACGGCTGTTTCCATCTTCTATGCGACTTATGTGGTTTTTGAGGCTCCGTGGAGTATCTTGATGAAGAAAATAACGCCACGAGTTCTGCTCACCGGTCTCTGCACTGTCTGGTCCCTGGCAACGATATTTTCAGGCTTTATTCAAAACGTGGGAGGACTATTTGCCGTGCGACTTATCCTGGGCGGCTGCGAGGCTGGACTGTTCCCTGCGCTCAATTTATATCTCACAATGGTATACAAGCGCCACGAGCAGGGAATGAGAGTATCGTATCTCTTTGTATGCACAGCAATTTCGGGCGCTTTCGGAGGCTTGCTTGCGTACTGCATCCTCAAGATGGACGGTGTTGGCGGCTTTGCGGGCTGGAGATGGGTTTTCATCATTGAAGGCATTTGCAGTTTTCTCATCGCGCCGGTCATTTGGTTTGGCTTGCCGAATAACCCAACCGAAGCTTGGTTCCTCACGGAAGAAGAGAAGGCCATGATGAAAGTTCGTGAGGCGCAGCGAGCGCACTATATGGGCAGCGAAGAATTTGACGCGAAAGAGATTCGTATTGCTCTAAAGGACCCAAAGTTGTACATCAGGTAAGACTATTATCCCAAAACAAATGTCGAATGTCGATGGATTCATATTAACTCTTAACCTGCAGTGGTGCCATACAATTCTGCCAGGACATCCTCCTTTACGGCTTCTCCACCTTCCTACCTTCGATTCTCGTCAACATGGGATATTCTTCTATCCAGGCACAATACCTCAGTATCCCAGTATACATCTTCGGCGGAATATGCTTCATAGCCTTTGCGTATGTATCTGACCGGACTTGCGTTCGAGGGCCGCTGCTCTTCCTCGCCAACGTCCCAGGCATTGTGGGCTACATCCTCATACTCTGCCCTACGCCCAACGGCGTCAAGTTCTTTGGCACGTTTCTCTGCGCCATTGCCGTGTATAATGGCCCTGGACTGAACATGACATGGCTCAATGTCAATTTTGCGCCGCATTACCGCCGCGCGACGGCAATTGGCGTTCAGCAAAGTATCGGAAATACCGCTGGCATTGTTGCTGGCCAAATCTATAGAACGGCGCCTTATGTCTTGGGGAATGCCTTTTCTGTCGGAGCCTTGGGCGTAGTGCAGCTGATCATCACTACTAACTGGCTTTACTTGAGGCACCTCAATAACGAGAAGAAGAAGATCGAAAGTGGGGAGAAGGAGGATACACGAAAGGTCAAAGATGGCGATAGAGCGACAGATTTCAAATATCATCTCTAATTACACCATGTTAGCTTAGACCAATTATCATCTCATTCATAGTTCAACCTCTGCTCCTATTCTGCAGTACCGAATAGCTCGAACGTATATATTAACTATTACCCTACTGCTCGACGTTTTACGTAATACCCTTGACTGTTGCAATAGTTACCCCCCAATGTCTTCGTTGCTCCATATCCAGAGCTATGATCTGGTTAATCGGATTTCATCCCATCTTGAAATTCTTCTCCTGCTTCTTCAATGAGCTGGCCGTTCATGTACATTAGCCTATTACTACAGGTAGGCTCTTGAGGCCGAATCTGCAGCGGGTTGCGCCGAAAGCATCCATTTCTTCCGCAGCTTGGCGTCCGGAATTAACAGTGATGCCCGAGATATGAGTGGCACTGCTCTATATATTCCTAATTTGTACTTTGCAACGCCTTTTGGCGGACTTTGCTCTTTCTTTCTCTTTTTTTCTTTAATTGGCAAAATCCGCCTGTCGAAGGCTTCAAGCCGCTGTTATGCCAGATTAGGATTAGCGCGTAAATGTCATACCCAAAACGGCATATCATAGGCCTGGATAGGCTTTACACGCCTCTCTTTGTATGGGCTGTTAAAGACTGAACTGAGGGTATCAAGTAGATATAAAATGAACTCATGGTCCCTAATTGAGTGAAAAATCTTTACTCTCAAAATCATCAAATAACATTTGCTCCTCAATCGAAACCCAGTATCACAAGCACAATGGCATCCCCAAAGCCCAGAGTTATCCTCGGTCTCATGACCTATGGCCCTCGCGAAGCTTCGCCAGACAACCGTGTGACAACAGTTGAAGAATTTCAGCAACATCTCAGTGCATTTCAGAAGAGCGGATACAATGAGCTTGATACAGCTCGCATATATTCTATGGGGAAACAAGAAGCCTTCACCGCACAAGCAGGATGGAAAGAAAGCGGCTTCAAGATTGCTACCAAAAGCTATCCCCGCGTTCCCGGAGCTCATTCAGCTGCCAACCTCCGCAATGATCTGGAGACTTCTCTGGCGGAGCTTGGTACTGATTGTGTGGACATTTTCTATCTTCACTCAGCTGATCGTACCATCCCTTTTACGGAGACACTTGAAGCCGCAAATGAGTTGTACAAGGAGGGCAAGTTCAAGCAGCTTGGCGTTAGCAACTTCTCTGCTTATGAAGTGGCGGAGGTTGTTATGCTGTGCCAAGCTCGAGGTTGGGTGAAGCCAACCATTTACCAGGGAGTTTACAATGCCATCAGTAAGAACCCCTCCCCATCTGATCCCTCTAATGCGGGAAATTGACGAGAAGCTGACTCTATTACTACCCAGCTCGTAATCTTGAGACTGAAGTAGTTCCTGCTTGTCGCCGTTTCGGATTGGAGATTGTCATCTTTACGCCGCTCGGTGGAGGCCTGTTGACTGGGCGCTACAAGTCTGCCGATGACGAAGAGCAAAGTGGTCGCTTCAGCAGTAGCTCGTTCCTGGGGCCCATTTTCCGGCAAATGTATTTCAACGATGCCCTGTTCAAAGCGCTCGATATTCTTCGACAAGCCGCCGAAAGGCACAGCTTGACTATGCCAGAGGTTGCGCTGCGCTGGGTTGTGCACCACTCTGCTTTGAGATTCGCCAAGGATGGCGGAAACGACGGTGTCATTTTCGGTGTAAGTAAGATTGAGCAGCTACACCAGAACATTGCGGACCTGGAGAAAGGCCCCTTGCCAGAGGAGGTAGTCAAGGCTCTTGATGCTGCTTGGATTGTCGCAAAGGGAACGAGCCCAAACCCTTGGCACACGCCGCTTGAGTATACCTACAAAGGCCACTCATAGAGACTTGGGGCGCAGACGCCGCGATTCGATAGTTTCAATCAATTTATTTGCTCTTAGAATCATATCCATGTACTTCGTAAAATGATTTCTCTTAATACCAGTCAAAGTCCCACGCGACTTAAGAGAAATGATTGGCAATTGCTGACCCATTTAAGCCAGTCAAGTTACTCAGGAGGAGACGGCATCGAGAAATCTGGCTGCTGGGATATCAACGTCATCGTCATCATGACAACCATGCCAAGTTCATCAGAGCTTTCTCTCCACGTTTCCACAGGCGAGCCATTTAAAGATACTGCGGAGGCTAAATCCTTCCACGTGAGTTCTTTTTCCGGTGGCAAAGCGCTCGCCCAGTCTGAAGCGTTTGCAGCGGCCCATGAAGCTTTTGTGGCCGGCACCAGCATGGAGTGAAAGCTCCAGTCTTTCGGGTTGTCGCACGGCAATCCAAAGTGCGTGGATACTACGGCGCTCAGAGTAAAGTATATACAGGCAATGCGCATGAAGGATTCGAAAAACACCCATTGCCTCCAGTCCTGTCGTGGGCGGCTGTCCAATAAAGCGGTGCTATGGAGATGCCTAAAGATAGTCTGCTTTTTTGATTAGTTTCCCTTTTTAAAGGCTCCATGGAATAAGGTGGGAAGGATTCGAAAGTCATTGGCGAGGCGGCTCACCCCAAGCGTAAAGAGGAGCGCAATGTCCCCATTTGGGAATGCTGCGCTATTCCTCCCCTGCTTAACTCGTAAGAGAAGGTAAATGGTCGTCGCCTGCGCGGCAGATAGCAACTCCCATTGGTTGAAAGTAGTTATCTGGATAGCAAGTTAGCTCCAAGCAACCAAGTATATAACACAATTGTGTGAAAAGCTTCTTCCCTTGGAGTATATCCATTCCTGATGCTGGTGTATCAGTTCCCATAATGATTCATTGTCTGCAGTGACACTGATCGAGTCATTGCTGGTAGTACCGTATGCTTGCCATAGGTTCAAGCTTGTTTTGAGAGAGTTGAGATTCATGGCCATGTGTTCGGAGCCACCTTCGGTCTCATGACGAGAAAAGGTATTGTGAACGAAACCCACAAAAGACAAGTCTTGTGAGGCCTTTGAGACTTGGCCACAGAGATACCGTAGTATGAAGCAGCTTATGTGTAGCATTGGTGGCTCGGAGAAATGTTTCCGCTCAAAAAGAATGAATTTGGGTATCTGATTCAGTAAGATGATGCAACCGGAAATGAGAGAAAGGACCTGTTGATAAATGGGTACTAACCAGAGCTGAGGATTGTGGAGCCATTTGTCTGTCGATAGATGCCATCAGTGCTGCTAACCCCCTTCCAGCTTTATTTTCAGCGACATCAGTCTCCAATTTCGAGGCTCTTTTCTTCTGGCTCCGGCGCTCGTGGTAGCTTTTCATCACCGCCCGCCGGATATACGTGCGCCTGGCGCCTCGTCCCTCCGCGGGATCGTGCGTCAGATTCACAAACGTACGGTCGAGGGTTGATTGTTGTGGCGCCATTTTCTTTTGTCATCGAAATACTTGGGACGAAGTCACAAAGAGCTACAGACTTTCATGTCGAGTTCACGATGACATGTATGTACCTATGGGAAAGGGGAAAAGCAACCTGTCGTCCGTAAGTGGGGCGATTCGGATTCGGAGACCTGCGTCGGTATAAACTCCGCACGCCCTTTGCCCGTTGTATTGTCTGCTCACCACACTAACACACGCTAATAAGCTGCGGTTGAGTCAAGGAAATAGTATACGAATTATCATTCGAAGTCTATTTCTTTGCCATATACCCTCTTTGTGCCTCCCTTGAAGCAAGCTACACTCATCATTTCTATATTAGCAACATCGACAGCTCGGATGTTGAAGCTTTCAACCCTCGCTCATACCCTGCAATTCTATTAATGATGCTTTACATTCAAATGTTTGTACAAAAATGGCAGCATGTAATGCACAATATCCTTCAGGTTACTAATAAGAGCAAAATGGCCAGCGTCAATGAGATGAATCTCAGCATGTGGCAAGTCTTTCTTGAAGGCTTGCGCACCAGCCGGGATGAAGCTAGAGAACAAAAAAATATTAGCAGTGTTCAACTATAGTACATCATAGTACTTTATTATTCGGGAAAACGACTTACAACTGGTCATTTTCTCCCCATACAGCAAGCAGAGGTACTTGGGACTGGCGAAGGTATTGCTGCCACTGTGGGTACTGAGCAACGTTTGTCCGGTAGTCATAGAGATAATCCAGCTGGATGTCGATATTTCCCGCTTGGTCGTTCATGAGCGCGTAATCAAGCCACCACGATTCCGGCTCGAGAGCTGCCGGGTTCTTTGTGCCAGTGGTATACTGCGACTCTGTTGCGTTCAGGGTGAAAAATGGGTTCAGAGCATCCCGGTCACTAAGATGATCAGCCATAAGCCATCAAAAGATGACGCCGCAGAAAACTCCGCCGCAGGAAGCTAACTCACGATTGGCTGCCAGACGCCCAATATGCTCTTATTGCGTCGAATCCCGGCCCAAGGCCTTCCGTATAAGCGTTTCCGTTTTGAGATACAATGGCCTTGACAGCGTGTGGACGTCGCACGGCAAGTCGTAATCCAACAGGGGCACCGTAATCAATGATGTATTCGGAGAACTCTTGAATCTTTAGCGCATCCAGAAACCCTTCCATAACATCGGCAATGTTGTCAAAGGTGTGGGGGAAATTCGCAGGGCTCTTTGTGAATCCAAAACCGGGAAAATCAGGAGCAATAACATGATAAGTCAACGCAAGAATAGGAATCATGTGTCGGAAGAGAAATGAAGACGATGGGAAGCCATGAAGCAATAGTAGAGTCGGGGCATTAGGAGGCCCTGCTTCCCGATAAAAGATGGAATAATTGCCGACGTCGATCTGGCCGACGGTCGGGAGTATTTGGTATGCCAACTCTGACATCTTAATGGCGGAAGAGTTCAGAATACTGCCTAATTGATGGATAAGACAACGAAGAGACTTGAGCCTTCTACATCTACGCTATATATAGTTATTATAGCTAGGTACATAGTTATTATACCTAATCGCTTTTCCTCCAATGGCTTCGTCATCTTCGCTGGAATCAATTGCATGGTGTTAAAAATACAATTAATACAATGAGTAAACCAAACTTGCACATCCTCAGCTCTTCAAACTAGAGCTACGCAGGTCAACAGGGCGGCATATGCCGAATAGAAACAGGGTAGCAGATACCAAATATGAACATAGTGCTTACCACTTGCGAATAGCACGACTTTAATCTAACCTATATCTACCTACCTAGACACACGTAGCCGACCGTACCGACCGAGACGAATTGCAAATTAGTAATTCATCCGTCATACAGGCTCCACTGAGAGAAGCAATAGTATGCGTGGTTAATGATTTCATAGCCATATGAAGCATTATACAAAGATCAGGGCACGGAAATGTGGGCCGAGTCAGCAAATGTGTGTAATTTATAATTAACGACTGTTGCTTTGATGTGGTTCCGCGCTCTTCGGAAAACTAAAGCTCCGATAAGCTAGCGAGCGATAGCTTGACTATTCTTTATATAGGATGGCTATATCTTCCAAGTTGCCGAATTATACAAGTTACTCGAGCTACCACTATAGGCTAGCTATTGAAAGGCAATAGCCCACGCTCGCTGGATCCGACGCCTGCTTGGTTGGTTTCATAAGATGGATCTGGCAGCCAGTGGTCAAAATGATGCATCGAACTCATTCAGCAGTGTTTGCTGCCAGTTAGTGATGTGTATGTTTACTTCTTTCAAGACATAATGCTTTGGTATGAAGAGGTCGTCATAGTGTAAACTCGCTGCTGGGTATAATAGTCAGTTGAAGTGATTAACTTGTTAGTAGTAATGTAATGAATGCAGGTTTGGGTACTAGCGTGCTCAACATTCTATGACAGCCTGAACACAAGTATCTAGACGTGTGTGTATACACCTTGACTCAATTTGAATGGGCAGTCAACGAGGACCTCCAAGTTGCAACAGGAGTGTCGTAGGTTTCAAGTTGTTGATGAGCGAATGATCATATTGTAGCATATACACTGCCTTTATGGATGATGCCTTGATTAAGATATCCGACTTCTGAAAAACGTTTCGAAGATATGCTCACAATCAGACTTGTCAAGCAACAATAACTCTTTCTAAGGACATCACAGCTCATAGTCCTACGTGACTAAGATAAGAAAAGATAAAGCCATGGCGATCTCGTCTACGGCTTTACTTGCTTAGGTAAGGTGCTGACGTTCTTGCAGCCTCTTCGCCCGACTATGCCAAACGGGGGCAATGCTGAATTGTTCCCTGCAGCTCCACCACGCATCGTTTTCAATCGTCGGTTCATATACCGGACTAAATTGTCCCGTTGGGAACAATGCCCGTAGAATCATGTGTATCCGTGTGATTAGCTCGCTGAAACGTACTGCATTGGGCAGGATCCAGCGCACTGCTATCTTTCATATTGCTCGCTCTCACGAGATTACTAAGCCTAGCTTCTCCGTGGCCCTAAGTGAATAAGGCGGCGAGCCCGGCGGCTTAACGAGGGAGACTTCTCAAGCATTTACATGCCCTTCTCGGCGTTTGTATCTGTATAATCACTTTGAACACGTCACTCGCTGTTAGATGCTTGCAGCTTGTACGCGAGTTTCGGTAACTTCAATCAATATATATCATCTGCTGACCCCCCCACGATGCTGAAATACAATGTACACACTATACTCTGGTTTCATAAGACAGCAATAGCTGCTGTGGAGACGTAACAACAACAATGCAGTCATTTATTCAACGACGAAAAATTGCAGCTCAATCGGTGCTACAATTGACAGAAAACCCCCCAATCAGCTTATCCGAGTCCGACGAGACAGCCGTCAACAAACCCGAGCTATCAAATTCGCCACCTAGTGAGCAACAAGACAGACAAGATATTGATGTCAATCCTCGAAAATGGCCACTATGGAAAAAGCTCAGTGCCACTCTGATTGTCACAGCGATATCCTTCGTTGTGCAATATGCCTCGGCTGTGGACTCTGCCGCGGCTGAAAGGATACAAGCGGAATTTGGGGTATCTGCAGTTGCAGAATCTCTGGCAACAGGTTTGTCTTTGAATCCCAGATCGAATAATAAATTGACCATTATTTTGGAATTTGCTTCTAACCATCATGAAAGGCTTGTTCCTTGTTGGTTTTGGAGTTGGTGCTCCAATTGCTGGCCCCCTGTCCGAAATCGCCGGCCGAAATCCCGTCTATATAATCAGCTTTGTACTGTTTATGCTATGCACCATGGGAGCAGGTTTGGCGCCCAATATTGGCGCCCAGCTTTCTTTAAGGTTCCTTGCTGGCATGTTTGGTAGTACTCCGCTTGTTTGCGCTGGCGGCACCGTCTCAGATTTGTGGGATCCAGTCGACCAAATTCACATCTTCCCGATTTATGCCACAGGAGGATTTTTCGGCTTGGCAGTTGGACCAGCCATTGGAGGGCTTATTGCAGACAGCAAGATTGTGGGCTGGCGATGGGTGGAATGGAGCACGCTGGTTCTCTCGGGTGCTGTTCTCCTGCTGGTCTTGCTTTGTCAACCCGAAACATATGCACCAACGCTACGTGAATGGCAGACTTCCGCCGCCATTGCGAAAGTTGCCTCAGGAGATGGAGAAGTATTTTCAGCCGGAATCATTGGGAAAACAGAACAGTTGTCTGGACGTCAGAGGTTCAAAGCTAAAATTGGCCCTGCTCTCTATCGACCGGTGCAGTTGTCTTATTCCGAACCAATCATTATTATGATTTCGGTATATCTTTCTGTGCTATACATTGTCATCTTCACGTTTCTACCAGGCTATACTTTCATTTTCACAAACACATACGGATTCAGCCTTGCTGAACGGGGACTTTCATTCTTCGGATTGGGCGTTGGATTCTTGTTAGCTTTGGCAATGGCAATACCCATCACTATCCAGTCACGGAAGATCATTCAAAGAGACGGCGGCCTCAGCCCTGAATCTCGACTTTGGTTCGCCATGATTGGCGCACCTACAATCCCCATTGGACTTTTCTGGATGGCGTGGACGACTAGGGCGTCAATATCATGTTGGTCTGCCATCGCGGCATCCGCACTTCTGGGGTTTGGCGTTCTATGCGTTTTCATCAGCAGCTATCAGTACATCATCTACACGTACGAACAGCTAGCTGCTAGTGGGCTAGTTTTCGTTACTTTTACGAGGTATCTAGTTGCTGGTGGGATGGTGGAAGTGGGCATTCCCATGTACGAAAATCTCGGCGTTGCATGGGCTTTGACACTGCTTGGAATACTGAGTGTCGTGCTGATTCCGATTCCGTTCTCCTTGTTTTACTGGGGGCCTCAGATTAGACAATGGAGCAAGCATGTCAAATAGAGAGAGGATATTTGTTAATTTATGTGTCAGCATCAAGAAGCTTTAGATTTATTAATGACAGAATTTACGTATAAGAACTCGATTGGCAGCACATAAGCGATGGTCATAGAAGTTGTACGCTACTGCAGATCAGGATAGATAGTTACGTCGTAGCTGCTTATTCATATTTTAGCTTCGTTTGTAAACATTCTAATTGGGCTATGTATACGCGTTACAAGATAGAAGTAGGCTATGCTTGGTTTGAAGTACATTTAGGTGAACAGTCGTTCAGAGGATTCATATTTTACCTAATGGGGAGATTGAAACCGAAAGATGGCAGGAATAGATGTTGACGGCAGTATCACAGTATCAAATCAACCTCAAATGTTGCTTGTTCAATGTATCTAACTAACCCTAATCCCTCGCAACGCTATTTGCTACTTTAATTCGTGGACATAGTCCTTCGATTTAGTTACTCCACAATCTTCTTCAGAGCGCCAGTATCAGTATCCTGGATCCAGCCCGTCACCTTAATCTTGCTCAGCCAAAGAGGGTGGTTGCGAAGATGTTCCACTTCTTCCCGGGTAGACTTCTCCAAATCGAAAAAGGTCAAGACATCAAAGTTGTCCACATCTTTGGACTCTTCCACCCCCAAGTTCTTCTTCATAATTCCACGTACTGCTTCTTCAGGAACGCCTAGCAAACCGCATCGAGTGTGCTTGATGAGAAGAACCTCCTGAGCGCCCAAGACGTGCGTAGTGAGAAGTGCTGAGCGCGCGGCATCCAGGCCTGATGCGCCTGCGTTTCGGATCGTGGTCACTTCTCCAAGCTCAAAGCCCAAGGCTGATTTGGGATCAAGACGGCAATCCATGCAGGTTACTGAGGAAATGAGTTAGGTTGAATGCCCCTCTGAGATTTGGAACAGAAGAGTACTTACTAATGACGGCATGCTTTTTAGGAGGGCATTCGAGACCGCTGTGTGTGTAAGTGCTAACATATTTAGCATTGGCTGCGAGAATCTCTGATTCAAAAGGAGTCGACATATTGGCGGGCTGAAGGTATGTTTGACTAAGGCAGTTATTCGTGTTTGAAATGTGTAATTAAGTTGTCTGGAAAGGTAGCTATGAGGTATAGTATTATAGAATGACTCGGACTATTTCATGGAGAGAAATAGGACTACTTATAGCAGAAGAAACAACGGCACCATAAGACCAAATACACACAAACCATCTACGAGCTTCAAAGCATAGCTTGCCTATAGCTTGTCTAGATTACAAATTCTTTCCTAAGACTCGGAAGAATACAATTGCCATTCATGGATAGGATTTTACTATCCAGAAGATACTAGTATGTAAACCGCCGAATTGAGAAGAATTGCTGGAATGACACAATCGGCACAACGAAGCGGTTGGCAGCATTTGCCCAAAGGAACTCTAGTGATGTCATTGGCTGACCAGTAGCGCATGCACGCCATATTTGGGCAATGGCCCAATCGGGCAACAGGCAGCGGTAGCGTGAAGCTGACCAATTTTGAGACCAGAACGATTGCGCCCGAGAAATATGTCTATCTTGGTGGTCTAATTAATATAGATATGCTCAGTTACATGGCAGTTTAAATATTGCTGCGTTAAATTACCTAGGTATGTAAATGAGTTTATATCCCCTGTGTTGAGTGGCTTCACATCTGCTGTTTTACGGTTTCATACTGTTTCCTAGGCTGTAGCCGGTGTAAGTCGCAAATCGCCTGGAAATTTGATTCTGTATAGCAGATGCCCCGTCACGATGGCCTTTTTCTTTTTTTCTCTTGGTCTTTTTCTTTCCCTTCGAATACGTGAACCTTCTTTTTCATCAGCAGAAGCACTCCTATTTTTTTTTTTTTTTTCGTTTTCGCAAACTACCAGGAGTCCCAGGCCTTACTTCACTTGTGAGTCCTTTAGGACTAGGCAAACTTCACGCTTCTCGCCAAAACCCATGGTAGAAGCAAACTGCGTGCGTTGATCGAATCACAAAGGTAATTGGGATGGGAACCAGAAACATGAGTACTTTAGAAGATTTAATCATTTTTTATCGGCGTAACCCTCATCTAATTCATGACTGGGTATCTTTCAAGAAGTCATATAATCAAGATCCGAAAAGATCTTGAATCAACATTATATACAATAAAAAAAAGCAACGTGATATATAAATTTTCGCTCCTTTCTCGCGCCTTTATTTACGCCAGCCAGAACCAGACCTTTTGTAGCCAGTTCTTGGGTACAGGAGGCTGGTCCATCGCTTCCATTTCGTCCATCTCCTTCTTACCCGTGATAACATCGATTTCGGATGTCTTGATGTAGAAGGGAGTGCGGGACCAAATCTTGTGGCCGAGATAAAGCACAAGAACGATGGGCAGAGTAATGTACGCAGCGATGAAGTCGCTCACGTTCCAGTTCTTTTTGATAAAAATTTGGAAGCCGTTTGTGAGGGTGAGAAGGGAAATGACGAAGAGCGCAAAATAAGTGGCGTATGGCTGGAAAGGCGTTCTGTAAGGTAGTTCTCCCAAGAGGTTGTTAAAGATGATGGCTTTGCGGAAGCGAAGATAGGTAATCAAGATAATGATCCACGCAATAAAGCCGGAAATGGTTGAAATATTGACGAACCAGTTGAAGACCGTGGCGCCAGAGTTGCTGACATTGAGGAAAGCGAGAAGGGTGAAGGCCCAGGTAAAGAGAACGGCCACGTAGGGAACGCCCCATCGATTCGTATGAGCGAATACCTTGGGGGCCCCGCCGCTGATGGACATTGAATATAACACTCGGCTGGCAGAGTAGAGAAAGGAGTTTCCAGCAGACCAGGCGGAGGTCAGAATAACAGCGTTGATGATGTGGTTCAACACAGGAATGCCTGCATTCTGGATACCAATGACAAACGGGGAAGCGCTGGCGTCAGAGGCTCCGAGGAGCCTTGGGTCGTTCGAAGCGACAATGATGCCGATGACGAGAGAAGCTACGCCGTAGAACAATGCCAAGCGGACAATAAAGCGACGAGCGGCCTTCTTGAGGTTTCGGCGGGGAGAAACAGTCTCTCCAGCGGCGATCGCGATCAACTCTGGGCTGGTAATAAAGGCAAAACCTGTGAATTTTTTTTGTCAATTAACCGTACGAAGAATGGACAAATTTCCGTGGAAATAGACAAAACGTACCAGCTTTGACAAAGGCGTGCCAGTAACCCAAAAATTTGCCAGTCGACCCCTTGGCGTTGTATTCTACGAAGGCTCCGGGATTGTTCCAGTAATGGAAGCCAAGAACATGATGCTGATCTGGGCCACCGCCAAAGAACAAGACAACACCAATGATGCAGAGAACAAACAGGGCAATCAGCTTGATAGACGCAAAGACAAATTCTGCTTCTCCGAAGATGGCGGCGGCGAATAAGTTGAGCGCTAACAAGACGAGGAGGATAATGACGATCCAGACGGCAACATTGACATTGGTTGTCCAATATTCTATCACAATGGCTGCTGCTGAAGCTTCTGCCGCAACGAGCATTGTGTAGGCATACCAGTAATTCCAACCCGCCGCGAAGCCCAAGCTGGGATCGACGTATCGGCTGACGAAGTAAGGGATGGTGACGCCTCTAAACGGCAGATAGACAGTCATCTCGGCCAGGCCGTTCATGACGATCCAGACGATGATGGACATGGACAGGTAGGCCATGAAGAGCGGTGCAGGGCCAGTATCAGCGAGAATGCCGCCGGAACCGACAAAGAGACCAGTTCCAATGGCGCCTCCCAGGGCCAAGAACTGCAGATGACGACTCTTGAGACCACGCTTGAGCTGCTCGCCATCGTGGGCCAGAGTGAAGTCGTTGTTGTCATTGGGCGAGCTGGCCTCGATGTTGATGTCGTAGGCCTCGTCGGGCCCAGAGCTGGATTTTTTCTCCATGGCGACGACTTTGCTCGCGACTGTGAGTGATGGAGAAGGCAAAGGAGAAGGAGAAGATGCGTATGAGGGAGAAGCGAAAGCAGAAAAGAGAAGCAACAAAACCGAGGCCGCAGGGTCTAGATATACTAGCACTGCGCGCACAGAGCGAATGCGGCAACCACCGCTTGTTTATCGTTTGCTCCAGTATCTTGAGGCCCTAAAGACGCCCTAAAGAGCAGATCCCCGGCACATTGACGCCTCTGCTAGCTGTTTGCAGGATAGCTGTCTGCGGGGGGGATTATGGTCCGAGACGCCTGCGTGGGAGGAAGCAGGTACAGGTACATCCAGAGCCAGGGGTGATTCTTCAGCGATGGAGGTATCGAGAGAACATGTGGAGAAGATGTCGACCGAGTTTTGGTTATCTCGAAGTGGAATCTTGCCTCAAACTCTAGCAGTTTAATCAAAGATATGAACAGCCTATCTTTGCTCAATCTTTCGTATTCAAGATATGCTTTTGCGACTGCGATGCAAATCCAGCTTCGTACGCGTTTCTGCAGCCACGCTTCGCTCTGCAGGTACCAGTACTCGGCGTGGCGTCGGCATTTATCCCCCCGAGGCCCATTTGCTTATCTGGATTCATCCCAGCGCAAGCCTCTTTTCTTTTTTTCGCCCTCTCTCCTAGCCCAAGCAGGCGAAAAGAAGGCTTTTCTTCTACCTAGGCTTGTGCCTGTGGCGCTACCCATGCGTGGAATATTTCCAGAACACCCTTCGGTTGGAGAAAAAAAGAGTTTCCTTCCATCACATCACATGGTCGCATCGGATGCATTAGTGATGTGCCTTGTTTGCATCTTGCAGAGTCTCATCGAGCCAAAGATACGCAGCTGCTTGTGAGTGTACCGGTACATTTAAGCTTCTTTCTTGGCAGCTTCTGGGCCGAGAGTCCTGACTCGATTCTTATCTCTCAGTTTCTTGCTCTCGCAAGCGAAGATGGGGAAGCAGATGCGGAGAGAGCGACTAGGGTGGGAAGAACATGATTCAGTCGCGCGCAACGAGTCTCCACCTCGAACTGTTACGTACAAAGATGATCCTGGAGCTTTTCGGTGAAACCCACTTGGGCCCGCAGCTGTTACATTCACGGAGCGAGGCCCGCGTCGGTTTGTTCTCTGTCTCTAGTATCGTGGTCCGTCATGATTACTTGACGGTGGCTGTAGTGTAGCAATAGGATCGAGTGCTGAATCACAGCCCATGGCCTGATGTGCAGGATGCCAGCAAGATCTGATCTTCATGGCCTCATCGCTGCTCCAAGCACGGGTCAGCTCGTTTTCTAGATACGAGGCTACCCGAACAGCCAAGACAACTGTCATATGCTAGTCTCATACTTGCAGTATTCCGAGCCCGGCTATCGCTCGATAGGAAGGAAAAGAGCCGGAGGCAAGAAAACTCCACAAGAAAGACTTCGTCCATATTCGCCTCACATGCTGGCCAGGCTGCGCAAACTATTGAGGAACCAAGGGCCATCAAGGGACCAAGCCGATAAAAGCCGCCGGCCGAAAGTCTGCCTCGTATCGCTACTTGCAAAAGGAAACAGGCGCGTGAGCCCGCTATGACCACGGATGGCTTTCAGTCTAAGCAGCAACCGTAACATCTTCAAGTCGCCAAAACGCACAAGTTAGATTGAAAAACTGGCTCTCAGCCACTGAGATCCTTTTCGCCGCCCCTATGATCCACTTGGGCGGTCCGTCTAATGGAGCAAAATTCTAGAAGCTGGGACTAGTTCTGTGATTCGACCGTCGCAAAGCCTCTTCCCCTCATTCCCCAGGTTTCCCCAAGTCCAAGTACGGAGTTTTCGATGAACTCCAAGGGAAATTCTGGGAGGCGAGGTTGGGGAAATGGGAGCACAAGTTGGACCTGGGGCCATTATCAGCCCACGGGAGATTGAACCGTCAAAATTTATGCCGATATGGGCACTTGTGCTGAGATGGATGAGAGCAAAATGCCTCATTTTAGAGGTGCGGGTTTCAGTGACACTGTGGCGCGTAGATTGGCTACGGGACATTGTTCAGCTTATCTTCTCTGCCGGCTATCTTAGTTCCAACATCACGCAATTGATGGAATCCAAAGATTACATTTCTGATAACTGGCATCCACATTTATGCAGCGCCTTTTCCTCTGGTGTGATGCATAGTGGGTTTTACGTGGTACTGTACTCCACGGATGAGCTGAGCCAGCTTTATCTTTGCTGCCCCTTGCAGGAGATCGTCTCTTTGTGATTACATGTAGCCACCACCACTGGATCCCAAGCCCTGGGTAACAAAATGTTGAGTTGCAATTCCACCGAATTACTGTTAACGTCATACTGATAAGAGACTACTGGCGCATGATTGTATCAGACAGATACGTATGGTCCATCTCGAGATATTACCGAGTGAAGCAGTGCTGGCTGCAATCTTGGCGATGTTAGTCCGGAATTGCAATGAGTGGCGTTGCATGCAGACAATCTACTCAAAGCCGCGTAAAGCCGCGTCTGATTCTCTTTCAAGCAAAGCTGAATTGACTTAACTTCTAGCGTCTTTTGTTGCTTTCTAGAAGGCAAACTGCCATCGATTAACGGAGGAGCGAGATGCTAGCAGTGACACTATGTACACTAGCGACGCCGTAACTACGCCTCTTTCTTTGTGCTGAGAACACCAAGTCGAATTATCGAATTGCGCTGGTTCTACCCCTCATAGCATCACCAGATCGCCTATTCTGGAAAAATGTAACACGAAGTGATCACAAATCGGGAACTGCCGGCCCGGAAGACGACTTGATTCAGGGGGAGCGAGTACTTGTCCATGTATTCTGCAGGGCGCAGGGCGCGCTCAGCTGGAGCCTCGTTCTGGAGTAGTCTCGCAAGCGCCCGTAAGCAAGCTAGATAGAACGATGACAAGTATCATAGTCAATATCAAGGCTAGGCTCGAAAGAGGATTTGATCCACCAATATCTTGGTGCGTTTGCTTTGTGTGTTGGTAAGCATCACTGAGAATATGGCCATGTTATAGATAAGGTAGATATAGAAGAGCATGTACTCAGCAGCTGTTGCTTGAATGGTTTGGAATGCTTGCAATTTGGTTGTCCCTTTTAGCCACTAGAAAGAAAATGATAATATAATATAACTAAAAGTAGAATTAGGAGATACAATGACCAAGTGTAACGTTCTAAGAATTGGGAGTGAAGCTTACGTGACAAGACACATGGCGCCCTCCAGGTAGTTGCTTTTACCGTCCCGGCACAGCTCAGCAACCAGTAGCGTACCCAGAAAAATGGAAATAGTTTCTAAAGTTGGAAAATGCAAAGTCATGGGCTCATTGGACTGAGCTGCCCATGAGAAGAGGACCAGCGTGGGAGTAATGAACAAGGCGGCGTTCATGCTTCGACCGATTGCAAATTCCAGCGCTGTCGTCATACTATTTCGATATGCCGCCACAATGGCTTCCACTCGAGCTGGTCCATCGGTAGCCAGCGGTAAGAGGACAAAGCTGACTGTCTTGCCGCTGATGAAGTCGGAGTCTGTTACCGAGCTTAGTGTCCGCAAGAGAAAGTAGGCGGACAGAGAAGACAGTCCAAGAACAGAGATGAGAAGCAGTCCCTCAACGATTCCCAGGAATAAAACACTTGTAGCGTGTTCATTGTCTGGTTCAGAGGGCATGGTTTCCAAGAATAGCCATCGGTGAGACCGCCATCGGTAGTGCTGATATATGATAAAAAGAAAAAGGAGAGCCATAGAAACAGACCGCGACATTCGTACCAGGTCGTCTTCGCAATCGGCGTCGGCCCTACATTGAACCTCGGAAATGGCAGACGGAACCACGAGAGACGTCGATGCGACGATCATGAGAGATGACGCTGTTGATGCAAACGTGGTATTAAATATTAGCTCACTGTGGCGGATGCTCCCGACCAAGAAGCACCATCCGACAACCTTTTGTGCCCATTAATATATAGTAAAAGAAATAAGAGATGGATAGAACTTACAAGAAGAAGATTGGCCAAGACGCTCCCAAGAATACACGATTGCGCTATATGAGCCGCGCCGTGTTGGATGGCTGCAATGCCTACCTAGCAGCTGGTGAGCATCTACCAAACTCTGACGTGAGTATTCGACATGTAATACATACAATCAACAAAGGTGCGTTATCTAGAATCGCATGCAAAAATCCACCGCCTAAAGGGCCTAACGTGCACGACAGCCTACGGAGTTTGCGAAGATTGAGTTTTGAGAGCGGGATGATGGCCAGAAGGTTGAACCAGAAAATGAGTTCCGGAGCCCTATTCTGAACACCAAAAGTTATCCCTAGAGGAATGAATATGAGAAGAAGATTGGAATAGCTTCCAGGAGTGAGCATCGTCAGCAAGACCCGCAACTCTTGTCGACATGGATCAGAGCTTGGTAGGAGAGGAGACTGCTCTTCAACGTCTCCGCTGGTAGAGTCAGAACATCTGGTGGCATGTTGAAGGTCCGCCATATGTCGCAATTGACTGTTGAGATAGTTCAATTAACAACTGAGATAGTTTTTAAAATGCTGCTCATCATTTTTTGTTTCCTTGATGCTATCGTAAAGGGCAACAAGAATGCTGGAGCAGGCCAGCTCAGATAGCCGCTAATGGGTGTAAGGCGGGGGAACATTAAGTTTTCAAGGGCTTCCGTCTCATCGAATAGCATATTTTACTGGTTATGACACTAACTGCTTCTCATTGATCCAACCAACAGCTGAATTTTGTTAAAGTTTGGTCGAGGCCGAATTTGGACTCAAGCTTGTTCCCCGCATTGTGCATTCCTAAGATGGACATGTCTAGAAATTGTGAGCCCTTGCTGAATCTCCATCTTGCTCTGCTCGCTTAAAATCTGACAGCAGGATGTGAATGAGTCCATCGGAGAATGTGAATCCGCTTATTCTGATTATAGATATATATATACAAGCGTGTGAAACACGTCGTTAATAAGCCGCAAGGATACTGTGCAGTTGGAATATGCCAAAAAAACTTCGAATTTTCACGACCTGAGCATTTCAGTGTGACGTCACTGAGGCTTGAAGCCATGGCGAGCTTCTGAAAATAAGCTTTCAACTCTTCAGCTGTATTTATAAAGGGAACTGAATTACCGAATAGGCAGAAGATGGGAATTTATTGCAATTCTGTCCGACCTGCTCAATGGTTTTAAAGTCAAAAGTCACCATGAGTATATCGGATTTTGAAGACCTGGGAATAATTTCAGATTATGAACACGATGAAGGAACAAGTGAAGAAGCAAAGGGCGCCCTCATGACGCCCGCGATACCTGCAATCCCGCTTGTTGAGAGAAGAGATAGGCCTCATCCGCCATGGGAGGGACACAGAGACAAGCTTGTTGGGATCGTGGATATGGGAAGGTAGGCTACCTTGATGATAGGCGAATATGCACAAAGACCTATAGGCTAACACATGATGCGTGTTTCTTAGTAATGGTATTCGGTTCTCTATCACAGACTTATCAACCCCAATGGCGCGTATCCTGCCGACGGTATTGACTTACAGATCCGGAATTTCGCTTTATGACTCGCAGTTCGATCCAGAGACAGGAGAGCAAGTTCCAATCCCAGACGATATCATTAGCGACATAGTCACGGTCTTTAATCGTTTCCTGATTGTCTGCAACGATATGGGAGTTCATCGGAACAACATTCATGTTGTTGCCACAGAAGCGACACGCAAAGCTATCAATTCGGCCAAGTTTCTGGAAATCATCAAAGAAAAGACTGGCTTGTCCATAGAAATGCTACCCAAAGAAGTGGAAGGCCAGATCGGCGCACTGGGCATTGCGAGCGGATTCAGAAATCTAGCCGGCCTTGTCATGGATCTGGGAGGAGGCAGCACACAAATCACCTGGATGGTGAGTCAAGGGGGCCATATCAGAATCAGCCCTGTTGGCAGCTTTAGCTTTCCGTATGGCGCAGCCGCTCTGAGCAGACAGTTGGGCGATTTGAAGAAGGGCAAGAGAAAGAAAGATGGAGAGGCCGCCATTGCTCGATTGCGACAGGAAATGGTGGAAAATTTTAGAGATGCCTATAACCATCTACAAATCCCCGACAGCTTGGTTGATAAGGCCAAGCGAGAGGGAGGATTTCGCATCTATCTGTCGGGCGGCGGATTTCGGGGCTGGGGCTATCTGTTGCTATACCTCAACCAGTCTCACGGCAAGCATTATCCAATCTCCATCATCAATGGATACACGGTTGGCCGAGAACAATTTGAAGATACCGATACAGTGAAAAACATAGCCAAAGCGGCAAAGGATGTCTTTCGAGTATCCGATCGTCGGCGATCTCAGGTTCCTGCGGTGGCATTCCTGGTCAATGTCTTGGCTGAGGCTATTCCTCATGGAATAAGGGAAGCTCACTTCTGCCAAGGCGGCGTACGAGAAGGGTATCTATTCAGGACTCTTTCTCCCGACGTCAGGGAACAGTCTCCATTGCAAGTGGCAACTATGAACTTTGCACCTACTTCTTTTCTCAGCATCCAGGAGTTGATCAAGCGTGCCATTCCGAAACCTTCCAAGAATCTGACCAAACGGTTTCCCGAAGAATTCGGCGAGCATGTCATTGATTCCTTTGCCAACGTTATATATGTGCATATGTTTATGTCCAAAGAGACGGCATCGACGACTGCGCTTTACTCAACTAGTGTCGGAATCATGTCGTCTACTCACGGTGTATCGCATCAAGACCGTGCTCGACTTGCCTTGATGCTGGAGTCTCGGTATCGAGGAGAGTTACCGCCAAGAGAGATGGAATTCCGCGATGCACTGCGATCACTAATTACTCCAGAGGAAGTTTGGTGGACTACTTACCTAGGCAGAATCGGATATATGATCACTCGTCTATATCCATCCGGAGAAATCGACCCAGTGAAGCCCAGAGTCGTGTTTTCATCCGAATGGGCATGGAACTTGGGTAAAAAGAAGAACAAGGAGGGATTAGTGTTGACGATATCAATACAGAAGAAGAAGGACGATCCTGCAGAGCTAAAACATGCACTGGAGGAAAATGTTAATGTCATCCAGAGAGTTGGTAAGAAGAAGCACTGGATAGGAAAGGAAGATCCTTGGGGCATGAAGGTGAAAGTTGAAGTGGTCGAAGAAGGGATTTTGGAGGCCCCAGAATGATGATGGTCGCATAAGGTTAATTGGTGTAATATCGTTTCATACCTAATAATAATGCACACGGTAACGAGATTTATGAGATGGCTGCTTCTGATGAGTCACACTAGTATATCATCATTGACTACACATGACGAAAATTGTGTTACAAGGTATAATCAGGCGGTAAGAGGCCAATTGAGTTTTTGAACAGTTGAATTAAGAAACTAATCTAAGAAGGAACACTTTTTTTGTGTTCAGCAAAGGTAGGCTTACAATCTGGGTTTTATAAAACATAGAAGAAATAAAAAATAAAACATTCACCAATTGTGAAAGAATAGACAGATAGACGACTCTAAAAAGGAAAAGAAATAGAAAAGAGAGAAATATGAAAGTCCAGGTCCTCCAATGTTAAAGCCCTTATCGCTTTTAGCCATGGATACGTTGGAAAGTGTCCGCGCGACGAGGCTGAGAAAATCCTTCTGTGGATGACTGGATGAAGTCAATCTTGATGAGGTATCGCATGCTCATCCTTACAGCCAAGCATCGCTGCTGAAGCTCAGAAACTTCAACTTCGGCATCCCGAGGGTTATGAGGAGCGCTGATGGCACCAAGGAAGTGCTGCACAGGCCATAGAGGATGCTTTTCGCCAACTTCGTTCATTGACTCTAGGGCTCGGTGAATCCATTCATCCAAAGGAATAGGTTCGCAGGAAACTTCAAGCTCTTTGTTGACGAGATCCCAGAAAACTGTTGTTGGTACTCCGCCCTGAACGTTGACGAAGGGAGCGATACCCTTCTTGGTGTGTATCTGGTTGAGAACTGAGGTAGCTACAGTGTCGACACCAACAACAGAGATCCAATTCTCTTCTGGCTCTGACGGATAGACGTGGAGAGAAGCGGCAGTAGAGACAAGACGCCAAAGCATATCATCCACGTTGGCCACACCAGTTTCCGAAGATCCAATGATGCGGCCAGGTTTGAGGGTGGAAATGCGATTCTGGTCAGCGGGAAGAGTGTCGATAATATCTTGGATAACGCCTTCAGAGACAAACTTGGTCTGGCTGTACCCATTAGAGTTGCCGAGGTATTGTGCGATAATCGTGCGATCCATAGTAGGGTCAGTGCTGATACCACCGGAGACGAAGAGAAACTTGGGCGAGGCAGGAGAGTTGACAGTGGCTTTGAGAAGGTCGACAGTCGAGTCAACATTAGCAGCACGCATCTTGCTATAATCGGCATTCCAGTTGACAATGGCACCGTTATGAATGATGGCATCGACATTGTTAGTAGACTGGCCGAACAAGCGCGCCCATTGCGCCTTTGTCAGATCCATACGCTTCTTACTTAAATCACCGGTCCAGATCTCAATCTTGTTTGCGTACTCTTCACTCCACCAGCCAGCGATCTTGGCAACGTTGCGGATACGATCCAGGCCGTGCTCAGGAGACTTGCATCGAACTAGAGAGATGACGGAGGCGATGTTATTGTTGCAAACTAGCTGTCTGAGAATTTCCTGACCGAGGAAACCAGTAGCACCGCTAAGGAAGACGGTGGCTTGGTCAGGTAACTCGGTCTTCGGGTTAGCAGCGAGATTGAGGGCACCAGTGTCCATGATTGAACGAGAAAGAGACGAGATCTCGTCAATGATATCGACGCGACCCATTTCCTGTTCCTGTTGTCCATCGAGCTCATTTTTGATGTATTCAGCCATGTTCGAAACCGTAGTATGCTTCGAGTTGAGAAGAGACATGCCAAGAGAAACACCGTACTCGCTGGTGATGGCCTTGGAGATGGTAACAATGCGGATAGAATCACCGCCGAGGCTATAGAAATTGTCATCCACGCCGATGTTTTCGGCAGACAGGCCTAGAGTAGCCGCCCACTGGTTTCGAACCCAGAGTTCGGCATCAGTGGAGCAGTCACGGAAAGGCGGACGGTGGTCAGTGAGATAGCTCGAAAGCTCTTCAGTCGCAAATTTGGCGGCAGACGCAAGTAGCAGCTTTCGATCTAGTTTACCAGATGCATTATGAGGCATGTGGTCCACAGGAATAAAGTACTTGGGGACCATGTGGACGGGCAGAACAGAGCTGAGTCTTGCAGCGATCTGGGAGAACATATCTCGCAGCTCGCTAGTGAGCTCTGTGAAACTAACTTGGTTGGAGATGCTCTCAGCCTCTTGATGAGAAGTAAAGCAGACGAAGGCAAGGAGGGATTCACGGCCATCATTTCGAGCAACGTCAACCACAGCGTGTTTAATGGTATCGTTGGAGAGCCTGATTTGGTACTCGACTTCGCCAAGCTCTATACGTTGACCACGGATCTTAACCTGAGTATCCTTCCGGCCAAGATATTCAACTGAGCCATCCGGGGTGTAGCAAACCAAGTCTCCCGTCTTGTAAAAGCGGCGCTCGCCAACGTTGGCGCCGGATGGCAGCCACTCGACATGGCCAATAAACGCCTGTCTAGTCTTCTCTTCTTCGTTGACATAGCCGCGCGCCAAACACGAGCCTTGTAGCAATAGCTCACCAACACAGCCAACGGGCATCAGGCGGTTATGGTCACTTGGATCGACAATCCAAAGGCCGTGAGTAAAGCTGCGACCGATGTTGGTGATGGAAGTATTGATAGAAGGCGAGTATATGTGGCTGGTAGAAGCAACACAGCCTTCTGCTGGACCATAGACGTTTCGGAGGTCGACCTTGCCAGCCCATGTCTCGATAAGCTCTTTTGAGGGAGCCTCACCCATGGTGAAGAGAGATTTCAATCCAGGGACTTGATCCGGTGACAGAGTCTTGATGAAAGTAGGCGTGAGGAGTGCATGGCTGACGCGAGCGTCACGAATGAAGGTAGCGGCATTGTGCAAGCGTTCATGCTCTGTGGGCACGCAAACCGTGGCGCCCATGGCAAGTGAAGTGAAGATCTCAATTATACAGCCATCAAAGATGTAGCTAGAAAATTGCAGCATGCGTGTCTCATCGTCATACGAGAGAGCATTTCGCTGTCTGAGAAGTGCCGCGGACACACCCGCGTGGGTAATGACGACGCCCTTGGGCTTGCCGGTCGTGCCGGAGGTGAAAAGAATGTACGCAGCGTTGTTTGGATCTGAAACGAGGACGGACAGCTCTGTAGTGTTGTTGGCAGAGATGTGAGCCATCGTAGATGCAGAAAGTTCAACTGTGCTTTGAACCATACCCTGGCAGTCAGGGGCCGTTTTCGGTGATACTACCATGAACTGTGCGCCGACTTCATCAATCAAAGCCTGTCGTCGGCTCATGGGGTGGGATGGATCTAGCGGAAGAAAGGTGCCGCCGGCCTTGAGAATACCTAGCATCGCGATGATGGCCCATATGGACTTCTCGAAGCAGAAGGCAACAATTGTTTCCGATCGGACACCGAGGTCGTAGAGGTGTGCGGCAAACTGGGTTGTCAGATGCTCAAGCTCGCTATAAGATATGCTTCTTTCACAGCTATAAATAGCCTCGTGGTTGGGTCTACGAACGACCTGGTTTGAGAAGAGATCGTGAAGAGTGGCGTCCGAAGGACCGTAAATCTCGTTGTTCCACTCGAGTTGCTTCTGGAGATCCCAAGAACCGGCGACCTCCACATCACCCAGCGGCGTCTCGTCTTGAGCAAGTAGTTGGCTAGTGACGTGAGCAAGCTGTTCAGAAATTGCCGTGGCTTGGAATTCAGTCACAGCACTAGAATCGTAAATGAACAACAGATCCACTTGAGTGTCCATAACAGCGATTTGAAGAACCAAAGGATAGTTTGCAAAGTTTTGCATGGACTCTTCCGTGGAATCCTTGGAGCCTCCAAATACTAATATCGAATCGGCATCATCTATGCCTTTCTCATCAGCAGCCTGTTGTTGGGCAGGCTGGATGGAGAGTAAGCTGGAGAAGTCACAGGCTTCTCTAGCTTCTGGGTTTAAAGCAGAGATATTTTGGAGACCGAACTGTTCATAGGCGACCATCTCGGAAGCTTGGATTTGAATATCATGCAAGAAACTTGATACAGGCTGTTCTTTATTAAGACGAATGCGGACAGGAACAGTGGCGAACATAGGACCAGGCATGGACTCCAAGCCAGGAACAGGTGCTTGACGACCAGAGACAGTGGTACCAAAGCAAACATCATTGGCATCGCAATACTGAGACAAGACAATTGACCAAGCGGCTCTGATAATTGTGGCCTTGGTGATAGAAGTGTTTGTAGTGCGTGGGAAATCAATGGACTTATTCAACACTTTGGTAATGTTAGTTTTGCTGACAGCCGTGGAGGAAAGTTGATCAACTCTCGGGAAAGAGGCACGCTGAGCGCCATGAAGCTGACGTCTCCAGTACTCTGCAACATCGTTTTCGTTGATGCTCGTCGTATACTTGACAAAGCGAGCAAACGGCTGCAAAGGAGGTAATTCGGCGCCAGCATACGCGGCATACAAGGTTCTCATAATGATGGGGAATGTCCAACCATCATAGACTGAGTGGTGAATGTGCCATGTAAAGTAGCGACTGTCGCCATCTTCTATGAGAGCATAGCGGCAGAGACGTGTACCATAACCCATATTGAAGGAAGGGATTGCATTTTGCATATAGGATTGTAACGAGACACCAGCGGTTGACTCCCATGATAGCCCCAAACTGTCTTTGATGACGGCTTGAATAGTTTTAGAACCAACAAGAACAATAGAAGTACGGAGATTGTGGCAGACGTCGACAGTCTTCATCCAAGCTGCTTTGAGACGCTCAATGTTGACGTGCTCAGGAATACGGTACACGTATCTAGCAGTGTATGAGCCGGGCTGCTTGACGGATAACGAAATAAGTCCTTCTTGTAGCTTTGTGGTCGGATAGGCATCTTCGACTGACTGGCTTGCAGACAGACTGCATTGCTTCTCGATCTCATTGACAATGATATCACGCTCGGAAGCCAGAATCATGCTGAAAGGCTCAGTACTGTACGTATCTTTAACTTGTCCTAACCGAGCAGAGACAGCAACTGCAGACAATCTGGGATCTGCGAATATTGAAGCAACGGTGAGTAGAATACCCTTTTCTTGGGCCAAGGTTATTAAGTGAATAGCCGAGATGGAGTCTCCTCCAATTTGCAAGAAGCTGTCGTTTTTGCCAATCTCTTCGGGGGAGATTTTGAGAAGTTGAGCCCAGAGATCTCGTAACCTGAACTCCATATCGGTTGTTGGCTCAATCTTATCTGCCTTGCTAGGAGCGAATATGGCAAGCTCTTCAGATGACAGGGTACTTGCGAGCTTTCGCAGCTGGTTCCTATCAAGCTTCATAGAAGTGATAAAGGGCATCTTTCTGATAGTCAGAATAAGACTAGGCACCATGTAACCGGGAAGAACAGCTTTAAGATTGTCAAGCAGAGCAGCGTTAGCGGTACGAAGAGCATCGTTGGGCTCGATAAGATTATCCGAAAAGCTGGTTACACCGTTGCCGTTGTAAGTGCCTAAGAATGAGACAAAAGCAACGAGCGATTGTCCAGACTCTCTAGTGATGATATCAACAGCCACATGCTCAATATCGGGCAGAGCTCGCTGAATGGTATACTCAATCTCTCCAAGTTCGATACGCTGACCACGAAGCTTGACTTGAGAATCCTTACGGCCAAGGTATTCTAGTGAACCATCTGCACAGTATCTTACCAGATCGCCTGTCAAATAGAAACGCCGAGGACCGGCAACAGCTTGTGTGGAAAGAGAAGAAATGCCAGTTACAAACGAATTTTTCGTTCTTTCTGAATCGTTGATATATCCACGAGCAAGCACATGGCCCTGAATGACGAGTTCACCAACACAGCCGATTGGAGTGAGTAAATGGTGGTTATCAGGCTCTACAACCCAACAAGAGCTATTAAACGGCTTTCCGATAATGTGCGGCGAGTCGTGTTGAGACGAGAAGGGGTACCATGTTGCGTAGTTGCATGCTTCAGCAGGTCCGTATCCATTGATAAGTCTCACACGATCGCACCAAGAACTAAGAATATCTTTACCGGCTGGTTCGCCGCCAAGAATTAAAGTTTTGAGGCTCGGGACTTGGTCGGGTGTAAATGTGCGGACGAACGAAGGCGTCAACATGGCAGTGTTAATACGAGCCTTGCGAATGAATCCCGGAGCGTCTTGCAAACGTTCAGTTTCGTCAGGCACACAGACAGTACCACCAAAGGCCAACGTAGCAAGTATTTCACCCAAGCTACCGTCGAAGATATAGTTGGAGAACTGGAACACGCGTGATGCTGGGCTTAAGTTGTAGACACGACCGTAGCCAATAGTACTCGTTGTAAGCGCGGAATGTTCCATCACTATACCCTTTGGCTTACCAGTTGATCCGGATGTGAAAATCACGTACGCTGCGTTACTTGGGCTTGGCCGCTTGGGCTCGGTGAGACGCTTCTCGAGAACCGATAGTTGAGCCATAGCTTCGGATGAAAGGTCAACAATTGTATGAGCTAGGCCAGCGCAAGACGCAGCTGACTCTGGCGATGCAACAATGATCTGTGCATTAACTTCTTGAACAAGGGCCTTCCGGCGACTTATAGGATGCGAGGGGTCTAGAGGAACAAAGACACCCCCTGCCTTGAGAATACCAACAATAGCGACGACTGCCCACATAGACTTTTCGAAGCAGTAAGGAACAACTGTCTCGGGACCAACGCCAAGCTCGCAAAGGTGGCTGGCTAACACGTCTGTTAGGCTATCAAAAGCACCGTAAGTCATACTGCCCTCGGATGAATATATCGCCTCGTGGTCGGGAGTGCGTTGAGCATTGCTGGAAATCAGATCATGCACACAGGCCTCGATAAGTTCAGGAGCGTCGTTATTCCACTCTAGAACTTGTTGAAGGTCCCAAGGACTGGTCATAGATAGGCTTCCAAGAGTATCTTGGCCACGTGTCAGAAGCTGCTGCACGACGTGTTCATACTGCTGCGAAAGAGCTTGAAGCTGGTACTCTAACAATACACTCGGGTCGTAGATGAACATCAAATTGACCATTTCATCATATATGTGACATTGGGCGACCAAAGGGTAGTTGTAGTAGTTTTGGAGGACTTCTTCAGCACGCAGAAGCTCGGAACTGGCAGGAACCAAGAGAGGCGTCTCAGAGCTGTCACCTGTTGATCCAATATGCTGGATAGGCTGAACAGCCAATAAGCTGCTAAAGTCAACGGCATCTTTGAACTCAGTGCCCATCTTGGATATGTTCTGAAGGCCAAATTGCTCGAATTCAACCATGTCGGTGGCTTGTGCCTGTATGTCTTTGAGGAATTGGGCTATTGGTTGCTGCTTATCCAAACGAATCCGCACAGGAACAGTGGTAGCGACTAAACCGGGGGTAGCTTCAAGACCCGGAATTGAAGCATGGCGGCCAGACACGGTTGTGCCGAAGCAGACGTCTTCAGTATCCGAATGACGAGCAAGGACAATAGCCCACGCGGCCCTAAGGACTGTGGCTTTGGTAATAGATGAGCTTGTCAAGCGTGGGAATTCAATTGCCTTGATCAAGAACTGAGAGGCCGAATTTGCGGCATCGGAGCCCACAAGCTCTTTGGTAGCTGGGAATGAAGCCTTCTTAGCTCCGGAGAGTTGTCCAGTCCAATACTTGATAGCACTATTCTCGTCGAGGTCAAGAGTGTACTTGACGAATCCAGCATAAGGTTGGAGTGTAGGAACCACAGTATTGTTATAAAAGCCATTTAGAGTACCCATGATGAGAGGCAAGCTCCAGCCATCAAAGATGGTGTGATGAATGCTTAAAGAGAAGAAATTGTGACCAGTGTCTTCGTCTTGGATAAGAGCATATTGGCAGAGTCGGGCTCCGTAATTTATGTCAAAAGTCCGAGACGCGCAAATATATGCCTCCAAGCTACGATCATAGCCAGATTGCCACAAGATGTCATCTTTCACAACTATTTGGATGTGCTTGTTGTCAACTAAGATGATCCTAGTGCGTAGGTTACTGCTAGCTTCAACGGTACGTTCCCAAGCACTTTTGAAGCGAGCGATATCTACATGTGGAGGAAGTTGGTAGACATGCTTGGCGATGTAAGACCCGGGCTGTCTGTTTGCAATAGCTATAAGACCCTCCTGTAGACTCGTGCATGGGAAGGCATCCTCTAGTGTAGAGTAATCTGGTAAATGACACAAGCTTCGAGCCACTCTAGTCAAGTCGCCGATATTCATGCTGGGTAGCATGCAGAAAGGTTTGGCTTCTAAGGTTTTGGCAATGAAACCGACTTGCGCAGAGGCTGCCAAGGAGGATAGCCTGGAATCAGAAAAGATTTTGGCAACGGTGATGTTGATGTCCGCTTTCTGTGCGGCAGTGACGAGATGGATTGCGGTAATGGAGTCGCCGCCGATGTCGAGAAAGGCGTCATTGCGACCAATTTCGCTGGCCTCTACTCCAAGCACCCGCGCCCATAAGTCTCGCAGCTTGAATTCAAGTTCAGTCGTGGGCTCAACCATTATTCTCTTTGAGGCTGCGTAAGCAGATATGTCTTCAATAGAGAGGCTGTTGGCCAGAGCAAGAAGCTGCTTCTTGTCGAGTTTCATTGATGTAATGAAAGGCATGCAACGAAGGGGTAAGATGACGCTTGGCACCATGTAGCTAGGAAGAGCAGACTTCAGACCTTCTCTTAAGCTATCGAGGATGGGCCTGATGGAGTTGTCTATAGGAAGCAAATTTAGCGACGGTTCATCTGACGTCCAATTGGCATTCCCGTCATCGGCAAACGAGACAAATGCAACGAGCGAATCGCCGTTATCTCTACGAAGAACGTCAACAGCGGCATGTTCTACATTTTCGAGTAGCCGAGTAATGTGATATTCGATTTCACCCAACTCAAGGCGTTGACCTCGTAGTTTGACTTGTGAGTCTTTTCGACCTAGATATTCTAGCTCACCGGTAGAATTATAGCGGACTAAATCTCCTGTGAGGTAGAATCTGTGCGGCTTAGGCAAAAGAGACAATGGAATAGACCCAACTTCGGTGACGAAAGACTCGTCCGTTTTCGCCTTATCATTCAAATAACCACGCGCAAGGGCTCTGCCTTGAAGAACAAGCTCGCCTATGCAACCCATAGGCGTAAGCTTGTTATAGTCATCAGGCTCGACAATCCAGCAAGCTCCGTTGAAGCCAGATCCAATAACACGAGGGGATTCGGCACTGGATTTGAATTTGTGTATCGTCGCGTAGTTGCAGGCTTCAGCAGGTCCGTATCCATTGAATAGAGTAACGCGGTCAACCCACATTTCCAAAGCGGTCTTGGAAGCAGCTTCGCCACCCAAGACTAAAGTCTTCAGATAAGGCACCTGGTCCGGCGTAAAGGTCTTCACAAAGGATGGGGTCAACATGGCCGTGTTCACCTTGGCCGTATGCATAAAAGTAGGGGCGCTCTGAAGACGTTCATCCTCGTTTGGTATGCAAATAGTTCCTCCAGTGGCTAACGGGCCGAATATTTCGCCCAAGCTACCATCAAAGATGTAGTTGGAAAATTGGAAAACTCTTGATGCTGTCTCGATACCATAAACCTTGGCGTATGCAACGGTAGTAGAGCTGAAAGAGCAATGCTGCATGACAATGCCTTTGGGCTTTCCGGTTGATCCAGAGGTGAAAAGGACGTACGCAGTGTTCCCTGGTCTGACTTTGGGAAGGGCTGTGAGGATTACAGAAGTAGAAAGCCTAGTCATCACACTTGGCGATAACTCAACAACGTGCTCGGCCATGCCTGCACACGAGGCAGCAGCATTTGGAGACGCGATGATCACTCGGGCTTTGACTTCTTTGATCAATTCCTCGCGGCGGCTGATGGGGTGTGACGGATCAAGAGGCATAAATGCAGCTCCAGCCTTCAGAATTGCCAAAATTGCAACAACAGCCCACATCGATTTCTCGAAACAGTACGGTACTATTATTTCTGGACCAACACCCAAAGAACTGAGATGCGTAGCAAGGATATCAGATAGATGATCCAGCTCACCATAGGTAAGGCTGCCCTCAGAAGAATATATTGCTTCATGAGTTGGATCTCGGGAGGCATGTTCAGCGAACAACTCATGTAAGCATGTTTGGTCGACTTCAGGTTGCTTGCTGTTGAGCTTTACAGCTTGTTGGAGATCCCAAGGACCAGCGATGTTCACATCGCCTAGAGTTTCGTCGCCCTGAGCAAGGAGCTGTTGGACCACATGGTCGAACTGATGTGTTAGCGCACCCAGGTGAGTTTTTTCAAGGACATTAGAGTCGTAAACGAGAACTAAGTTAACACGATTGTCGTAAAGATGACACTGGATAACTAGAGGATATGAAAAATAGTTTTGCAGCATATCTTCAGCTTTAACATGGGGAGAATCAGCTGGAACGATGAGAGCATCTTGTTGGCCGGCATTGTTGCTATCGGCGCTCATATGTTGAACTGGTTGAATGGCTAAGAGAGATGTGAAGTCGCAGGCGTCCTTGACATCCAAGCCTAGTTTAGAGATATTCTGAATACCAAATTGTTCGTAATCAACCATGTCAGAAGCCTGAGTTTGGATATCCTCAAGGAAAGACTTTAACGGCTTTTGTCGATCGAGGCGAATACGAACAGGGACGGTAGCGACGACCAGGCCAGGCATAGCTTCAAGACCAGCCACGTTGGCATGACGACCTGATACTGTTGCACCAAAGCATACATCATCGCTTTCAGAGTAGCGTGCAAGGACGAGAGCCCAGGCAGCGCGAAGAATTGAAGCTTTCGTGATGGACGTGTTAGTATTAGGGAACTCAATGGTCTTGTTCATGACGCGCGTCTCAGAAAAGCTGGGCTTGTCGCTGGGAGCCGGAAAGCTTGCACGTTTGGCACCTTGTAGCTGCAGCTTCCAATACTCGGATGCAGAGTTGTGATCGAGTTCGGTTGTATACTTGACAAAGGCAGAATAAGACTGCAAAGAAGGCAACTCAAGATCAAAATACGCCGCTGAGAGTGTGCCCATCACCAAAGGAAGAGACCAGCCGTCGAAAACAGTATGGTGGATTCTGAATGCAAAATAGTTTCCGCTTTCTCCTTCGATGATGGCGTAGCGGCAGAGGCGCTGTGCATAACCCATTTCAGAAGAAAGTGTAGCGCGAGCATATGACTCAAGCGAAACATTGGTAGTATCATCCCAGGCAATGTCATCTTTAAGAATGGCTTGAATGGCGACACCGTTGACGAGAAGGATACGGGTGCGAAGATTGGTGCAACTCTTGATAGTAAGCTCCCAGGCAGCACGGAATCTCTTAATATCAACGTGATCAGGAAGTTGATAAAGGTATTTGACAACATAAGATCCGGGTTGCTTAATTGCGAGGGCCATAAGTCCCTCTTGAAGCTGGGTGCAGGGGTAGGCATCTTCTAGTAGATCGTCTCCAGCAAGATTGCACTGTTCTCTGACGGCATCAATGATATGCGCCTTGCTAATGAATTTGTCCAGCAAGCTGAAAGGCGCAGCAATTGATAGACCCATATCGCTAGAGTTATTGGCTATCAGCGCGAGTTTCGAAAGGCGAGGATCCTTGAAGATGTCTTTCACAGCGATCGAAATGCCGGCTTCGCGGGCGTTGGTAACAAGCTGGATGGCAGTGATAGAATCGCCGCCGATCTGTAAAAAGCTGTCATCGCAGCCAATATCTTCTTTAGGCATGTGTAAGACAGCAGACCAAAGCTCCTGCATGCGTCTCTCCATCTCGGTCTCAGGCATACGTTTGCTGCCGCTGCTTAAAGAGTAAGCATTGCATTGTTCTTGGCTAAGTTCAGAAACGAGTTTCTTTAACTTATTTCTATCCAACTTTTTAGAGGTGATAAAAGGCATATAGCGACAGGGGATGAAAAGCGAAGGCACCATATAGCGAGGTAGCAAAACGCTGAGCTGGCTGACCATGTCTGCAAGCTGCTTTTGAAGTTCTTCGGATATAGGAAGGAAGATAGTTTCTTCCGACTGAGAAACTCCGGCAGTAGTTGTTTCATCTGAAAAGCAGAAATAAGCCACTAGTCTTGTACCAGCTTCAGTCTTGAAAACGTCAACAGCAACTTGACGAGCGCTTTCAAGATTGCTACGCACGTGGTGCTCAATCTCTCCCAATTCCACGCGGAAACCTCGAATCTTGACTTGCGTATCTTTCCTACTGCAGAACTCAAGAGTACCGTCAGGGTTGTACGAGGCCAAGTCTCCAGATTTGAACATACGTGACCAGTGAGGATCGTCGCGGCGAGGTGCCCACGTAGGTAAGTTATCCATGATAGAGGCCTTGGTACGCTCAACGTCATTGAGATAATGTCGCAAGACTGCTGGGCATTGAATGACAACTTCACCTAGAGTACCTATAGGCGCAAGCTTATAAGGGTTCTCAGGATCCACAATCCAACAATAACCTCCAATAGGGCGACCAATAGTTAATGGAGATTCATCAATAGATGTAAACTCATGTAGAGAGCTGATGACGCAGGTCTCAGCAGGGCCCCAACCATTAAACAAACGAACTTTACCAACCCACGCACTATGAACATCGCGAGGGACAGCTTCACCGGCTAGGAACAAGAATTTGACTGAAGGAACCTGCTCTGGAGTTATAGTTCGTACAAAGGACGGCGTCAAAAGGAGCGAGTTAATTTTGTGCTCATTGATGAATTCTTTGAGTCCATTCATCCTGGTGTTCTCAGAAGGTATGAAGAGACAAGCGCCGAATATAAGCTGCAGTAGTCCATCAGCGAGCGATAAATCAAACACGTACGAAGCAAATTGGAGAGTTCGGTGGTTTGAATCCACACCGAGCCTCTCTCCAATAGCAAGCTGACTGGTTGCAACGCCGCCATGTGTCTGGACCAGACCCTTAGGCGTACCTGTGGAGCCGGAGGTGAATAAAACGTAGGCGGCATTGGAAGAATGCACCGGTACTTGTGGCTCTTTTGCACCAAGCTGGGAATCAAGACGGTCGTATAGAGTCGGAGAGATGTCAATCACTTGATCAATTACATCAGAGACTAAGTGTCTTGTAGTGTCCGATACGAGTGCCACCTTCGAACAGGTCTGTGAAATAACCTGACGAATGCGCTGCTGGGGATGAGATGGATCAAGAGGAACCCATACAGCACCAGCTTTGTTAACCGCGAGAATAGATACCCAGTACCAAGCTGACTTTTCGAAGCAGACGTGGATGAGGTCCTCGACTTGGACATTATAGTCAGCAATCAGATGGTGAGCTAGAGTGTTAGCTAACTCATTAAGCTGTCCATAAGTCAATTGACCATCCCACGCCCAGATGGCTGGCGAAGTAGGAGCCTCTTTAGCACGCGCTTCAATAAGATGATGAACGCAGGTGTCCATAAATTCGGGGATCTCTTGATTGAACTCTGTGGCACGTTGAAGATCCCAATCGGAAGCAACAGTCAGATCTTCAAGGGTAAGGTTTTCGCCCATGAATAGCTGGGAAGCCACATGATTGAATTGATGGCACATGGCCTCCATAGCTGATTCAGAGACTACAGCAGAGTCAAAGGTGATAAACAGCTCAATGAAATCATTGAACAAGTGGCCTTGGATAACAAGAGGGTAAGAGAAATACCCTTGCATCGATTCCTCGGCAGAACTACCTTCAATAGCAGCAGGCATCAGAAGATCGTCCCCAACAGCTTCAGTCTCAGCAGACATAGTTTTGCTCCGGGAATCCAGGTGTGTTCTAGGTTGCACAACCAATAGGCTCGTGAAATCGCATGCTTCTTTCATGTCGGGATGAATCTTTCCAATGTTTGACAAGCCATATTGCTCATATGGAACCATTTCATGAGCTTGATTTTGGACAGCATGGAGGTATTTGCCTATTGTCTGTTTCTGATCAAGACGTACACGCACAGGAACAGTAGCGACTACAGGGCCCGGCATGTCCATGAGACCAGAAACCGGAGCTTGTCTGCCTGAAATCGATGTACCGAAAGTGATGTCGTCAGTATCACAATAGCGAGCAAGCACAATTGCCCAGGTGGCTCGCATAATAGTAGCCTTTGTTATCGAAGGGTCGGCTGAGGCGGGGACTTGGATGGTCTTGCTGATCAGTCGAGTGGCGCCCTCTGGTGCAGAGACTGGTGCAGCTGGAGGATAAGAAGCCTTTTTGGCGCCTTGCAGTTTCTGGTTCCAGTAATTGGCGGCATCGACATCGTTTATGCCTGTAAGATAGTGTATGAAAGCCGAATATGGCCTCAAAACGGGCAATTCTAGATTGTGGTATGCGTTCTGGAAAGTAGTCATGATGAGACGGACGGTCCAGCCATCATGAACTGCGTGATGCACAGTCCAGAAGAAGTAGTCGGTTCCGTCATCATGAATTAAAGACAGCCGAGAGAGACGAGAGCCATAGGTCATTTCAGTGCCCTGGATGGCTTGTCTAGCGGCGCGTGCATTTACATGATTCTGAGGCCACCCACTGGCGTCTTCCTTAACAACTATTTGAACGCACTTTCCATCGAGTAAAACGATTCTAGTGCGCATAGTAGGGCACAAGGCAATGGTGTTTTCCCAGGCTGCTTTGAAGCGACTGATGTCCACGTTCTTTGACAGGCGATAGGCGTATTTGGCAATATACGAACCCGGCTGTTTTACAGAAAGAGCCATCATTCCCTCTTGGAACATGGTTGTAGGATAGGCATCCTCCACTTCCTCGTTGGCGGCCAGGCTGCAGAGGCTTCGAACGTCGTCACCAAGAGCAAGCTGGCGTATGGAAGTATCAAGCATGCAGAATGGGGTGGCATCAAAGTCAGAGGCTTGCTCATGTTCTGCAATATCACGAGCTTTGCTGGCAACGGCGGATAGGCGAGGGTCGTCAAAGATGTCTTTTACAGCCAGCATGACGCCTAATTCGCGAGCCGCGCTGACCATGTGAATTGCAGTAATGGAATCGCCACCTAGGCTTAGGAAGCTATCGTCACAGCCAATTGACTCAATGGATATTCCAAGCAGTTTAGACCATAGCTTCTGTAAAAAGACCTCTCTAGGTGTTTCTGGTGAACGCTTCTTGCTATTGAGGAGAGAGTACTGCGCAATCTGATCCTTATTTAGACTGCTAGTAAGTTTCTTGAGTGTATTGCGATCAAGCTTTGTCGAGGTGATGAAGGGCATGTAACTGCAGAGGATGAACATTGTAGGAATCATATAGCGCGGCAGAGAAATGCTTAGTTGGCCAATGACGACTGCTAGATGGGACTGTAAATCTGCATCAAGCGGGAGGAATGGCCCATCTGAATTGGCATCGGTAATTCCCACGGTTCGAGCCTCATCACTGGGACAGAAATATGCAACAAGATTCGTGCCATTTTCGCCTTTGTATACGTCAATGGCGACTTGTCGTGCTCCAGTAAGTGCTTGTTGAACATGATACTGAACTTCTCCCAACTCCACGCGCAAGCCGCGTATCTTGATTTGCGTATCCTTACGAGTAGAAAACTCGATTGTGCCATCTGAGTTATAGTAGCAAAGATCTCCCGACTTGTAAAATTTGTTCCAGTGCTTGGAATCAGGGCGAGAACGAAGGGCCCATTGAGGAATATCATCTATAACAGAAGCTTGAGTTCGTTCGGGATCTGCGAGATACTCTTGTAACAAGGTTGGCCCTTGAATGACAACCTCTCCTAGTGTTCCAATAGGGGCCAAGCGATCAGGATGCTCTGGCTCGACGATCCAACAGAAGCCACCAACGGGTTTACCAATCGTAAGAGGTGATTCGTTGACTGATTGCCACTCGTGGAGGGTTGAGAATACACAGGTCTCAGCTGGCCCCCATCCGTTAATAAGGCGGACATTACCGAACCAAGTGGCGAGAACGTCTCGAGGGACAGCCTCGCCAGCTAGTAGAATAAGCTCAAGGCTTGGAACCTCTGACGGGCTTATCGTGCGGATAAACGAAGGTGTAAAGAAGGCCCAGTTGACGTCTGTCTCTTGAATGAACTGTACAAGCCCATTCATGCGAGTGTAATCCGATGGTATACACAAACATGCACCAGTAATTAAGGGTGCAATAATCTCACCAATGGAAAGATCGAATACGAAAGCCGCAAATTGCAACATGCGTACATCTGGGGTCAGGCCAAGCCTCTTGACAATAGCGGTTTGTGACGTGCATACAGATCTGTGCTGCATAACTAATCCTTTTGGCGTTCCTGTGGATCCAGAGGTGAAAAGTACATAAACAGGGCTTTCCGGAGATACAGTAGTTACTGGACCTTTCTGACTGTAGTTTTTGACCTTGGATAACTCCAAGTCAAGCTTTGAGTTGACAATTACAACAGACTCAACTAAGCCAGCACACAAAGTGCTATTATCGGGTGAAGCCAACGCAACGTTAGCACCTGTCTGAGATACGATTTGCCGAAGCCTCTTCTCTGGATGAGACGGATCCAAAGGAACCCAAGCAGCACCAGCTTTGTTGATTGCGAGAATAGACACAAAGAACCATGCTGACTTTTCAAAGCACACGTGGACCAAGTCTCCAACGTTGAGATTATAAACGGCCACAAGGTGATTGGCAAGGCGATTAGCAGCGCAGTTGAATTCGGCATACGTTAATTTGGCATCCCAGGCGTTAATTGCGACAGCATCGGGGCGGATTTTGGCTTGCGCCTCAATAAGCTCATGGACACATGAGTCGATTATGTCAGGGATTTCGGGGTTGAATTGGAGAGATTGGGTGACGTCCCAGTCTGAAGCGATGGATAGAGACTCAAGGCTTAACTGAGGTTGGGAGACAAGCTGTTCAACAGTATTCTTGAACTGTCGTGAAAGCGCCACAAGTTGTGAATCTGATAGAACACGGGAATCATAAATCAAAACAAGGTTGATAAAGTCATTGTGCAAATGCCCTTGAATCACCAATGGGTAAGAGAAATAGTTTTGCATCGATTCTTCTTTGGCCTCGCCAATAGCGCTGGGTGCAGCCAACAAGGCATCTTCATTGTCATTATCATCGAATATCAAAGTCTGCACGGGCTGAATGACAAGAAGCGATGAAAAGTCACACGCGTCCTTAGCATCAGCACTTAATTTGCCTATACTTTGAAGGCCGAACTGCTCATAGGCGACCATTTGAGTTGCTTGGTCTTGAATACCTTGCAGAAACGTGCCCACAGATTTTTGTCGATCCAAGCGGACTCGAATTGGCACAGTTGCGATAACTGGGCCAGGCATCTCCGTCAGCCCAGAAACAGGGGCCTGTCTACCCGAGATTGTTGTGCCAAAGCAAACATCATCAGTATCACAGTAACGCGCGAGGACCACCGCCCATGCTGCGCGGAGGATAGTCGCTTTAGTAACGCTTGCGCCGTTTGGCGGCAGACTGATGCGGGTTTCCATAAAGCGAGTGACATCGCCCTCATCAGCTGACTCGATGTGAATGGAGGAGGGGAAAGTAGCTTTCTTGACATCATGGAGCTCTCTCATCCAGTACTCACTGGCTTCCTGGTGGCTGATACCCATCGTATACTTGATGAACCTGGCATAGTTCTCGATTTTGGGCTCTCCAATGCCTCTGTAGGCGCTGTGTAGAACACCTAGAATAATGGGCGTTGTCCAGCCATCAAAGACTGCGTGATGAATATTCCACACAAACTGGACGTCCTGACCCTCTTCTTCTATCAGGGCGTAACGACAGAGGCGGGAGCCATAGCTCATTTCTGTCATCGCAGGGGATCGAAGATATGACATGAGAGTTATTCCTTGGGTATTTTCCCAAGCCACATCATTCTTGACGATGGTCTGAATCGTCATGCCGCCAATACTAATTATGCGAGTGCGCATGTTGGCGCAGAGCTCGACGGTTCGTTCCCAGGCGCGCTTGAATCTGCCAACATCGACGTGGGCAGGCAAGCGGTAATGATACTTGGCAATGTAGGAGCCAGGTTGCTTGACCGCCAAAGCCATTAAACCTTCTTGAAGCTTAGAACAGGGGAAGGCATCTTCGACTTCCATGTCTGTTGGCAGTTGGAGCTCGGAGAACCCGCCGAGAACCATGGTTTGTTGATCCCGATCAAGCAGAGAAAATGGATCAATAAACGCCATCTCTTCGGCTTCGCCATCTACATCGATGGCTTTAGCTGCAACAGCAAAGAGTCGCGGGTCGTTGAATATATCATTGATGCTCAAAGAAATGCCATAATCGCGCGCTTTGGAAATAAGCCCAATGGCAGCTATGGAGTCACCTCCAATTTTCAAAAAGTTATCCAGGCGACCAATAGAGGCGGCGGGCATGTTCAAAAGAGTAGCCCAAAGTTCTTGCAGACGGAACTCCATTTCGGTTTCCGGCTGCGTCTTGTCACCGTCAATTAAAGCATATTTCTCAAGTTGCTCTTTAGTCAAAGAAGCGGTGATGTTCAGCAAAAGCTTTCTGTCGAGCTTGCCAGAAGTAACGAGTGGCATAGCATTGCAAGGAATGAATAATGTGGGAACCATATAACCGGGGAGGATAGTATTCAGACGGCTTTGCAGGCTATTGATATTGTCTTTTAGTTCCGCCGTAAACGGCAAGATGATGTCCTGGCTGGTGATATTACCAGTAGCGCTGGAAGGGAGGGTATCATTGTTGAAGCAAACAAAGGAAACGAGATTGGAGCCAGCGTCAGTCTTATGGACGCCGACAGCGGCTTGCTGGATGCCATCGAGGTTCTGGAGAACATGGTACTCGATTTCGCCCAACTCCACTCGCAGGCCACGGATCTTGACCTGTGTGTCCTTGCGGCTATAATACTGAATAGTTCCATCAGAATTATACATTGCCAAATCGCCTGTCTTGTAAAATCGGTTCCAGTGACGAGAGTGGCGATTAGGTGCCCATGCGGGGAGGGACGCGACAGTCGAAGCAGCAGTCTTTTCCTTATCCGAAAGGTACTCGCGGAATAAATTAGGTCCCTGGATAACAACTTCACCAAAAGTGCCTATGGGAGCTAATTTCTGGCAATCTTCAGGGTCAACAAGCCAGCAGTAGCCGCCAACAGGTTGACCAATTGTTAGCTGAGACTCATTAAGAGACTTCCACTCGTGTAATGCGCCAAAGACGCAGGTTTCAGTTGGGCCCCAACCATTGAGTAGACGAAGCTTGCCAAACCATAGCTCCATAACATCGCGACTAACAGCTTCGCCAATAAGAATCAGAAGCTCTAGACAAGGGACTTCCTGGGGATCAATGGTACGGGCAAAGGAAGGGGTAAGCATTGCCCAATTGACACCGGTCTCACGAATGTAGGTTGTAAGAGAGCTCATCTGTGTCTCCCACGATGGAATACACACACAAGCGCCCGAGATTAATGGGGCAATCACTTCCCCAATACATGCGTCAAAGACAAAAGAGGCAAATTGGAGCATGTTCACGCCAGGAGCATAGCCAAGCCTCTTACTAATAGAGGTTTGGCTGCTGCAGAGGGACCCATGTTCCATGACGACGCCCTTGGGGACACCAGTAGATCCGGAGGTGAAAAGGATGTACGCAACGTTATTGCAAGTAACAGTTGTTGTGGGTTTACTGTCGGAAATTTCTGGATCGGAGACAAGCTTGTCGTCAAGATCTCGCGTGACTTCCAGGACATTGGCAACTAGCTCAGCACACTTAGAGGCGTTGGACGCCGAAGTAAGAGCTAAGCAGGAGCCGGTTTGACTGACAACCTGTTGATGGCGCTCAGTTGGGTGTGATGGGTCAAGTGGTATCCAGGCTGCGCCAGCTTTGTTGATTGCCAGGGTTGAGACTATATGCCAAGCCGATTTCTCAAAGCATACATGAACAAAGTCGCCCACATTAACACCCATGGACTGAATCAGATAGTTCGCCAGTCTGTTGGCAGCACGGTCTAACTCAGCGTAGGTAAAGCTGGCATCCCAAGCATTGATAGCTGGAATATCTGGGGTCAGTAGAGTTTGCCGCTCAATCAAAATATGAATGCAATCTTCGACAACAGCAGGCTCATCTTGGTTTGACGCACGCGCGAATTGGAGGTCCCATTCGCTTGCTATAGAGATTGTGGATAGAGAGCTATTCTCTTGACCAAGCAGCTGCGCAACAACGTGTTCAAATTGATGAGAAAGGTTAGTAAGCTGGTACTCAGAAATCAGGTCAACGTCATAAATAAGAACGAGGTTGACATGATCGTCAAGCAGGTGACACTGTAGAACTAAAGGATAATTGAAATAGTTCTCTAGCATCTCATCAGCATGAACATCATCGACGGCTGCAGCACTGAGTAAAGCCTCTTCTTCCCCGTTTCCAGTTGAAGTCATCTGTTGAATAGGCTGTACAACTAACAAACTGGCAAAGTCGCAAGCCTCCTTGGCTTGGGCATTTAGCTTGGAAATATTCTGAAGGCCAAATTGTTCGTAAGCAACCATTTCAGAAGCTTGTGATTGAATGCCGTCTAAAAAGCCACCTAAAGTCTGATTTTGGTCCAGCTTTACGCGAACTGGGACAGTGGCGACTACAAGACCGGGCATTCGTTCAAGGCCGGGAACAGGGGCATGGCGGCCAGAAACCGTAGTTCCAAAGCAAACATCATCAGAATCATTATATCGTGCGAGCACAATAGCCCATGCTGCTCGAAGAACTGAAGCTTTTGTAACGGAGGTATTGGTAGATCGAGGGAATTGAATCGCGCTGTACTTGACGCGAGTTGACGTTTCCGACTTCTTGGCTTTAGCCGCTCCATTAGCAGGAGGGAATACTGCCTTCTTAGCACCGTCTAATTGCTGAGTCCAATAATCACTAGCAGCCACATGATCTAAGTTCTCGAGGTATTTAACGAAACCGGAATATGGGAGGAGTGAAGGAATCTCAGTCCCGTAATAGAAAGCATGGAGGGTGCTCATTATCAATGGCAAAGTCCATCCGTCGAAAATAGTGTGATGGATGTTCCAGGCAAAATAGGCTTCGCCGTCTTGCTGAATAATGGCAAAACGACAAAGGGGAGAACCGTAGCCCATGTGAGAGTTCTCTGTGGACATGACGAACGATCGAACATCTGATGAAGACTGCCAGTGGACGGAATCCTTAATAACAGCCTGGAAAGCTTTGCCGTCAACAAGGACAAACCGCGTTCGGAGAGCTGCACAAGCCTCCACAGTCTGATCCCAAGCGTGCTGAAAGTGTTCTATATCTATGCTTGTAGCAAGACGATATACATGCTTGGCAACATATGACCCCGGTTGCTTGACCGCAAGGACCATCAAACCTTCTTGAAGGCGTGTACATGGATAAGCATCCTCAATGATTGCAGACTCAGAGAGATCACACTGGGATCGCACTTCAGCAAGAACAGCATCCATGTTCGCGGCAGGAATGATGCTAAAAGGCTTGGTCTCGTAAGAAGGCATGATTTCATCAGCATTAGCAGCCTCGGCCATCTGAGATAAGCGAGGATCGTTGAAGATTGTGGCCACCGTGAGACCAATGTTATTCTGCTGGGCTACAGACACTAGCTGGATAGCACTGATAGAATCGCCTCCAATGCGTAAGAAGCTATCGTTCTTACCAATGGATTGAACATCAGTATGTAGGACCTGAGCCCAAAGGTCTCTGAGCTTGAACTCCATGGGCGTAGTTGGTGGCTCATTCTCGCCAACCTTGGGTGCGAAGCGCAGACGATCTTGAGTCGATAAATTTTGAGCGTGAGCAATCAAGGCACGGCGGTTGACCTTACCATTTACTGTCTGCTCAGGCTTACCCTCAAAGACCAAATAAGTTGATGGAATCATGTATGATGGCAGCACCAGACCCAGAGAAGAGTCAACATGAGAAATCACAGCGCGAGCATCATCAGTGGTAGTTTCCATCAAACAGGCGGTAAATTTAGAGGCAGCAGCACCTTCAGTGTACCAAAAGAAGGCAAATAAGTTGTCATGCTCATGCTCGTCCTTGACAATGGCCACTATGGCAGCCATATCCGTTGGTAGAAACTCGTGAATGCGTGTTTCAATCTCACCAAGTTCAACACGCTGACCATGGAGCTTAACCTGGGTATCTTTTCGGCCTACGAAGTCGAAAGTGCCATCAGCGTTGCGTCGAACTAAGTCACCGGTCTTGTAGACCCTCTTATTGTCGGTACCGGGGAGCCAGTCCACGTTTTCCATCCAATTTGAAGCAACTTCAGCGCTCACATTGATATATCCTCGAGCGAGCATGGGACCTTCAATAAGGAGCTCGCCAATGCAACCAACGGGAACCAGTCGCTTGCTGTCACTGGGTTCGACTACCCAAAAGGCCGATGATGTAGGTCTTCCAAGATTAGTTGAAAGGCCAGATCTACCAACAAAAGGGTTCCAAGCACAAATAGATGCTTCAGCGGGACCATAGAGACCGTGTACTTCAGTGTAGCTAATCCAGCGTTCTGCGCATTTCTTGCTAATAGCTTCACCACCCAAACAGAGAACCTTGAGGTGTGGAACGTCGGTGGGCAAAAGAAGATCTGCAACAGTAGGTGTAAGGAACACCCAGTTAGCCTTTGTTGCATTCATAGCACCGGCGAGGTCATTGAGGCGTGCATGGTCTGATGGAATGCAAATAGTTGCGCCTCGCATGAGAGACACAAGGCAGTCAAGGACACCGACATCGAAAGTATAAGCAGAGAATTGGAATACACGTGTGCCCGGTCCGATGTTAAGATCCGTGCCATAAGCATTTCCAGATGAACACAAGCTATTATGCTGAATCACCATACCCTTGGGCTTGCCGGTAGATCCTGAGGTGAATAGGACGACGCTTGCATTGTCTGGTTCTACTGAAGACGTAACCGCTGATACAGGGTCTGAAAGCTCAAGTAGGAGAGCCTCGTCGACAACGAATACGTCGATACCAACATCACGGAGGGAATCTTGGCATGATGGGCTTGCAACTGCCAAAGTTGCCTTTGTATCTTCGACAAGGCCTCGAAGACGAGCAGTCGGTGCGTTGGGGTCAAGAGGAACAAAAGCGCCTCCAGCCATGACAACGGCAACCATGGCAACAACGGCCCATGTAGATTTGGGGAAGCACAGTGGAATGAGAGATTCAGGTCCGACTCCAAGGTCTTGAAGCTTCCATGCCAAACGATTTGCAAGAATACCTAACTCGCCGTAGGTGAGGTTTCCGTCCCAAGATGAGATCGCGGGTTCGTTGGGCTGTGCTTTAATACGGTCGTGTATAAGCCAATGAGTACAAGCCTCGGTAGATGGCTTAAGTCGAGTGGATTCTAGAGCATGCTGGATGTCCCACTTGCCCACAAGATCAATATTATCAAGGTTCCCATCGCCATTATCCAAAAGCTGCTCGACAACGTGGCTAATGTGTTGCGATAAAACAGAGACACGATCCTTAGTCAAGATGTCGGTATTATAGAAGAACCGTTGCGTAATGTGATCATTGAAAGTGTTCATGATGATCACTAGGGGATAGTTGAAGTAATCCTGCATGGCATCTTCCGTATTATTCTGCTCTTCGCTGCCATAGACTAGAATGCTACCCTCTAGCTGATCGTCTGAAACGTTCTGTGCAGGAGGTTGAATGACGAGCAAACTCGAAAAATCGCATGTATCCTTGGCATCTTGGCTCAGCTTAGAGATATTTTGAAGACCAAACTGTTCATAGGGAATCATCTCATGGGCTTGATTTTGAACGCTAGCGAGGAATTGAGCTTTGGTAGCAGTGTGATCCATGCGTATGCGGACGGGAACTGTTGCAATCATCGGACCTGGCATAGTTTCAAGACCAGCAACAGGAGCATGGCGCCCCGAGACAGTCGTTCCGAAGCTCACGTCTTCAGTATCACAATAGCGAGCAAGGACGATGGCCCAAGCAGCCCTCAGAATAGAGGCCCTTGTAATAGTACTTTGGCTGGGCTGTCCAATTTTGATAGTGGATTTGAAGACTCGCGTTGACGATTTCGAGCTAGTGGGAGACTGGCGAGCTGGGAAAGCTGCTCTCTTAGAGCCAGATAATTGTTCGCGCCAGAAGTTGGCAGAAGCAGTACTATCCAGCTCCATGCTATACTTGATGAAACCAGAGTAAGGATACAGCTCTGTAATATCAGCGCCATGGTAGGCGTTGTATAGGGTTGTCAACAAGATACGCATTACCCAGCCGTCGTAGATAGAGTGGTGAGCCGACCACACAAGATATCGGTCATTCTTCTCCGTAAGAATGCCATACCAGCAAAGAGGGGTTCCATAGCCCACAAGCAAGTTTCGAGAGGACTTTGTGACTGAGGCTAGCGTTTCATTCTCCATGGATTGCCACTGATTGTCTTCCTTGAGTAGTAGCTGGATTGGCGTGCCGTTCACCAGAACAATTCTAGTACGCATGTTGCCACACAATCCAATGGTGCGACTCCATGCAGCTCTGAACCGCTCTACGTCGACAAAGGGAGCTACCTTGTAAGTATATGTAGCAACATAAGATCCCGGCTGCTTCACAGTTAATGCCATGAGACCTTCTTGTAGTGAAGTACAAGGGTAGGCATCTTCGATGGTTTGGTCGTTGGAAAGGCCACATGACTTGCGGACGTCACCGCCAAGCACTAGAGCTCGAACTTGCTCATTCAAGAGGCTGAAAGGAGCCGCCGCTTCCTGTTGCTGCTGAGCTGTGTCACAGAGGACCGCTTTAGAAGCCACAGCGAGGAGGCGAGAGTCGCTGAACACGTCTTTAACGAGAATTGATACACCGGCTTCACGAGCCTTTGACACTAGGTGGATTGCAGTGATGGAATCTCCACCGATCTGGAGGAAGCTATCGTCGCGGCCGATGGAATCGACAGGGAGATTGAGGATTTCAGCCCAGATGGCTTGGAGACATATCTCCATTGAAGTCTCGGGGGCGCGCTTTTTACTGTCAATAAGCGAATAGAGTGCTAATTGATCCCGGTCAAGCGAGGTTGTCATTGCCTTTAGCGTTTTTCTGTCTAATTTCGTGGAAGTAATGACTGGCATAAATTTGCAAGGGATAAATAGCGTCGGAATCATATAGCGAGGAAGGTTTACGTTGAGTTCACCAACCATCGCAGTAATGCGAGCCTGAACATTGGACTCAAGGGGTAGGTAGATATCGCTGGCTTTCATGTCCGATGAACCAGGCTGAGAATCGTCGTTAAAGCAGAGATATGAGACCAAATTGGTTCCTGTTTCCGATCTTAGAACATCAACAGCAACTTGGCGAACGCCGTCAAGGCATTCGCGGATATGGTGCTCGACGTCGCCTAATTCAACACGAAGACCACGAATCTTGACCTGCGTGTCCTTGCGGGAAGAGAATTCAATTGTGCCGTCGGGGTTATAGAAACATAAATCTCCTGACTTGTAAAAGCGGCTCCATGGCTGAGAGTCTTGCTTTGGTGCCCAAGCTGGCAATGTGGTGATAATTGCCTCTTTGCTCCTTTGTGGATCAGCGAGATATTCGTGGAGCAAGGTCGGTCCTTGCAGAACGACCTCCCCCAGGCAGCCAATCGGTGCTAGTTTGCTTGAGTCTTCACTGTCAACAATCCAGCAGTGTCCGCCAACAGGCTTGCCGACAGTCAAAGGAGACTCGTCAATAGAGGTCCATTCGTGCAAAGTAGAAAAGACACAAGTCTCAGCTGGGCCCCAGCCATTGATAAGGCGCACCTTACCATACCACATGTTAAGAATATCTCTGCCAACAGCTTCACCGGCTAAAAGTAGCAGCTCAACACTAGGAATATCTTCAGGCTTAAGCGTTCGAACGAACGAAGGCGTAAGGAACGCCCAGTTAACAGCCTTGTCGTGGATGAATTCTTTTAAGCCCGTCAATCTCATCTCTTCTGATGGTACGCATATACAGGCTCCGTGAATGAGCGGTCCTACGATCTCACCAATAGATAAGTCAAAGACGTAGGCGGCAAACTGAAGGATTCTAACATCCTCGGTAAGACGCAGTCTCTGAGCAATAGCAGTTTGGCTTGTGCAGACGGCACGGTGCTGCATGACGAGACCCTTGGGCGTGCCTGTGCTGCCACTGGTGAAGAGCACGTACGCAGCATTACTTGACGGCACATGGATGGTAGGTCCATTGACGCCATCGTATGTCTGTGAGAGTCTATGGATGAGACTGCTGTTGACTTCGATAACGTTCCCAACAATGTCTCTACACAGAGCTGCATTGGTAGGAGATGAAAGTGTCAGTGTGGCCAATGTCTGGCTGGCAACTTGGTGCAGGCGTTGCTTGGGGTGAGAGGGATCAAGGGGAACCCAAGCTGCGCCCGACTTGTTGATCGCGAGGATAGAGACGAAGAACCAAAGCGATTTCTCAAAGCAGACGTGTACCAAGTCATTGGACCTGACGCCTGCCTTGATGATGTGGTGAGCGAGCTTATTTGCAGCGCTGTTAAGCTCGCTATAGCTCATCTCACCATCCCAAGCACACACAGCTGGCACGTTTGGTCGGATGGATGATTGTTTCTCGACAAGATTGTGAATACAAGTATCCATAAGTTCGGGATTCTCAGTATTCCACTTTTTAGCCTGCTCAAGATCCCATTCGCCAGCAACAGCGACAGAACTAATCGGATCATCTGATTCGTGAACCAGCTGCTTGGCAACAGTATCGAATTGATGAGAAAGGGCCTCCATTTCAATCTCTGACAATATTGTAGAGTCATAAGTCAAGAGCAATTCGATGGAGTCATCAAAGACGTGGCCTTGAATAACCAGGGGGTAGGTAAAATAATTCTGCATCAACTGCTCGGCATTTCTAGCCTCAACGGATAGAGCCATCAGTGGTTCAGACAAATCATTGCTACCGATCGAGTCCAGGTGAGTTCGAGGCTGAATAACAAGGAGCGAAGAAAATTCACAGGCGTCCCTTGCATCAACGCTTAGTTTTGTTATATTCTGAAGACCGAATTGTTCAAACGCAATCATATCCGTCGCCTGCGACTGTATTTCGCTGAGGAAGCTAGAAACTGGTTTAGTAGCATCAACGCGCACACGAATTGGAACAGTAGCAACGGCTGGACCTGACATTTCTGTGATTCCACGCACATGAGCCTGTCGGCCGGAAATAGTAGTTCCAAAGGTTATATCGTTAGAATCGCAGTAACGTGCCAGCAGGATTGCCCAGGTAGCACGAAGGATAGTAGCCTTTGTAGCAACAGTCTTTGTAGATGGAGGGAAAGAAATGGTCTTATTCATCATACGAGTGATACCGGCGTGGGACTCGATTCGAGGCATTGGAGGATACGTAGCACGTTTAGCATTCCTCAGCTGTTCGGTCCAAAATTTGCTGGCTTCTTGAGAGTCAATGCTGAGTGTGTAACGAATGAAAGCAGAGTATGGAGTAAGAGAGGGAAGCTCTTGGTCCAGATATATGCTATAGAGCGTGTTCATGATGACTCGAAGTGTCCAACCATCATGAACAGCATGGTGGGTGACTAAGATGAAGTGATTGCCATACTTGGCATCTTGGACCAGAGCATAACGATTTAGCACTGAACCGTAAGTCATCTCAGAGTGGGTAGCTTCTATAGCACCCTTCAGGTCCGTTGGGCAAGTTTCATCCCACTCTGTTGGTCCATTCACAATGATTTGCGCGCAAGCACCATCTAGCATGACAATTCGAGTTCGAAGGGACGCACAGAGCTCGAGAGTTTGCTCCCAAGCGGCCTTGAATTTGGCGAGGTTGATGTTGTTGGATAGCTTGTATACATATTGGGCAACATAGGAGCCGCGTTGTTTAATAGACAGAGCCATCAAACCTTCTTGAAGTTTTGAACATGGGTAGGCATCTTCGATAACACAGCCGGGAGCCAGTGAACACTGAGACGCAATGATTGGGCCAAGAACCATATCGCGGTTATATTCAGACAGCAAACTGAAGGGAGCAATTGACATATCTTGTTCAATGATTTCAAAGTGCTGAGCTCGAGAAGCAACTGCAAATAAACGGGGATCGTCAAAAATATCTTTTACTGTAATGGAAATTCCGGCTTCGTCACATGCGCTGACTAGATGGATTGCCATAATTGAGTCACCTCCTAAGCCAAGGAAGCTATCGTCACGACCAATTAGCTTTGTAGGAGTAGAAAGGATAGTTGACCAGATGTTCTGAAGCTCAAGTTCCATTGCGGTTTCAGGGGCGCGTTTATCAGCTGCATGCAGAGAGAACTTTGTGAGATCATGTTGGCTAAGCGCAGACGTCTGCTTTTTCAGCTCCTTTCGATCGAGCTTGCCAGACGTAACAGCAGGCATATACTTGCATGGTATAAAGAATGTAGGAATCATGTATCTGGGCAATACAACATGTAATTTCCCTATAACCCCAACAAGCTTATCCTGAAGTTCTGAGCTCATTGGAATAAACGGGCCGCTGTCATCGGCATCGTGAAGCTGACGTAACTCATCAGTGAAAGACAGGTATGCGACCAAGTTAGAGCCATTGTCCGTTTGAACGACATCGACAACAGTTTGGCGGATTTCCTCAAGTGAGGCCTGAACATGATCTTCAATTTCGCCTAATTCAACGCGAAGGCCACGAATCTTCGTTTGCGTATCCTTACGAGATGAAAACTCAATAGTACCGTCAGCGTTGTAAGAGCACAAGTCACCGGTTTTGTAAAAACGATTCCAGTGCTTGCTGTCAGGCAAGGGGGCCCAATCGGGTAACGTCTGTACAGTTGCCTCTTGAGTCTTTTCCGGATTATCAAGATACTCGCGTAATAGAGTTGGTCCTTGGATAACAACCTCACCGAGAGTTCCAATCGGTGCAAGGAGCTGTGGATTTTGTGGATCGACAATCCAGCAGAACCCGCCAACAGGAGAACCGATGGTTAACGGTGACTCGGCAGCAGATTTAAATTCGTGTACAGCGCTGATGACACATGCCTCTGTAGGGCCCCAGGCCTGGAATAAACGAACGCGGCCAATCCAGGTATTGAACACGTCGCGCGGCAGAGCTTCGCCACCTACAAGGACCAATTCAACAGCAGGAACGTCGCTTGGGTTTACTGTGCGTAAGAAGGAGGGTGTAAGATAAAGCCAGTTGATTTTCATATCGCGGATAAAATCAACTATACCAGTCAATCGCTGCTCCTCCGAGGGAACGCAGACACATGCGCCGTGAATTAGTGACATGATGATTTCACTGATAGAAAAGTCGAAAACAAACGCGGAAAATTGCAAGATGCGCACGTTTGAATGATAGCGGAGTCTCTTAGCAATGTCATTCTGACTTGTGCAAAGAGAGCCATGTTCTATAATGACTCCCTTGGGCGTGCCCGTGGAGCCGGATGTGAAAAGAACGTACGCCGCTGTTTGAGATGGGACAGATATGTCGGGGCTTTGAGCTCCGTCTTGCTCAGGAAGCGAGGCGTCGAGATCAGCGTTTACCGCGATGACGCTGTCAACCAAAGCTGAAAGGAGGTTCACGTTGCCTGGCGAAACAAGGGCCAAAGTGGCTTTGGTCTGGCTAATGATTGACCGTAATCGTTGTTCAGGGTGAAAGGGGTCTAAAGGAACCCAAGTTGCGCCGGCTTTACTGATTGCAAGTATTGAAACTATGTACCAGGCTGACTTTTCAAAGCAAACGTGGACAAAGTCATTGAGCTTCACACCATAGACATTAATAAGGTGATGAGCCAGCTTATTAGCGGCGTTATCAAGCTCACTATACGTAAAGTTCCCGTCCCAAGCAGCAACCGCTGGAGCAGATGGGTTCAATTTGGCCTGCCTCTCAATCAAGTCATGCATGCAGGAATCAACAATTTCAGGAACTGCCGTATTAAAGGACTTTGCTGTCTGGATGTCGTAGGGCGAGAAGACAGAGACGGTTTCTAAAGCCGCAGAGCTCGAGCTGTTCAGCTGGGTCATAACATGGCCAAACTGATGAGAGAGAGCAATTAATTGAGCTTCTGGGAGGATTTTGAGGTCGTACATGAGCATAAGCTTCACTTGATTTTCGTATAAGTGAGCTTGGACAACCAACGGGTAGGAAAAGTAGTTTTGGACAGCGTCAGCGACTGTGGTCGCTCCAGCATCAGCGTGAACGAAAAGATCGTCGTCGCTGCTCGTGCCACTAAAGTGCTGCATGGGCTGGACTACTAGAAGGCTGCTAAAATCGCAGGCATCGCGGATGTCCTCGCTTAATCTGGCGATATTTTGAAGTCCATACTGCTCAAAGGCTGTCATCTCTAGGGTCTGTTTCTGGACGCCTTCAAGGAATTCAGAAATCGGCTGCCGGCGGTCGATGCAAATACGGACTGGAACAGTAGCAATTGTAGGGCCAGCCATTTCCATCACTTCGGGCACCGGTGCCTGACGGCCGGAAATTGTAGTACCAAAGGTCACATCGTCAGAATCACAGTATCTAGCAAGGACAATTGCCCACGCTGATCGGACAACCGTAGCTATTGTAATGGTCGAGTTTTTCATGTCAGCAGGGAGCTCAATTGCCGTCTCCAGTATGCGAGTAACACTAGGTGTGTTATGAGACACACTACTTGTAGGAGGGAAGATTGCCTTTTGAGCGTTGCGAAGTTGCGTCTTCCAGTAGTTTGCAGTAACATCTTCATCGAGGCTAAGAGTGTACTCAATGAAACGGCCATATGACGGGAGGGGTGACAGTTCAACATCATTATATATGTTGAAAAGCGTCCTTAAAATATTCTGGGTGGATATACCGTCTGTAATGGCATGATGCATATTCCACATAAAGTATGTGCTGTCAGAATCGTGGGTAAGAGCATACTGGCAGAGTCGAGACCCATAACCCATCTCTAGAGTCTGGGCCCCGGCGAGCGATGACTGTAAATCGCCATATGTTTCATCCCAGGCAACATCGTTGCTGATAATAAGCTGGATAGAAGAACCTCCAGCTTGAACGATTCTAGTACGCAAATTGCAAGCCATCTCCACAGTGCGTTCCCAAGCAAGCTTGAATTGAGGGATATCGATATGCTTAGAGATCTTATAAACATACTTGGCGATATAAGAGCCCGGCTGTTTAACAGACAGAGCCATGAGGCCTTCTTGGAGCTTACTGCAAGGATATGCATCCTCGATGTTTTGATCGGCAGCAAGCGCAAGTTCGTCTCTGAATGTGGGAGATAGAACGAGGTCTTCTGTGCCGGCAGGTAAAAGGCTAAAGGCCTTAAGTGGCATCTCGTCATTGTCACTGGCGTCAATATTGACAGCCTTGGCTGCAACTGCAATCAAACGGGCATCACCAAGGATGTCGTTAACTGTAAGAGCAATTCCAACGTTACGAGCCATTGAAACAAGACGAATAGCAGCAATGGAGTCGCCACCGATACGCAAAAAGTTATCTTGTCGACCAATTGCAGACTCCGGGAGATTCAAGTTCTCTGCCCAGAGTTTTTGCAAACGAGTTTCCATTTCAGTCTCAGGCGCCTGCTTGTTGGTGTTGAGCAACGAGTATGCTTCCAATTGGCCTTGGTTAAGCTGGGCAGTAAGATGGCGAAGCTTGACGCGATCCAATTTTGCAGAAGTGATCCAAGGCATATACGCGCAAGGTATGAACAGTGTAGGAATCATATATGCTGGTAATGACATGTTTAATTTGGCCAACATGTCACCGAGATTGGCTTGCAGCTGGTCATCGATACGCATGAACACATCTTCGTCCTGAGGACCAGTCATAGTTTCATCTGTGAAGCAAAAGTAGGCAGCCAAGTTTACTCCCTTTTCGGTCTTGAACACGTCTACAGCAATTTGGCGCACACCTTCTAGTGATTCTCGTATTTGGTGTTCAACTTCGCCCAATTCGACACGCAAACCGCGAATCTTGACCTGCGTATCTTTTCGAGCAGCAAAGTGAAGTATGCCGTTGTGATCGTAGAAGCCCAAGTCGCCAGTCTTATAGAAGCGTCCCCACGTGGTAGATTCACGCCGAGGTGCCCATTCCGGAAGGTCAGTATTGATGGCTGCCGAGGTTTTCTCAGGGTTGGCCAGATACTCTTTGAGCATTGCCGGACCTTGAACGACAATTTCACCCACGCAACCAGTAGGAGCAAGTCGCGTGTGGTCTTCAGCATCAACTACCCACACAAAAGAATTCACGGCTTTACCAAGTGCCAAGGGTGACTCGGTGTTAGATTTCCAGGGATGAACCGTGTTAAAAACACAAGTCTCTGCAGGTCCCCAAGCGTTGTAAAATCTTGTGTTGGGGAGACCATACCAGGTATCAAGGATATCTTGAGTAGCAGCTTCACCCATAAGAATGAGCTGCCTAAGTCCCAGGTAATCTTGAGGGTTTAATGTACGAGCAAAGGATGGAGTGAGATAGCTCCATGTAACGTTGAACTCGCGGACAAATACATCGAGACTATTGAGACGCATTTGCTCTGAAGGAATGCAAATACAGGCTCCACTTATCAAAGCATCCACAATTTCACCAACTGATACATCAAAGACGAAAGCTGAGAATTGAAGCATTCTGACAGTGTGGTCAAGACCGAGATGCTGGCAGATGGCCATTTGACTGGTGCAAAGAGCTCCATGTTGCATAACAATAGCCTTAGGCGAGCCTGTGGAACCAGATGTAAATAAAATGTAGGCGACCTCATTTGAAGTGACATTGATATCAGGTCTCTTGCCACTGATGGTTTCGGCAGAGAGAGTATCTTCAAGATGGTCGGAAACTTCAACCACGCTCTCAACAAGTTGCTCGCAAAGCGCCCTATTGGCCGTCGATGAAAGAGCCAACTTGGCTCCAGTCTGTGCGGCAATAGCTTGTAAACGGTGGAGGGGATGAGCAGAATCGAGAGGACACCAAATGGCACCAGCCTTGTTAATCGCAAGGATTGCCACGATGTAACGGAAGGACTTTTCGAAACAAACATGCACTGTATCACCAACCTGCACCTCGTGTTGACTAATAAGCAGATGGGCCAGCCGATTGGCAGCGCGGTCTAATTCGCCATAAGTAAGCTTGCCATCCCATGCGTCAACCGCAAGTGCATTGGGTCTTTCCTCTGCCTGTCTTTCTACCATGAAATGGAAGCAGTCGTCGAGAATCTCAGGGCCGTCGCCATTGGATCTCTGCGCAAGCTCAAGATCCCATGATCCAGAAACAGTAATATCGCCCAATTTACCAGTTTCTTCCGCGAGCAGCTGTTGCACAACATTGTCAAAGTGATGAGAAAGAGCAGTCATCTGTAGCTCCGAGATGATAGTTGAGTCATAGATTAGTACGAGATCGGCTCGATCATCGTAAACGTGACCTTGGATTACCAACGGATAGCTGAAATAATCCTGCACCATGTCCTTGATCTCCGAACGAGCAGGGACCAAGAGAGTGGCATCGTCGGCCATGGCAGATGAAAAACGTTGGACAGGCTGAATTACCAAGAGCGATGAGAAATCGCAAGCATCTCTTATGTCTGCGCTCAGCCTGGCGATATTTTGAAGACCGTATTGTTCATAGGGAACCATTTCATGAGCTTGGTTTTGAATTGTCTGCAAGAATTCTGAGATTTCCTGGCCCTTGTCGACTTTGACGTACACAGGGACAGTTGCGACAACTGGACCAGCCATGTCCAGAAGACCGGACACAGGCGCCTGTCTGCCAGAGATAGTAGCACCGTAGCAGACATCATCGCTGTCGCAGTATCTTGCAAGGACAATAGCCCAGGCAGCCCTTAGAACACTAGCCTTGGTGAGCGTTTCATTAGATGTCGTGGGAAAGCTGAGAGACGTGGACAAGACACGTGTTTTCTGTTCACTTCCAGTAGATTTCTCTAAAAGTCCGGTCTTTGGGAAGCTGGCACGCTTAGCGTTGTGAAGCTGTGTCTTCCAATAGTCACCGGCGGCGTCCTGATCAAGCTCCATGGTATAGCGGATGAAGTTGGAGTAGGCTTTAGGAGCTGCTAGTTCGACGCCTTCATAGGCTTGATAGAATGTGTTGAAGATGATAGGCATAGACCAGCCATCGTGAATAGCATGATGAACTGTCCATAGGAAATACTTCTCGCCGGCGTTAGACTCACAAATCGAGTAACGAGACAGAGACGAGCCATAAGTCATGGTATATGACTCAGTAGCACGGACGGCTTCACTTAAATCTTTATACTCAAAGTCCTCCCAAATAACGGCTTCCCTCGTGACCACTTGGACACACATATCGTCGACCATTATGATTCTAGTACGCAGAATATCCCGTAGAGCAACAGTCTGTTCCCAAGCATACTTGAAACGCGCGAGGTCAACTTGTCTAGAAAGACGGTATACGTATCTTGCAATGTAGGATCCGGGCTGAGTAACTGATAAAGCCATAAGACCTTCTTGAAGCTTAGTGCAGGGGTATGAGTCTTCAATGGCGTCGCTTTCACCCAGCTTGAGTTGTTGTTTAGTATCAGCAGCAACGACAAGCTCACATGCCCTAGATCCAAGCAAGCTAAAGGGTAAAGCATCGGCAAGCTCTTCTTGGGCTTCGGCATCAAGTTCTTGTGTCTTACTAGCAACCGCCAGCAGACGGGGATCATCGAAAACATCTTTCGCGGTAAGCTGAATTCCTTTCTCACGAGCGATACTGACTAGGTGAATGGCAGTAATTGAATCACCGCCAAGGCCTAAAAAGCTATCATCACGGCCAATAGCGTCAGCTGAAATGCGAAGGATCTGTGACCAGATATCCTGCATAAGGCTCTCCATTTGAGTCTCGGGAGCCCGCTTCTTGCTTCCAAGTAGCGAAAACGCAGCAAATTCGGTTTGATCAAGGGCTGCAGTGCATCGTAGAAGCTCTTTTCTATCGAGCTTGGTAGATGTAATAGAGGGCATATACTTGCAAGGAATAAACATGGTAGGAATCATATATCTGGGCAAGGATACACCAAGCTGGCCGACAAGGGCTGTCAGGCGGGATTGCAAGTCGTTCTCAATTGGCAAGAAGGGCCCAGATACGTCGGCTTCATGGATTTGTCGGGTTTCGTCGCAGAAGGAGAAGTAAGCGACGAGATTGGTGCCATTGTCGCCATTGAAAACGTCAACAGCAATTTGACGCACGTCGGTTAATGAAAGCCGTATGTGATGCTCGATTTCACCCAGCTCAACTCGTAAACCGCGTATTTTAACCTGTGTGTCTTTGCGACTGGAGAACTGAATGGTGCCATCGGAATTGTAAAAGCAAAGATCGCCCGATTTGTATAGGCGGCTCCAACTGGCTTCCCCATGGAACGGCGCCCAGTCAGGAAGAGATTTAACAAAAGCGGCTTCGGTCCGTTCAGCATCACTTAAATACTCACGAAGGACTGTAGGTCCTTGTATGATTACTTCGCCCACTGTACCGGTCGGTGCAAGGCAATGCGGATTCTCAGGGTCAACGATCCAACAGAACCCACCAACGGGACGGCCAACAGTGAGGGAGCTCTCGTCAAGAGACTGCCACTCGTGCAGTGTGCTAAAGCAACAGGTCTCTGCAGGCCCCCATCCGTTTATTAAGCGCAGTTTGCCGAACCAAGTTTCAAAAACGTCCCGAGGCACAGCCTCGCCAGCAAGTAGCAAAAGCTCCAGGTTAGGCACCTCGGACGGCTTGATTGTGCGCACAAAGGATGGTGTCAGGTAAGTCCATGTGACTCTCTTTTTCTTTATGAAATCAACGATATTATTCAACCGATTATGGTCTGACGGAACACAGATACAAGCGCCAGAAATCAGCGGGCCGATAATCTCTCCAATTGATAGATCAAACACATAGGCTGCAAATTGCAGCATTCGAACTGACGAATCCAGTCCCAGCCTCTTAGCAATGGCGATCTGCGACGTACACACGGATCCATGTTCCATCACAAGACCTTTGGGCGTCCCTGTGCTTCCGGATGTGAATAATACATAAGCTGCGTTGCGTGGAGAGAGGCGGACAATAGGGCCATGGTCACTCGGTTCGGTCTCCGAAAGCCTGGTGTCGAGCTCAATGCCAACTTGGACGACGTTCTCGATGAGACCGGCGCATAGAGCAGAATTAGATAGAGAAGATAGTGCAAGGACAGAACGGGTTTGGGAAACGATCTGACGGAGACGCTGTTCAGGATGTGAGGCATCCAAGGGAACCCAGGCAGCGCCAGCCTTGTTAATTGCGAGTATTGCAACGTAATGCCAAGCGCTTTTCTCAAAACAAACATGAACTAAATCATCGGGTTTAACACCATGCTCATTGACGAGGAAGTGCGCGAGCCTATTAGACGCTTTATTTAGTTGCTTGTAGGTGAAGTCGCGGTCCCAGCTGATAATAGCGAGAGCATCCGGCTGCAAAGTTGCTTGACTCTCAACGAGGTGATGAATGCAAGAATCAACAATGTCAGGGACATCGCTGTTCTGTTTCAAAGAATTTTGAACATCCCAGTCACTGGCGATTGAAATGGAATTCACTTCCTTTTCCGGATGTAATGCAAGCTGCGTTATGACATGCTCGAGTTGGTGAGATAGAGCAACCATTTGCATTTCAGAAAATACATCTTCATCGTGGATCAAAACGAGCTTAATGTAATCTTCATGCATATGCCCTTGAACCACGAGCGGATATGTAAAATAATTCTGCACGGTGTCAACAACCTCTTTTTCAACCTCTGTAGGAACGAAGAGGGAATCAGCATCTTCATCGACGTATGAGAGAGACTGGACGGGCTGAATGACGAGCAGGCTGCTGAAATCGCATGCATCTTTGGCATCGGCGCTGAGCTTGGAAATGTTTTGCAGGCCAAATTGTTCAAACGGTATCATGTCATTTGCCTGGCTTTGAACGGCCTGTAGATAATCCGAAATAGACTGCTTGCTGTCAATGGTAATACGAACTGGAACTGTTGCGATGCAAGGTCCAACCATCTTGGAGAGGCCACGGACGGCTGCCTGCCGACCAGAGATAGTGGCGCCATAAGTAACATCATCAGAATCACAGTATCTGCCGAGAACGATGGCCCAGGCGGCTCGAAGCAAGGTGGCCTTTGTGATGGAATAGCCATTGAAGACAGGCAGAGTAATCGTCTTCTCAGTCGTCTTGGTTGTATTTAGTTTCACCTTCTTCTCTGCTTTAGTTGTGGTGGAAGGGAAAATAGTCCGCTTTGCACCTTGGAATTGCGATGTCCAGTAGTCAATGGCGGTATCGCTTTCGATTTCCAAGGTGTACTGAACAAATCGCACATAGGGCTCTACAGCAATAACGCTTTGTGAGCGGAAAATAGAGTGCAAGACTTCCATAATAATTCTCAAACTCCATCCATCATAGATGGCGTGATGTATCGAGAGTACGAAATATGTATCGCCGTTGTCTTCAATCAGAGCATAGCGACTGAGCTGCGAGCCATACGCCATCTCAAAATTCTGAGCTGAGCGCATGTAAGAGCGCAAAGAACTCTCTTGACTCGACTGCCAAGAGATGTCATCTTTGAAGATTGCTTGGATGGACACATTGTCCGCAGTGAAGATTCTGGTTCGAAGATTGGGTAGAGTGCGAACAGTTTCTTCCCAAGCGGCTTTGAAATGAGAGACATTGGCATTCCGAGAGAGGCGGTAGAGGAATTTGGCAATGTATGATCCTGGCTGCTTAACAGAGAGGGCCATGAGACCTTCCTGAAGTTTGGTACAGGGGTAGGCGTCTTCTATCACTTTATCGGCTGGAAGACCATATTGGTCTTGGGCACTCTGGCTGAGGACAACTTGTTTGAGTGAGTCTTCTAAAAGACTGAAGGGCTCAATGATGGGTACCAGCTGGCCCTCTTCGGCGATCTCAGTGGCTTTGGAGGCAACTATATGTAGTCGTGGGTCATCGAAGATATCTCCCACTGTGAGTTTGACGTTTGCATCCCGAGCAGCAGTAACAAGCTGAATAGCAAGAATAGAGTCACCCCCCATCTGAATAAATGAGTCATCGCGACCTATTGATGTAACAGAAACATCCAAGACTTTTGCCCATAATTGTTGGATTCGGACCTCCATAATTGTCTGAGGCGCTCTCTTGTCGTCATTAGTGAGCGAATAGAGCGATAAATCTTCTTCACTAAGGGTGTTTGCCAACTGTTTGAGCTTCTTACGATCCAATTGAATCGAAGTGTTAAGAGGCATACGGGCACAGGGAATGAAAACACGCGGTATCATATGCTGAGGCATCAGAGTGCCCAAAACCCCTATTAGAATGCTGAGTGTAATTCTCAGATTCTCATCAGGTGGTACAAAGATGTTGTCTGTATCTAACGTCTCTGATTCCTTTGCTCCAGAGCTATGAGAGAAGCTGATAAAGGCGACGAGCGTCATGCCAGTCTCCGAGTTGATGCCGTCAACGGCAACTTGTCGGACACCTTCAAGGTGTGTTTGAATGTGATGCTCAATCTCTCCAAGCTCAAGACGCTGACCTCGAACCTTGATTTGTGTATCCTTGCGAGCGCAATATTCCATGTTGCCGTCCTCATTAATGAAGCCCAAGTTACCAGTCAAGTAGAAACGATCATGACGGGCAGAATCGCCCTTGGGAACCCATGATGGAAGACCAGTTATAGTAGCAGCAGCTGTTTTGATGGGGTCGGAAAGGTATTCGCGGAAGAGGCTGCGACCTTGAACCGCAATTTCGCCCACGGTTCCGATAGGAGCCATGCGCGTGGGATCCTCCAGGTCAACGATCCAGCAATTGCCACCGACCGGACGCCCAATAACATTAGGGGACTCAGCTGAAGTCCATTGATGGATGGACGCAGCGACACCGCATTCAGTAGAGCCCCAGGTATTGAACAAACGGAGTTTGCCATACCAAGTATCGAGGACATCTCGAGTAGCAGTTTCGCCACCGATCAGCAGCACTTCTAGAGAAGAAACATCATCAGGGCGGATGGTTCGTGCCAATGTAGGTGTCAAAAGTGCACATGTGATCTTGTGCATGCGAATGTAGTCTACCAATTGCTCTTTCGGCGAAGGCACATGCAAGCAAGCTCCCGAAAGAAGTGTAGAGCAAATCTCAAAGAGTGCGGCATCAAAGGAGTAGGACGAGATCTGGAGAACTTTGAAACCATCATTCATGTCAAGGGCATGTGATAAAGACGTCTGACTGGTACAAAGCGAAGCATGCTCCATGACAACGCCATTGGGTGTATCTGAAGTCATAGAGGTGAATTGGATATAAGCGGCGTCACTAGATGTGACATTCACGGCTGGTCGACAAGTATTCCAGTTGAGATTCTTGGCCAATCTAGCATCCAGCTCAGATGTTAGTTCAAGAACGTTGGACATTAGGCCAGCACATATCTGAGAATTGGTGGTCGATGTTAGTATCAGCTTGGCACCAGTTTGGCTAATAATCTTGTGGTGATGTTCAGGTGCGCCAGATGGATCGAGGGCTGACCAAGCTGCGCCAGCTTTATTAATGGCCAAGATAGCAATCATAAACCAGGCTGATCTCTCAAAGCACACATGAATAATGTCTCCCGCTTCTACACCATAGGAACCCACGAGATGATGAGCAATACGGTTGGTTGTTGCTAACAATTCCTTATAGGTGAAGCAGGCATCCCAGCCAGAAATGGCTGATGCATTGCCTCGAACCAAAGCAATTTCGTCAATCATTTCGTGAAAGCATCGCTCAACAGCGTCGGGAGAATTGTGGTTGAGTTCAATGGCATGGTCATAGTCCCAATTGCTCGAAAGAGATACAGCACTGAGGAGCTTATCGCTCTGGGTTGTCAGCTCTTGAATAGCATTATCAAAATGAAGAGCTAGGGCCTCCATTTTCTTCTGCGAAAGAAGCTGAGTATCATAGATCAACATGAGATTAATCTTGTTGTCATAGAGATGGCCCTGGATCACAAGAGGATAAGAAAAGTAGTTTTGCACAGAGTTTGATTCTCCAATTTCTTCTGAGCTGGCAGCGACTAGAAGCGCATCATCGCCATGGTGTTCTAGCTGCTCAATTGGCTGGATAACTAATAGCGAGGTAAAGTCACAAGCTTCCTTGGCATCGTCGCTTATCTTTGAGATGTTTTGTAAACCAAATTGCTCATACGAAATCATGCTCAAAGCCTGGCTCTGGATGTTTTGCAAAAAGGCAGAAACCGTTTGGTGTTTATCAACACGAACTCTAATGGGCACAGTGGCAACGGCAGGGCCAGCCATGGTAGTAACGCCATCTACAGGAGCTTGCCGACCTGAGATTGTAGTTCCAAAAGTAATATCATTGCTTTCCGAATACCGGGCAAGCACAAGAGCCCATGCAGCACGAAGAATTGTAGCTTTGGTAAAGGAACCCGTGCTCTGAGAATACGTAATGGATCTCTCAAGAACATGCGTGTCGCTTGAGCGAGAGGTGTTAGCAGGAGGGAATGTGCATTTCTTGGCGTCACTTAATTGAGCTTTCCAGTAGTTGGTGGTTTCTTTTCTGTCAACACTCATGATGTATTTCACAAATCGAGCGTGTGAAACAGGCTGAACTGGTTCGGCGCCGCGATACAATGTGTATAAAACATTAAATATGACAGGTATTGTCCAGCCATCGAAGACAGCATGATGAATTGCCCACAAGAAGAAGGCATCGCCGTTTTCTTGCTTGACAAGAACGAATCGGGACAGGACGGAGCCGTATGTCATCTGCACTGATTTCATCTCTGAGATTGCAGTCGCCAAATCTTGGCTATCAGTCCAAACGATCGGCTCGTCAACAACGACCTGTGTAGCTTTATCATCAATAAGAATGATGCGAGTTTGGAGATTGTGGCATAAAGCGACTGTTTTCTCCCACGCTGCCTTAAATCGAGGAATATTCACATTGCTGGGCATGCGATAGTAGTATTTGGCAATATACGATCCTGGTTGCTTAGCCGACAAGGCCATTAGGCCTTCTTGCAGGGACGTACAAGGATAGGCATCCACGATAATTCCAGATGACCAGCTGTACTGTGCACGAATATCATCAGCCTTGACTAATTTGCTCGGTTCATCGCTGAGGAGCGAAAACGGAGAAATCTCAGCATTCTCTTCAATGACCGAGTCCACCTTCTTCGCACGTGCTGCAATTGTGACCAGTCTCGAATCCTCAAAGATATCCTGAGCTGTGAGCAGGATGCCGTATTCCCGAGATAAAGACACCAGGTGGATGGCTGTAATTGAATCACCGCCCAAGCCCAAGAAGCTATCGTCAAGACCAATCTTTTCAGATGGTATAGACAAGATTTGTGACCATATAATTTGAAGAATCTTCTCCATCATTGTGACTGGTGCACGCTTCTTATCTTTCTTAAGATAGTACTTCGTAAGCTCTTCCCGGGTAAGAGCCGCCGTTCGTTTCTTAAGATCCTTTCTATCCAGCTTCGTAGAGGTGATGGTAGGCATGTACTGGCAGGGTATGAAGAAGACAGGAATCATATACCGGGGCAGTGAGATGCTCAGCTGGCCGACTGCGGTAGTGAGGCTCTCCTGTAGCTTCTCGTCTATCTCAGTGAAAGGACCGCCTTCATCAGCGTTTCCACGAGTACCTGTCATTCTCGTCTCGTCATTGAAGCAGATGTACGCTACCAAACTAGCACCAGTGCTAGATCTAATGACGTCCACAGCTACCTGTCTTACACCGCTGAGAGCAGTCTGCAGGTGGTGTTCAACCTCACCCAGCTCGACACGAAGGCCTCTAATCTTGATTTGCGTGTCTTTACGGCTCGCAAATTCAATGGTTCCGTCAGCGTTGTAGGAGCAAAGGTCACCAGACTTATAGAATCGATCCCAATGCCTGGTAGTACGGTACGGGACCCAGTCCGGAAGAGTGCGAACAGTGCTGGCAGACGTGCGAGTTTCATCATCTAGGTATTCCCTTAAAAGTGTTGGACCCTGGATAACAACTTCGCCCAAAGTTCCAACTGGCGCGAGCCTGGAAGGGTTCTCGGGATCGACAATCCAACAGAAGCCGCCTACCGGGCGACCAACTGTAAGAGGCGACTCATTAATTGACTTCCACTCGTGAAGGGTTGAAAACACGCAGGTTTCAGCCGGTCCCCATCCATTGATGAGACGAACTTTGCCAAACCAAACGTCCAAGACATCTCGACTAACGGCTTCACCAGCTAGTAGTACTAAATCCAGGCTTGGCACGTCTTTTGGATTGAGAGTTCGAATAAACGAAGGGGTGAGATAGGCCCAGCTAATGTTGTTCTGTTGAATAAATCTTGGCAGTTCATTTAGTCGGTCATGCTCTGATGGAACGCATGTGCATGCGCCGGTAATAAGAGGAGCGACGATTTCTCCAATGGAAAGATCGAACACAAACGCGGCGAATTGGAGAATTTTAACACTCGGCGTCATTCCTAAGCGCCTTACAATGGCTGTTTGTGACGTACAAACACTTCCATGCTCCATTACAAGACCCTTGGGGGTTCCTGTGGATCCCGAGGTGAAGAGAACGTACGCGGCGTGGCTGGATGAAGCCTTGAGATCAGGGTTATGCCGAGAAGATCCAGCCTTGCTGAGGCTTTCATTAGTAGTCGAAGAAACTTCGACTACGTGGTCAACGAGATCGACACAGGTCGAGACATTGTCAGACGAGACAAGGGCGAGGCGAGCTTTTGTTTGCGTAATAACCTGCTGATGGCGTTGAGCTGGGTGGGAAGGATCTAATGGAACCCAAGCTCCGCCGGCTTTGTTGATTGCCAGGACCGCAACAAAAAACCAGGCAGACTTTTCGAAGCAAACGTGGATAAGCTCGTTAAAGCTAACCTCATATTCTTCGATAAGATGATTTGCTAATCTATTGGCGGCCTCATTCAGCTGAGCATAGCTAAATCTAGCATCCCAGCCGTGAACTGCAGGGGCATCAGGTCGGATGGCAGCCTGCTGTTCAACGAGGGTGTGGACGCAAGAGTCAATGATCTCGGGCATCTCTCGGTTTTGTTGCAATGCATATTCCAGGTCCCATGGGCCTGAAAGAGAAACATCTTCGAGAGCCAAGCTATCGTTTGCAACAAGTTGCTGGGAGACATGCTCGAATTGATGAGCCAAAGCTAGCAGTTGTTGCTCAGGCAGAACATCCGTGTTATAAATGAGCATTAGGTTGATAGAGTTCTCATAAACGTGTCCTTGGATGACAAGAGGGTAGGAGAAATAGTCTTGCATGAAATCTCCTGCGCCGTGGACAGTAGCATCAAATGGTTCGAGAATAGTCTCGCGATCGCCGGTATCAAGGAGCGCCTTCATGGGCTGAATGACTAGGAGCGATGTAAAATCGCAGGCTTCTTTGGCCTCAATGCTCAACTTTGCGATATTTTGCAGCCCATATTGCTCGAAGGGAATCATTCCAGCAGCCTGATTCTGAATATCTTGCAGGAACTTGGACACTGACGCTTGCTTATCTAGCTGAACACGTATGGGGACAGTAGCTACAACGGGGCCGGTCATTTCAGTGATGCCTGCAACTGGGGCTTGTCTGCCAGAAATTGTAGTACCAAAGGTAACGTCATCCATGTCGCAGTATTGAGCGAGGATCAGAGCCCAAGTGGCTCTCAAGATGGACGCCATCGTTATGGACGTTTGTTCAAATTGCGGAAGCTCAATGACCTTCTCATACACGCGCGTATTAGATATCTTGCTCCGAGGTACTTTGCTCGTAGCCACAGGGAATGATGCTCGCTTTGCATCTAGTAACTGCTCGCTCCAATAGGCCTTTGCAGTTTCAGGGTTGAGGAGGGTCGTATAATTAATGAAACGGGCATAGGAATCAAAAGGCGTAATCTCATCGCCCATATAGGCTGAAACCAAGGTGTTTAAAACCAAACGAGTGGTCCAGCCATCAAACACAGTGTGGTGAACAGACCACACGAAGTACTTTTCTCCATCATCCTGCTCGATAAGAGCTTGACGACTAAGGGCAGAACCATACACCATTTGGAGATTTTGAGTAGAATGAAGGTATGATTTAAGACTCATATTAGAAGTCGCATCCCATGAACCGACATCTTTCACAACAACCTGCATCGGAGAGCCGCCAGTTGAAGAGTCACCAGAGAGAACTATACGTGTACGGAGGTTGCTGCAGAGTTTCATGGTATCTTCCCAAGCTGCTTTAAAGCGAGCACAGTCGATATCTTTTGGCAGACGATAGGTTTGCTTGGCGATATAAGAGCCAGGCTGCTTGACAGTCAAGGCCATCAGCCCTTCTTGGAAGCTTGTTGTGGGATAGATATCTTCAATAACGGCAGAGTTGGATAGATCACACTTGGTACGAACTTGTTCGATCAGAGTGTTCAAATCTTTAGTTGCCGCCATTGAGAATGGTACTACTTCGTAAATTGGCTCAATTTCGCCCGCCGCAACTGATAATGCCATGGATGATAGCTTTGAGTCGGCAAAAATGTTCGCAATCTTCAGATTAATGCCGGCTCGTTGAGCAAGCGAAACCAAATGAATGGACGTGATGGAGTCACCACCGATTTGAAGGAAACTGTCATTCTTGCCGATATCATGGGAACTCATCTTGAGAACTTGCGCCCATAAATCGGCCAATTTCTTCTCCATAGCCGTGGTTGGTGTAACATAATCCTGACTGGCAAGAGAGAAGGATGAGAGCACTTCTGAGGATAGACCAGAAGCTAAGCCGGCCAATTTCTTTCGGTCAATCTTCATTGAGGTAATAAATGGCATTTGTCTCAATGGTATAATGGTAGATGGTACCATATAAGATGGGAGAGAACTCTTCAAATTCTCCATAACCCCCGCTAGGGTAAATTTCATTTCATCACCGAGATTGACAATGTTATTTGAGCTGGGGGCAAGTACATCTTTGAACGAAATGAATGCAATCAAGACATCACCTGTCTCCCCGTGACACAAAACAACAGCGACATGCTCGATGGTTGACAAAGATCGCTTGACGTGGTATTCAATTTCCCCAAGCTCGAGACGTTGCCCACGAAGCTTAACTTGGGTGTCTTTTCTTCCAAGATATTCTATCTCGCCATTGGCGGTATATCGAACAAGATCGCTTGTTAGATAGAATCTGTGTGGACCAGCAATCAGAGATTTAGGCAAACAGTCAATATCGGTTACGAAGGAGCTTAAAGTCTTTTCGGAGTCGTTGATATAGCCCCGAGCGAGGGTGTTTCCTTGAATGATCAGCTCTCCAACACAGCCGACAGGGGCCAACTTGTTATAATTGTTTGGATCAACGATCCAGCAAGCACTGTTGAAACCACGTCCGATTGTGCAAGGAGAGTCGCTATCGGCAAAATCATGAGTTGTCGCGTAGTTGCAGGCTTCGGCTGGGCCATAGCCGTTGACGAGACGAAGATGTTTACACCAAGTCTCAAGAAGGTCCTTCGACGAAGGTTCGCCACCCAGCACAAGCAGCTGCAGTGATGGAACTTGTTCAGGTGTAAAGGTCTGAACAAATGATGGCGTTAACATTGCTGTATTGACTTGAGCCCTGTGCATGAATGAAGGCGCTGCCTGGAGCCTCTCTGTCTCAGTAGGCACACAAACCGTGCCACCGAAGGAGAGAGTTGTGAAAATCTCACCCAAGCTCCCGTCAAAGATGTAATTCGAGAACTGAAAGACGCGAGAAGTTGGTCCGAGGTTATACACACGGCCGTGGCCAATTGTGCTAGTACTGAAAGCAGAGTGTTCCATCAACACACCTTTTGGCTTGCCTGTGGAGCCTGACGTGAAAAGAACGTACGCGGCATTGTGAGGTTCAGGTTTTGGGTGAACCGGTTGAAAAGCATCATAATCAAAAGCAAGCTGCTCAAGTAATAGAGTAGTAAGCTCAACAGTAGTAGATGTTAAATCGTCGCAAGAAAGAAAGCTCGAAGAGGAGACAATCATGACCTGAGCACCAACTTCCTCAACCAAAGCCTTGCGCCGATCGTGGGGATGTGACGGATCCAAAGGAATAAAAGCACCACCGGCTTTTAAGATAGCAAGCATAGCAATAATAGCTAGGGTGGACTTTTCTAAACAGAATGGAACAACATCCTCAGGCTTTACGCCGTGTTCTTGCAAGTAATGAGCTAAGAGACTTGAAAGGCGATCCAAAGTTGCATAGGATATGGTGCCTTCGGTAGAGTAAAGAGCTTCATGGTGAGGATTCCGGACTGCTTGTTGAGAGATAATCTCGTGTATGCAAGAATTGACAAGACCAGGTTGTTTAATATTGGAATCCATAGCCTTTTGCAAGTCCCATGGTCCAGCAACACTGATAGATCCAACTTTAGCCGCAGTGTCTCCAGCAAGTAGCTGTTGAACAACATGTTCAAATTGGGTAGATAACGCCGTAAGTTGATGCTCTTTCAAAACACTGGCGTCATAAATGAGCACTAGTTTAACTTGATCATCGTATAATTGTGCTTGAACAACCAGCGGATAAGTAAAATAGCTCTGCAATCTTTGCTCCGTGGCATCGTCAGATGCAATCATAATATCCTCGGTGCTGCTGTTGCCACCGATGCTGGACATGGGTTGGATAACCATTAGAGATGAAAAGTCACACGCATTTCTTGCCTCAGGGCTAAGCTTGGAAATATTTTGTAGACCAAACTGTTCATAAGGGATCATAGAAGTGGATTGGTCTTGAATGCCCTCTAAGAAATGAGAGACGCTTTGATCGGAATCTAAACGCACGCGGACAGGAACAGTAGCAACTACTAGACCAGGCATTGATTCAATGCCAATAACAGCAGCGTTACGGCCGGAGACGTTTACACCAAAAGTCACATCATCACTTTCGGAGTACCTAGATAGCACGAGAGCCCAGGCAGCTCTTAGAACGGAGGCTTTGGTAGTACCGTAAGTACTCGAGTGAGGGAATATAAGAGATTTCTCAAGAATTCGAGTAATCGACTGAGTGGGCTTAGTTTGTGCCGGTGGTGGGAACGAGGCGACTTTGGCTTCGTTAAGCTGATGACGCCAGTAATCAGCAGCAGCCTCCTCATCAATAGCCAAGGTATATTTAACAAATTCAGCATATGGTTGGATAATTGGGGGCTCAAGTCCGTAATAAGCGGAGTTTAAGCATCTTGAGACAATAGGGAGAGTCCAGCCGTCGAAAATGGCGTGATGGATGCTGAAAACAAATTGATTTTCTCCTGATGGCTCATGAATCATAGCGTAACGGCAGAGACGGTCGCCATATCCCATTGTAAAGCTTTGAGAGAGATAGTTTTGTAGAGTTTGATGAGAAGTCTCCCACTCAATCTGATCATGCTTAACGACGACTTGCAAACTAGACTCTCCAGCAACAATAAGACGAGTTCTCAGATTGCTGCAAAGTTCAATAGTACGCTCCCAAGCTGTCTTGAATTTGTCTAGGTTCACGTGTTCAGGCAGGCGATAAACCTGTTTGGCGACATAAGAGCCACCTTGCATTTCAGACATGGCCATAAGGCCTTCCTGAAGCTTGGTTGACGGATACGCATCTTCGATGACCGCTTCAGGTCCTAAATTGCACTCAGCTCTAACAGAAGTACCAGTGACTAGGCGATACTGTTCATCATCTAATAAGCTGAAAGGGCCAATATGGTCGTCATCAGAAGGGTTCATTAGTTGGGCAGCCTTAGCCACAGAGATAAGTCGAGGGTCGTGGAAAATGTCCTTGACCGAGATGGAAATACCCTGATCTCGAGAGGCACCAACGAGCTGAATTGCGGCTATCGAGTCTCCTCCAAGCATGAGAAAACTATCATCACGGCCGATAGAGTCTATTGATATGCCCAAAATGCTAGACCAAATATGCTGAAGCTTGCGTTCCATTTCTGTTTCTGGAGCTCTTTTCGTACTATCGAGTAGAGAGTAGTCTGATAATTCGGCATGTGTCAGGCCAGCAGTATTTCGGCGTAGCTCCTTGCGGTCTAATTTAGCAGATGTAACCGATGGCATGAAGCTACATGGGATAAAGTAGGTAGGAATCATGTATGCGGGGAGTTTCACTCCAAGCTCGCCCACTAGTGTACGAAGCCGTGCTTGAAGCTCCTCGTCAATAGGAAGGAATGGACATCCGCAATCATTATTGGGTCCAGCGATGCGGATCGCATCGGTAAAGCAGATGTAAGCCACAAGACTAGTACCACTTTCGGACTGATATACTTCGACAGCAAGTTGACGAACACCATATAAAGCGACCTGAATGTGATATTCAATGTCTCCTAGTTCGACTCGTAATCCTCTAATCTTGATCTGAGTATCCTTTCGAGAGTAAAATTGGATAGTGCCGTCTGGATTGTATGAGCATAAGTCACCAGACCTATAAAAGCGACTCCAATGAACAGAATTAGGCCGAGGAGCCCACTCAGGAAGTGTCTTGACAGTAGAAGCCGTGGTGCGTTCTGAGTCTGACAGGTACTCGCGCAGTAACGTTGGACCTTGAACAACAATCTCTCCTAGGGTGCCAAACGGTGCTAGCTTTAACGGATTTTCAGGGTCAACAATCCAGCAATATCCTCCAACAGGTGTGCCAATAGTTAAAGGACTCTCATCAGCCGATCTGATTTCATGCAAAGCGCTAACGACACAAGTTTCCGTGGGTCCCCAGCCATTAAATAGACGTAACCTGCCGAACCAAGTCTTGACAAGATCTCTGGGAATGGACTCTCCTCCAACAAGAAGTAGATTCAAGGTAGGGACGTCTTCAGGCTGTATTGTCCGGGCAAAGGAAGGAGTAAGAATGGCACAATTGATATGTTGGTCACAAATGTATTCCGTAATACTGTTCATTCGGATGTCTTCTGATGGCACGCAAACACAAGCACCGCTAAGTAACGGCGCAATGGCTTCTCCAAGTGACATATCGAATACATAGGAGGCGAACTGGAGCATTCGAACATCAGGTGTAATCTCTAGCCTTTTTGCGAAAGAGATTTGTGAAGTGCAAAGAGATCTATGTTCCATAACAATGCCTTTGGGGGTGCCAGTTGAGCCAGACGTAAATAAAACGTACGCGGCGTTGCAAGGACTGACGTTGACCTTGGGGGCCTTGGAGCTAACTGCGGTAACAAGCGTTTGATCAAGACTTGGCGTGACTTCCAGGACGTTGTCGAAAAAGGCAGACATGAGAGCCGCGTTACAGTTGGAAGTCAGAACTAAGTTACCACCAGTTCGGTTGATGACTTGTCGAAGCCGCTGCTCCGGATGAGATGGCTCAAGTGGAATCCATGCAGCTCCCGCTTTGTTAATCGCAAGAATGGCGATAAAGTGCCAGGCCGATTTTTCAAAACACACATGAACAAAATCTTCGGGCTTGATCTGATAAGTGTTGATAATGTGATTGGCCAGTCGATTGGCGGTGTTATTAAGTTGGCTGTACGTAAATTCGGCATCCCAAGCTGAAATGGCTGGAGCGTCAGGTCGGATTCCAGCCTGACGCTCAATGAGACTATGCACACAAGCATCAACAACCTCAGGAGGGTCGCCATTGGCAGAGATATAACGGTCTAAATCCCAAGCAGAAGAAATGGAAATGGAATCCAAAGTATTCTCGCTCGTAGCAGCTGCAAGCTGTTGTATAACATGACCAAACTGATGGGACAATGCCTCAGTCTGGATATCGGCTACTGCACTTGAGTCGTATATAAAAACAAGCTTAATGCAGTCTTCATATAGGTGTGCTTGAGCAACAAGAGGATATGAAAAGTAATCTTGCAATGATTCAACCTCTTCCTTCAGCTGCGCATCTGCTTCGACAAGGACGGATTCAGTACCCTTGGAGCCTAAAATATGCTGAACGGGCTGGATGCCCAAGAGCGATGTGAATTCGCAAGCCTCTTTAGTGTCATTGCTCAGCTTAGCAATACTCTGCAGACCAAATTGCTCATGCGGAATCATTTCAAAGGCTTGCTTTTGAACGGTGCGAAGAAAGTCAAGAGCGGGCTGTGTGTGATCTACTTGAACTCGGACAGGGACCGTGGCAACAACTGGGCCAACCATGTCCATCAGCCCAGGCAAAGGGGCCTGGCGACCGGAAGTTATCGTACCAAAGGTTATGTCTTCAGTATTGTTATAGCGTGCGAGAACCAAAGCCCAAGCAGATCGAATAACGGTGGCCAGCGTGATTTCCGAAGAAGCCATCTTGGGGAGTTCAATGGATCTTTCAAAACCTCGAGTGGCACCTGCTTGACTAAGTCCTTTCTTCAAAGCCGGGAAGTCATTTTTATGAGCGCCTCGTAGCTGCTCTCTCCAGTATGAAGCTGCCGCTTCTTCATCGAGGTTAAGTGCGTACTTGACAAAGCGGGAATACGCCGGTACTTCAGTTATCCTTTCGCCGTAATAGGCATTCGTAAGGATACTCATAATGTTATGCATTGATATGCCGTCAAAAACGGCATGATGGATGCTCCACATGAAATAGGTATCACCATCTGAATGCTTGATAAGAGCGTACCGCGAGAGTCGAGAGCCGTAAGTCATTTGAATGTCCCCGATTGTTTGAAGATATGTCCGAATGTCTGTTTCTTGAACGGCATCCCACTCACAATCACCACTCACAACAATTTGGGTGGTAGATGCGTCAGTTGAAATGATTCGTGTGCGTAAGGTGCTGCAGACGCTAATTGTACTCTTCAAAGCATCCTTGAAACGAGAGACGTCAACGTACTCAGGTAGACGGTATAGGAATTTTGCGATATAGGACCCAGGCTGCTTGGTAGAAAGAGCCATGAGGCCTTCTTGAAGCTTCGTAGCTGGATAGGCGTCTTCTATTTCTTGGCTTTGATCGAGACCGTAGTTCTTGTAAATGCTGGGAGCCTGAATCAGGCGCTGAGTATCCTCATCAAGGAGAGAAAACGCAGGAATATGGGTCAATGACTCATGATTTTCATCAGCTGTACCCGCGATAGCGGCCATGGCAGACAAACGCGGGTCCTCAAAAATTTCAGCCGCCTTGAGAGTAATACCAGCCTCGCGGGCCATAGAGACTAAGCGAATGGCAGCAATTGAGTCACCGCCAACTCGAAGGAAACTATCGTCTTTGCCAATAGTTTGAGCAGGAATATGAAGGACTTCAGCCCACAGATGCTGTAATCGGATCTCCATTTCCGTGTCTGGAGCGCGTTTGTTGGCATCCGTAAGTGAGTAAGCTTCTAGATCTCCTTGAGATAAGGCACTCATAACATTGCGAAGCTTAATCTTGTCTAATTTTCCAGATGAAATAAGAGGCATGTAGCTGCAAGGAATGAAGTAGGTCGGGATCATGTAATTAGGTAGCGAGGCACTGAGCTTGCTAACCACAGTATGCAGCTCTCTCTGCAGAGCTTCAGTCATAGAGAGAAAAACGTCTTTGCCCTCAGGGTCAGTGCTAGGACCAGGCGTTTTGGTGTTGTCACTGAAGCAGAGATAGGAAACCAGATTGGTGACAGTCTCCGCTCGGAACACATCAACAGCGACTTGGCGAAGAGAGTCAAAAGAGTTTCGAAGGGAATGCTCAACTTCGCTTAGTTCAACACGAAGCCCTCGAATCTTGACCTGAGAATCTTTGCGACCTGAACAGTGGATAGATCCGTCAGAGTTATAGAATCCTAAATCGCCCGTCTTGTAGAAACGGCTCCAGAGCTTTGAGCTTGTACGAGGTGCCCAGCTGGGCAAAGACGTCAAGGTTGACGAGGCAGTCTTGGCTGGATCAGCCAGGTACTCGCGAAGAAGTGTCGGCCCCTGGATAACAAGTTCGCCGATACACCCGACTGGGGCTAGACGATGATGATTATCGGCACCAACAACCCAGCAATATCCTCCAACGGGTGTTCCAACAGTTAGAGGATTTTCGTTAGACGACCTGTATTCGTGCAATGTGCTAAAAACACACGTCTCAGCCGGACCCCAACCATTGACCAGCCTAACTTTGCCAAACCAGAGGTCAAAGACATCCTGGCTAACAGGTTCGCCAGCGAGAAGAACGAGCTCCAGGCTGGGAACGTCCTGCGGTTGCAATGTACGAGCAAGCGATGGTGTTAAAAACGCCCAGTTTACCTGAGCGTTCGCAATGAATCCAACCAAGTTGTTAAGGCGATCATGATCGCTCGGAATGCAAACACAGCCACCATGCATAAGAACAAGCCAGATTTCTCCAACAGACAAATCGAACACAAAGGATGAGAACTGAAGCATCCTAACGCTGCTCTTTACACCAAGTCTCTTTGCAATATCACGCTGGCTAGTGCAAAGAGATACGTGCTCCATCACAAATCCCTTGGGGCCGCCGGTACTGCCCGAAGTAAAAATCACGTAAGCGACATCGCTTGACTTGACGTTGACTGAGGGCTTCTCGTCGTTGATAGTTGCGTCTTCTTTAAGTTGCTCGTTCAAAGTCGAAGAGACTTCGATGACAGAGGATATCAGCCTGGAGCATAGGTCCTTATGGGTGGAAGAGGCAAGAGCCAATCTGGCATCTGTCTGGCTAGCCACCTGCTGAAGGCGTTGGAATGGGTGTGCTGGATCCATAGGAACCCAAGCAGCTCCGGCCTTATTGATCGCAAGAACCGAGACCATGTACCAGGCGGATTTCTCAAAGCACACATGAATGAAGTCTCCAGTCTTGACGCCGTGGCGACTAACCAGTAAATTGGCCAGTCTATTAGCGGCCAGATCAAGTTCACTATATGTAAATTTACCATCCCAAGCGTCAACAGCCACGGCATGAGGAGATGCCTTGGCTTGGCGTTCAATGACGAGATGGGCGCAATCATCATTAATTTCGGGACCATCACCATTAGAGGCTTGAATAAGATCAAAGTCCCAAGAACTAGCGATGGAAATCTCGCCAAGTTTGCAATCTCTGCCACTGACTAGTTGCTGTATAACCTCGTTAAATTGATGAGACAGCGCAACAATTTGGGACTCGAGGAAAAGGACAGAATCGTAGATCAAGACAAGGTCAACCCGATTGTCATACATAAGTTGTTGCAAAACAAGAGGATAAGAGAAGTAGTTTTGAAGTTGATCCTCCTGAATGTCCTGTTCAGAAACAGTCGGTATCAAAAGAGTGTCTACCTCATCTCCGGCTAAATGGTTCATCGGCTGAACTACCATTAACGACGTAAAATCGCAGGCGTCTCGAGCGTCAGCTCCTAGTCTTGCGATATTCTGTAAACCGAATTGTTCAAACGGAATCATCTCGGATGCCTGGTTCTGAATATTCTGAAGGAATTTGGACACGCGTTGCTGATAGTTAAGACGAACTCGAACTGGAACAGTAGCAACGGCAGGGCCTGCCATCTCGGTCAGACCTGGAACTGGAGCCTGCCTGCCAGAGATGGTAGACCCGAAAGCTACATCATCAGCGTCGCAATAGCGGGCAAGAATAACAGCCCAAGCCGCTCGAAAAACTGTGGCCTTGGTAATAGCCGGGTTCATTGAGGCTGGAAAGCGGATGGATTTGGTCAGCATGCGTGTAATGTGCTTCTTCTCGCCTGCCTTCATCCTGATAGCCGGGAAACTAGCTCTCTTGGCATTCTCAAGCTGAGCGCTCCAATACTCAGATGCAGCTTCTGTATCAATATTGAGTGTGTAATGAATGAAGTTTTTGTATGGCTGAATGGTAGGCGCATACCGGCCGTCATATTCTCTCCACAATGTCTCGAGCATAATCTTCATGGACCAACCATCAAAAACTGAATGGTGAATAGCCCACATAAAATAGCTTTTCCCGTGGCCATCTTTCAGGACCATATAACGAGACAGGGGCATACCGTATGACATTCGGATTGACTGACAGGAGGCGGTGGCAGTACGAACATCATCCGTCTGGATTACCTCCCACGGAAGCTCTTCATTAATCACAATTTGGATACAAGAACCGTTGACCATCACAATGCGACTGCGAAGAGCCTCAATAGCAGAGGAAGTGTATTCCCATGCTTCTTTGAATCGATCCAAATCAACGTTGTCAGGTAAACGATATGTGTGCTTCGCAACGTACGATCCCGGTTGCTTGACGGAAAGGACCATAAGGCCTTCTGGAAGCTTGCTGCATGGATAAGCATCTTCGACTTCTTGCTCAGCAGAAAGTTTGAGAGCTTTTCTGAATTCATCAGAGAGCACAATCTTGCGAATTTCATCATTCAAAAGGCTGAATGGCTCGATTTCCTCAACTTCCATTGCGGCATCGCTCTCTTTAGCTTTACTAGCTACAGCCAGCAGACGAGGGTCGTCAAAAACATCCTTGATAGTTAAAGAAATACCCTCTTCACGTAAAATATTGATGAGATGAATGACAGTGATGGAATCACCACCGAGACCCAGGAAGCTATCGTCACGCCCGATTGATTCCATAGATATCTGGAGAATTTCGGCCCAGACCTGTTGTAGCTGGCTTTCCATGGAAGTCTCGGGCTTTCGCTTCTCACCACCAGCAAGTGAATACTTGGACAGCTCGTCCGTGGATAAACCAGCCGTGCGTCTCTTTAATTCTTTGCGATTGAGCTTCATGGAAACACTGGTCGGCATATAATGGCAGGGGATAAAAAAGGTTGGTACCATGTAGGATGGGAGAAGGATTCGAAGTTCGCCAGAAGCAGCAATGAGACGAGTTTTGAGATCTTCATCGACGATATCGAACAGACTCTCGTTATCGCGTGCAACACGTGCATCGGCTCTTTTAGTTTCCTTGCTAAAACAAAAGTATGCAACGAGATTTGATCCGTTTTCACCCTCGAATACATCAACTGCGACCTGCTGCACATCATCAAGAACAAGCTGCAAATGGTGTTCGATTTCGCCCAATTCCACGCGAAGGCCACGAATCTTGATTTGTGTATCTTTGCGCGACAAGAATTCGATTGTCCCATCAGGGTTATAGGAACACAGGTCTCCAGACTTATAAAATCGGCTCCAAAGCTGGGACTCGCGGCGAGGGACCCATTCCGGTAGGTCGTTTACAATCGATGACCTCGTTTTCTCTGGATCAGCCAGATATTCCCTTAGTAGAGTCGGGCCTTGGATTACAATCTCGCCAACTGTGCCTGTAGGAGCTAGCTTTTGATGATCTTCAGGATCTACAATCCAGCAGAAGCCACCCACAGGTCGGCCAATATTAAGCGGGCTCTCGTTAGCTGATTTCAATTCATGGAGAGTCGAGTAAACACAAGTCTCAGCAGGGCCCCAGCCGATGATGAGTCTAACCTTGCCAAACCAGGATTTGACTACCTCGTGACTGACTGCCTCGCCTGCTAAAAGCAAAAGCTCTAGAGTAGGCACGTCCTCGGGCCTTATGGTACGGGCAAAGGCAGGGGTAAGGAAAGCCCACTTAATTTTGTTTTCTTGTATATAGCTTGTCAAGTTGTGTAAGCGGCTGTGATCATCAGGAACATGTACCGAGGCTCCTGAAAATAGAGACACCATGATTTCACCAATTGATAAATCGAAAACAAAGGCGGCAAATTGTAACATGCGTACATCAGCCGTCGTCCCAAGTACCTTGCTAATAGCAGTCTGTGAAGTGCACACTGAGCCGTGCTCCATAACCAGTCCCTTAGGGGTGCCCGTGGAGCCCGATGTGAAAAGGACGTAGGCAATGTTACGAGGCGTCACATTAACGGCAGGCCCAGTTGCGCCCGAAATGCCAGACTTGATAAGCTCCTCATCAAAAACAGGGCTAATCTCGATGACAGACATGTCAAGACTAGAGCAGATATCCACGCTAGCAGGCGAAGTCAAGACAATTTTTGCGCGAGTTTGATTAGCGATCTGACGCAAACGCTGCTCTGGATGAGAGGGGTCAAGAGGAACCCAGCCAGCACCAGCCTTGTTGATTGCGAGAATAGCAATGAAGTACCAGGCAGATTTTTCGAAGCAAACGTGTATCAGGTCATCTGCTTTGATGGCAAAGTTTTGAACAAGGTAATGGGCTAATCGGTTGGCAGCCTCGTTCATTTCAGAATATGTAAAGGTTCGATCCCACCCGGCAATGGCGAGGGCGTCAGGTCGCTCCAGAGCTTGTTTCTCAACCAACTCGTGTATACAAGAGTCGATGATCTCAGGCACGTCAGAGTTAGCCTTGTAACTCTGCTCAATATCCCAGGAACCAGCAACAGAGATATCACTAAGCAGAAGGTCGTCTTGATGAGCAAGTTGCTGCGTAACATTCTCAAAGTGGTAGCACAGAGCAGATATCTGAGACTCGGCAAGAACGCTGGCGTTGTAGATTACAAGCAGCTCCACATGGTCTTCATACAAAACACCTTCCATGATAAGTGGATACGTAAAGTAATTCTGCATGACTTCTTCTTCAATGGCCTTGTCATCATAGGCACTGATAAGAATCGCATCCTTGCTATCGTCACCATACTGCAGGAAATGACCTGGCTGAATGACCAACAAGCTAGAAAAGTCGCAAGCCTCACGAGCACTTTCACTAATCTTGGCAATGTTCTGAAGTCCAAACTGCTCATAAGCTATCATTCCAGAAGCTTGACTTTGGATATCCTGAAGAAACTGAGCTACAGGTTTGGATCCTTCAAGTCGAACTCTAACAGGAACAGTAGCCACTGCAGGGCCAGCAATCTCAGTGATTCCAGCTAGAGGAGCTTGACGACCCGAAACTGTGGTTCCGAAGGAAATGTCGTCAGCATCGCTGTATCTGCTTAGAACAATGGCCCAAGCCGCGCGCAATATGGTTGACTTTGTAATTGAAGTATCCTCTGCGATTGCAAAAGAAATCTTTTTCTTCATAACTTGTGTGATGGATTCAGCAGTTGAGGAGCCTTTAGCAGGGAAGACAGCTTTCTGAGCATTTTGAAGCTGAGAGGACCAAAAGTCCTTAGCTTGAGCTTCGTCCATCTCAGACGTATAACGAATAAAAGATGAGAACGCTCGAGAAGCCATTACATCTTCCTGTCGATAAATGCTCCGTAAGGTTTGAAGAATAATCTGCATTGTCCATCCATCGAACGCGGTATGGTGAATGGTCCAGACAAAATAGTTGTCACCACTGGGTTCCTCTACCAAGGCATACCGGCAAAGGCGCGAACCATAAGCCATTTCAACCTTCTTCGTTGCGTTGACATATGAAACAATGTCTTGGCACTCTGTCAGATCCCAAGCAATATCATCCTTGATGACAACTTGGATAGAGGATCCCTGGTAAAGTACAATTCTGGTACGCAAGATGTCAGAAATCTTCACGGTATCCTCCCAGGCATCTTTGAAGCGCTGAATATCAACGTGACTGGGGATCTTGTAGGCATGCTTAGCAATGTATGATCCAGGATGTTTCACGGCCATCGCCATGAGACCTTCCTGAAAGCTGGTGGTAGGGAAGACATCAGCAACGGTTTGATGTGGAAGCAACTTGCAGAGGCTGCGAAGCTCATCGCTCAATGCCCAGCTACGCATAGCTGTACTGACAAGACTAAATGGCTCAGAGGTCGCGTTCTGTTGGTTCACATCGCCACCGATAGCGACAGCTTTTGTGGCAACCTGTGATAGTCTAGGATCATCAAATATATCCTTTACAGTCAAGGAGATACCAGCTTCGTTTGCGGCCCTAATGCTATAGATGGCAGCGATAGAATCACCGCCTAGACGCAAAAAGCTAGAGCCGCGGCCAATTAAATCAGGCGCAACCTTGAGTGTCTTTGCCCATATTTGCTGCAGTCTTGCTTCCATAGGAGTTTCAGGTGGCTGCTTTTCTTCTTCGTCGGAAAGAGTGTAAGCCATAAGTTCATCCTTGCTAAGAAGGGCCGCTGCACTCCGAAGAGCCTTGCGGTCCATCTTCCCGGACGTGTTTAGCGGCATAAATTTGCACGGAACAAAGATGGTAGGGATCATATAGTGAGGGAGATGGACACCCAGCTGATTAAGCATAGCAGAAATCTGCTGCTTCATCTCAGGTGCTATGGACGAAAAAATTTCTTCCAAGTCGCTATTACTGCTTCTAGTATCATCACTGAAGCAGAGATAGGTAACAAGACTAAGACCAGCTTCTTGGTTGTTAATAACATCAACCACGATTTGCTTCGAACCTGGCAGATTATTGGAGATAGTGTACTCGATTTCGCTCAATTCGACACGCTGGCCACGGATCTTGACCTGGTTGTCCTTTCGACCCATGTATTCAAAGGTTTTGTCAGGATTGCGGCGGACCAAGTCGCCAGTTCGATAGCCTCGCCTAGAGGCAGTAGCTGGAAGCCAGTCGTATGCCATATCCTCCAACCAGTTGGCAGCAACCTTGGCGTCGACGTTGAGATATCCATAAGCTAGGATAGGGCTCTGGATAACCAGCTCACCAATGCAGCCAATTGGTACCAGGCGGCCAGGGTCGTCGGGCTGGACAACCCAGAAAGCACTAGAGAGAGGAAAGCCCAAGTTGGTAGGCCCGTTGTGTATATCTGAGTTCCAAGCGCAAATAGATGCTTCAGCTGGGCCATAAAGTCCATGCAAGTCAGTAAATCCCTGCCACCTTTCGGAAGTTTTCTTGTAAATGGCCTCTCCGGCCAAACAGAGCGTTTTCAAACTAGGTACTTCAGTCGGGTTGATCATATCAGCGACAGAGGGTGTCAAGATAGCCCAGTTAGCTTGGAGGTCATTAATCACACCGGCGAGATTGTTAAGACGATCGTGCTCAGAAGGCACACAAACGCAGCCACCACGCATAAGAGTGATCAAGACATCGAGTATACCGATATCAAAAGTATACGCGGAAAACTGGAAAACACGTGTGCCAGGGCCCACGCCGGTACTGGCAGCATGTGCATCACTTGCAGAGCAGAGACTGCTATGCGGAATTCGAATACCTTTGGGCTTGCCTGTGGAACCGGACGTAAATAAAACTGCGTAGAGACTATCAGGTGTGGCACCTGATGTGATGAACTTGGTGTCAGGATCCGGAAGTTGGTGCAGAAATGAATTGTCAACGATCAAGAGGTCAACGCCGAGTCCTCCAAGCTTATCTTTAAGAGAAGGGTGAGTAACGATCAGCTTAGCATGCGTGTCCGAAACAATACTTTGCAGACGAGCTATTGGAGCCGCAGGATCAAGAGGCACAAGAGCACCACCAGCCATCTGGATAGCAATTATCGTAATCATGGCCGGGGTAGACTTGGGGAACGATATAGGAACTAGGACGTCAGGGCCAACGCCAAGACTCTGTAGCTTGGCAGCTAACCGAGAGGCCAAAGTACCAACTTCGCCATAAGTAAGCTTGCCATCCCAAGAGTCAATCGCGGGAGCATCTGGATTTGCCTCAATCTGCTTATAAATCTCCCAATGGGTGCAAGACTCAGTGGCAGGGCGGTAGAGAGACGCATCAGCGGCATGTTGTATCTCTCGCTCACCAACAAGAGTTATATCTCCGACCAGTTTGTTGCCAGGGCTTAAAAGCTGCTGAATAATGTGCTCAAACTGATAAGAAAGAGCTTCAACTTCTCGCTCAGACATGATATCTGGATTATAACAAAATCTCTGGCTTACGCTTTCTTCAGCCATGAAGCTGAGCATGACCAATGGATAGTTGAAGTAGTTGTTCATAGACTCAATCGTTAACTGATCCTCGTCGCTTCCAGAATGCAACAATCCGTCCGTAGTGTTAAAAATGGCGCTTTCTTGTTCCTTGGGCTGAATAACCAGCAACGACGTGAAGTCGCATGCCTCTCGAGCTTCGGGACTAAGCTTTGAGATACTGGATAATCCATACTGCTCATAAGGAATCATGTCTAGCGCATGATCTTGGATCTCTTGGAGCAGTTGCTTCGCGGGCTTATCTGCTCCTAAATGAACTCGGATTGGAATAGTGGCAATGACAGCTCCAGAAGTTGACAAAAGACCGCTAATAGGGGCTTGGCGACCAGAAACGCTGGCTCCATAGCAAACATCACTGGCTTCGCAACGTCGTCCCAGTACAATCGCCCACGCAGCTCGAAGTATAGTGGCCATCGTAATTGATGTATCTTTATGGCCTTCAAAGGACACCAAGCGATCCACAACACGTACCACGCCATCGGAGCGATCAGTAACAAGGCGATTTCCAGGAGCTGGATAAATTGGTTTCTGAGCGCCAGATAGATTGGATCGCCAGAAGTTGGCTGTAGCGTCGTCATCAATTTGGCCAACATAGCTGACAAAGTTAGAATAAGGAGTCAAAGGGGATGCTTTCCGGCCATGGTAGTAATGATAGACGTTATCCAAGACAATACGCATGCTCCAACCGTCATTGATGGCATGGTGAGTGATCCATACGAAATAGACGTCATCTTGGTCCTCAACAAGAGCAAATCGAGTAAGGCGAGTTCCATATCCCATGTCAAGCTTAGAGATCAATTGCTTGTAGGATTCAAGGTTGTGGCCTGTCGTATCCTCCCATGCGCTGTCATTTGTAACAACAACCTGCACTGCGAAATCATCTTCAAGTACAATACGGGTCCGCAGCGTGGCTGTAAGCTTCACAGAGTCTTCCCAAGCAGATTTGAATCGAGCAATGTCGATATGGTTGGGTATTTTATGAAACCAATGCGCAACGTACGAGCCCGCCTGCTTGGCGGTGAGAGCCATAAGACCCTCTTGGAGGGGAGTGCATGGGTAGGCATCTTCGATTGCCTGATCTTTCCCAAGGCCGTATTGAGCTCTTGCAGCAGAACTTTGCATGTACTTGCGCATTGAGTCTTCCAGCAGGCTAAACGGCTTGATGTGTGAAGATGGGCCAGGGCTGTTAACAAGGGTAGCCTTGGAAGCCACCTGGAACAAACGAGGGTCATCAAAAACATCTTTGACATCGATCAGAATTCCAGCTTCGCGGGCAGCGGACACAAAATAAATCGCAGCAATGGAGTCGCCGCCCATTCTCAGAAAACTGTCGTCCAAACCAATAGACTCAGTGGGAAGCTTTAGAAGCTCGGCCCAGATTGTCTGGATTCGAGTCTCCATGTCAGTTTCCGGAGCACGTTTCTTGCTATCCACGAGAGAATACCTCGCAAAGTCTTCCTTACAAAGATTGGACAGTGCGAGTCGTAGAAGCTTCATGTCCAACTTCGTCGAAGTGATGAAGGGCATGTAGTGGCACGGGATAAACAGAGCTGGAATCATATACCGAGGAAGCACCACACCAAGCTGACCAACCAAGGCAATGAGCTGGCTTTGGAGGTTCGTAGTCATCGGGGCAAATACATCTTTGACGCTTGTCTCGGAGTTCTTGCCAGCGGTACGCGTCTCCTCCGTGAAGCAAAGATAGGCGATGATGAATGCGCCCCCATCTCCCTTTGCGATATCAACGGTGACTTGCTTGACGCCTTCCAAGTGTTCGCGAACATGATGCTCAATCTCACCAAGCTCAACACGCAGGCCTCGAATCTTGACCTGGCTGTCCTTGCGAGACGCAAATTCGATAGTGCCGTCCGCATTATATCGACACAAGTCACCAGACTTGTAAAATCGATTCCAATTTGTGGCCGTGCGTTTCGGCGCCCACTCAGGAAGGTTCCGGATCATCGATGCCTCGGTCTTGTCTTTGTCGGCCAGATATTCACGAAGGATAGTAGGTCCCTGGATGACAACCTCGCCGAGGGTTCCGACAGGAGCCAGTCGCTGTGGGTTTTGCGGATCAACGATCCAACAATAGCCGCCAACCGGGCTACCTATTGTCAAGGACGATTCCTCCAGACTCTTCCACTCATGCAAGGTTGAGAAGACACAAGTCTCAGCAGGACCCCAGCCATTGACTAGTCGCAGCTTTCCAAACCAGGCCTCAAACACGTCTCGTCCAACAGCCTCACCGGCAAACAGGAGCAAGTCCAAGCCGGGGACATCACTGGGATTCAAGGTCCGTGTAAACGAGGGAGTCAAATACGCCCAGTTGATCTTCGTGGCGTTTATAAACTCAACCAGGTTATTCATCCGTGTATGCTCAGACGGGACACAGAGGCAGCCTCCAACCACCCAAGGGCCTACAATCTCACCAATAGAGAGATCAAAGACAAAGGAAGCAAACTGTAGCATTCTCACGTCTGCTGTCATCCCAAGGCGCTTGGTAATAGCAGTCTGTGAAGTACAGACGGCTGCATGCTGCATAACTAGACCCTTGGGGGTGCCTGTGCTGCCCGAGGTAAATAGACAATACGCAGCGTTGTATGGCGATACGACGCGCGTTGGCGCAGAGCTCAACTCCGTCTTGGCCAGCTTCTCATCCATGCTGGAAGACACTTCGACAACGTTGTCAACCAGCTGAGAGCACATCTCAGCATTGCTGGGGGAGGCCAATGCCAGACTCGCTTTGGTCTGTGAGACAACCTGTTGCTGTCGCTGAACTGGATGCGAGGGGTCCAAGGGAACCCAGGCAGCACCAGCTTTGTTGATTGCGAGAATAGAGACAAAAAACCAGGCCGATTTCTCGAAGCATACGTGCACAAAATCTTGATCTTTGACTCCACACGTCTTGATGAGATGATGAGCAAGACGGTTGGCAGCGCTGTTGAGTTGGTCATAGGTCAGTTCCAGATCCCAAGCCTGGATCGCGATGGCACTAGGTTGCTCTTCAGCCTGTCTCTCGATAAGTTGATGCAGACACAATTCGACAATTTCAGGTGTCTCATTGTTGTTTTTAAGAGATTGTTCCAAATCCCATGGGCCAGAGACCGTCAGAGCACTGAGAAGCATGTCACTGGGAGAAAGCAACTGCTGGATAATGTGTGCATAGTGGAAACACAGAGCCTCGATTTGGCTCTCAGAAACAGCGTCAGCGTAATAAGTCCACTCCAACTCAATGCTGTCCTCGCCGATGCGAGGCTGCAAAACGAGAGGATAGTTGAAATAGTTACGCATAGCCTCTTCTGAGAGAGCTTTCTCAGCTGGTCCTTGTTGCAGAATCGCGTCAGAGGCGGTATCGGCACTGGACGTCAAATGGCTATTCGGCTGGATAACAATCAAGTTGGAGAATTCGCATACTTCTTCAGCATCCTGGCCCAACTTTGAGATGTTTTGAAGGCCATACTGCTCATGGGCAACCATTTCTGACGCTTGTGTCTGAATTTGCTTCATGAACTCGGATGTAGTCATACCACGTTCAATCTTGACACGAATTGGAACAGTTGCAATCATGGGGCCCGGGATTTCGTTCAATCCAGGTACAGCTGCCTGTCTACCGGACAAAGTCGTACCAAAACACACATCGTCAGAGTCACAGTAGCGTGCAAGGAGAAGGGCCCAGGCTGCACGAAGAACCGTGGCAGTAGTAGCAGAAGCAGACTTTGTGTTGTTGAAAGGCATCTTTCTCTTCATAACCTTATCTTCAGAAATGGAGGATAGCTTAGCGGACGGATAATGAGAGCGCTGGGCACCATCAAGCTCCTTTCGCCAATACTCTGAAGAAGCAGTAGCGTCGATAGATTCCACATAGCGAATGAAGTTGGAGTATGAGCGCAAAGCTTTGGAGTTATTGCCGCGATAATTGTCGTACAGACTGTCCAGGACAATTCGCATAGTCAGACCATCGAATACTGCGTGGTGAATAATCCATACAAAGTAGACATTGCCATTGCTTTCTCGGACCAAAGCATGTCTGCTTAAGCGTTGACCATAGCTCATCCCAACACTTCGCGTTCCTTTGAGATAGGCTTGCACATCCATGCCGGGAGCAGGGTGTTCCCAAGCAGTGTCTCCAGCAATCACAGCTTGGAGAGCTCGACCACCGGTAAGCATAACTCGCGAACGCAAACTGCCGCACTGACTGATGGTAGCCTCCCAAGAAGCTTTGAACTGATCAATGTCAATATTAGGCATTAGCTTATGCACCACCCTGTGGATGTAAGAGCCAGGTTGCTTCGTTCCCAAAGCCATGAAACCTTCTTGTAGGGTTGTGCAGGGATAGATATCTTCAATGACTTCGTTCGTTTTAAGCTTGCACTCCTCCCGAATCTGCTTCTTGATGTCTTCAAGCTTATCCTGGGGCATCAAGCTGAAAGGTTCCACTTCGGTCATTGCTGCACTGCTCTCGTCAATAGCGGCCACAGCTGCCATTTTGCTAAGTGTAGAATTATTAGAGATTGCGGCGGGGCTGAGATGAATGCCATGCTGGTAAGCAACAGTGACCAGCTCAATGCTTGTTAGAGAGTCACCACCAAGCAAAAAGAAGCTGTGCTTCTTTCCAATGTCCCGTACGTGGACCTGGATCACATCTCGAAGAACTTCAACCCAAAGAGCCCGAAGAACCACTTCCATCTCTGTCGTCGGGATCTCATCGTCTGCAAGCTCGCTCTCCAGAGAGCCAGCTTCCGCAACAATGCGTGCCCTTTTTTCACGGGGGGATAGACCAGTGGCATCAACGCTCTCGTCTGCATTGCTTTGGCTCCAGGGATACTGGGGCAATCCAGCAATTGCCTTACCGTTGGTAAACAACGGGGCCAGATTCAGCGAAACTGATTCTTGCCACAGCCTTCCAACAGCAAAGAGGAAGCTCACCGCGCTATCGACACCGCGACTTTGGGACGACACATAGTTGCACTGAACACCTGTAGCCGCACATATCTGGGATATAGGGACAGAGAGAGCAGAATGAGGCCCGATTTCGAGAAACAGAGTCTCTCCGGGCGACATGGCAAGAAGATTGGAAACAGCAGTGCTGAATCGGACTCTGGACACCAGGTTGGAGATCCAATAAGCAGCACCGAAGTCGCTCTGCTTCTTCAAAACCTTGTCACTAACACTGGATAGAAAAACAGCTTTGTTTTTCTTCGTTGCCTTTGATGCAACCTTTTCGTTCTCCAAGAGTCCACGAAGCTCGTCTGCAAGCAAAGCCATGTGGTGAGAATGATAGGCTACACCTGTGCGCAAAGTACGAGTAACCACGTCGGGTTTTGAAGCCTTGATAGACATGAGCACTCGCTCTACAACCTCGCAATCACCAGAAATGGTAGTGCTAGTAGGAGAGTTTTCGCAAGCAACTACCACGCCTTCCTCCAGGAAGCCACTCACATCCTCCACACCCAAACTGACCACGGCCATAGAGCCATCCTTCTGGCTCTTAGTGGTGACATGGCCATAGTAGTAAGCGATGGCGATGGCATCCCTAAAAGAGAGAAAACCCGAAGCATAGGCCGCGGCGATTTCACCGCTGGAATGACCAACGACTGCCTTTGGCACAACTCCAAGGCGTTCGAAACGATTGACTAGGGCAATCTGCAGCGCCGTACTGAGAGGGTAGGAGAGTTCCGGCGAACTAACCCGGTTGTCGGGATCAGTCGCATCTCGAAGAAGCTCTTTCTTAATTGACCAGGTGGCTGGTAGCTTCAATCCTTTCAAAACGTTATCCATCTTCTCAATGTCCTTCTTAAAATCCGGGTCGCTCATGATGAGCTCCCTGCCCATGCCTGCCCACTGCGCACCCTGGCCATTAAAGATCATAGCAATGGACAAAGTCTTCGCAGAAGACTTGACAAAATTCGAAGTATTAGTAGAAGAGGAAGTAGAAAGAACGGAAAATGCTTTATATTCCAGAGCCTCGCGTCGCATGGCTCGTGTGTATGCCATATCGACAATGTTGTTTGGATGCGCCTGAGCATACTCACGATGGAGTTCTATTTGCTTAGCCAAAGAAGATGAATTATGTGCAGAGAAGAGAACAAGCTCCGGTTGAGAATCAGATGTACACGAAGGAGATTTGGGATAAGAGTCAATAATAACATGCGCGCCGTATCCCTCAGCGTCAGCAGAGTTGATGCTGATTCTTTCAGCATGACCAGATGCAAAAGGAGTAGGGTTTGCAGCCACAATGAGTTTTCCCTGAGCGAAAGAAGCTATTTAACCATTAGTGAGTCAATTTCAACCTTTCTACATAAATCTCGACTTACTAGAAGTGGCGGTCGGAGGAATAACTCGGTTCTCCAAAGTGACCACAGCCTTGATTAAGCTCACAAGGCCAGGAGCGCCCTCGCCGACATGGATTCCATTATCGCCAAAAACGCTGCTAATTGCAGACGCTTCTCCCGAATCACCCATATGGCCATTGACGCCATCACACTATTTATCGGAGGTTAGTACAACGTTGAATTACGGTTCAAATGCTTGGATTTCGACACATGGTGTTACTTACTTGAACAAGAAGCGACGAACAGGTATTCAAGTCGGCGGCAGCATAGGCGTCGAGAATCAACTTCACAAATGCCCCAGCCACAGAGTCTTGATCATGGGAGGCCGCAATGCTTGCTACAGTAGACGCGCGGATTACAGCGCGGATTGGGTTGCCATCTCGAATGGCATCAGGCAGCGTCTTAATATACACGGCGGACACCGCCTCGCCCTTTTCAGCGCCATCCTCAGAAATTGGCATCACACTAGATGCTACAACAATTGCAGACTTGGCTTTTCCAGATCGCACTGCGCAGCAAGCCTCATGCAAGGCCACAAGGGAGGAGTTGGTGATCATCCTGATGGAAATAGTATGTTAGCAAACAAGCCACGTAATCTGGAGGAAATGTATGCTGAATAAAAGTGATCTAGAAACGAACCTTGGACCCTTCAAATCGTTCTTGAATGAAACCACCGACGCATGATCCTCTTTAGAGGCACCAACATAGCAGCCCACGCAAGCATCCTCGCCTCGGTAATTGACCTCGCACGCATCTTCAAGACACTCGCGAGTCACCTCCAAGAGCTTCTGCTGTTGTGGGCTGCAGTCCTTGGCTTCCTCATCGGTCATGGAAAAGAGCGAGGCGTCAAATGGGCGCAGGCCATTCTTCAAGTCGTGGCCGTCCTCGCCGCCATCCAATTGCACCGGGCCGTGAGAGCCGTGTTCGTTGACGACCGACTGCCAGAATTGATCAGCATTACACATGCCTCCGGGAAGACGAATGCTGATGCCGCAAATGGCAATTGGAGTGTGAGGCTGATCCTCATTATTATAAGTAGCAATCGACGCCATTTTTTTCTAAACCCGCATATAATATATATCTTTTTTTCTTTTGGTTCCGGTCTATGATGTCGTTTACTTGGATGTCACTCTGATGCTTAGAGTTTCCTGTTATAGAGATCGATTAGCCTACTGAAGGGGATTATATTGATGTACACGAACCTTAATATCGAGAGTCACTGTCTTGTTTTTCGTTTTCTTTGTACTGACAGATATTATGTATTAAAAGTAATGGAATAGTTGGCTCTCAGAAGAGACCAAGATTCTTCCAAATAAAGGCCTGATCTATCCAGGCAAACAAATTAGTTAGTATGTAAAAGCTTCTCGGTCAAGCAATAACAAAGTGCTTGAACGCAGCGCATCTACGTAGTCGTAGAACAAACGAGCAGCTCGACTGGAAGAGTCAACAAGAGAAGAGAGAACGGTTCGTAACCTACTATAAGGGAGCAACTGCAGACTGCCGCCGGTAGCTTAGTACATTCAGTATTACTAAGATAGCATTCAAAGTACTTATTACGTCTCACGAGTATGATGAATACAGGCTCGTACCAGTAGGGGTGTCCATAGCGGTTGCACCGCTCCTATGTGCAACCACGGAATCGGGTCCTTCCGGCCATCAATACTAATATTAGTACTAGTATTTTAGACTTGTGGATCATGAAACTACATGCGGCTATATTTGAACGCTAGACAAAGTGCTCACACCAATAGCAAACCGAAAGATCAGCAAAATGCAAGAGAGCCCATAAATTGTTGATGCAAGGAACGTACTCCAAGATTTTGTCAGCTGCAGCGGCATTGCCTGGATTTCTAATAATGTCTTGCACAGTATATTGTTTGGATAGGCATAGGCCTAAAATAGGTACTCGTACTATGTGTGTATATGCAGCACCATGGGTCAAGGCGGACAAGTCGGATCAACCAGCGATAATCATCTGCCTGAGCTAAGATGCGAGACAGCGGCTCCTCCCTTGCGCCAAGCGGACTCGCTAGGATGAGATGTGACCAGTTAACACTACTTGTATATCTAGCTAGCATTAATTTTGACAAGGGCACCCTCGCCTGATGTCTCGCGCGTCGGCCACTAGTATTCGCAAAATGGACGCGCCTTGCCACAAAGCGGCAGGGCTAGGAAACGTGAGATGAACGAAGTGATACACAATCGGTGAGAAGAAGTGTGTAATTGGTCAATATATTTACTGACTTGAGCTCCGTCGATCTGACTATGTATATTACTAGTGTTCTTGCTGAGATGGCCATGGCAATTCAGCGGCTATCGTTGTATGGCTATCGTTGCGTCACGAAGACTGCCCTATTATGCCAGCAGTCGCGTTCAAAACGCAAAGAACGTGGTTTTATATGAATATCTATATCTACATGCTGGCATTGCAGTAAAAAATATGTGTAAATTCAAGTTCAAGCGATTAATCATGATTACTTAGAACTGCTATGCCACTTCATAGGCTTACACGTTAATTCCATGTATATTATTGTAAGAGGTCTGAGTCCTCCAAATGCTACAAGAACGTGCACAATACTATAAAAAGAAAGCAGTAGTAAATACTAGCAATTATAAAAAATGATATTTCGCGTTGTTCTACTGATCCTACTACTCTTTTCGCCGTATTAATGTAGCCGCTTCAAGGTTGTAAGTGACGCCTCGCAGCCCGTCAGCGTGTGTACGCTATAACATGATGATCTCCATCTATCAACACGATAGACTCGTTTGAAGCTTCATAGGTTATGTTTTTGCAACAGCGGTATGAAGCAGGCTGAATATGCATTCCGGGTAGGCTCTACGAGGACGCGTTTCGTGTGCATGAAGGTGTATCGCGTTACCATAGCATCTTGCTCTCCCTGCTTTGCTTACAATGGCCACTAGCCAGAATAAGGCTTCAAGGAATACTTGCCTACAGAGACTTACTAAAGTAGCAGATATTTCATCTACCGCGGGCTGGCGTACAATTTCCCGCTCCCGAGCCTAGCAATGCACCACAAAAGGAGAGCATGCCGCCACAACAGCCCTTCCCATCGCTCAACGCTGATTTGTTTGGTCTCTCGGCCCACTGCGAGACAATAGTGGCAAGGGACCCCTATCCGGCTGAACCAGATCGCTTCCGCTTGTACGGGCACAAGCGCCTACAAGTGGATTTGGGGCTGAAAATCCCCACTGAGCCGTCAGACGCCAATTTTAAGGCTATACCAACTTTTGCCACCTTTGCCTGTTTAGGATGCCGGCCGCTTGTCTGACTGGTGCCGGCGGAGAGATATTACGTTGGAAACGTCCTCGACCTTATGAAGCGTCCAGTCTCATGTAGCACATCCATTTGAAAGGATGATTCAGGCGAATAAAATTATCTCTCTCCCTATCTGACAAGCCCTTTGTAATGGAATAGGATAGTAATTACATGTATGGATGCTTCACAGGTAGGTAATCTTAGTTAACCATTCTCGCTCGCATAATGGGTAGATACACGCAACGATGTGGCATCTCGATGACCGTTACAGTGAGGCGGAACAATTTCTTGATTTAGATATAAGGGAGTCGCCATCCTATAGCCCCCAAACCGGTCACGCTCAGTGTCTCTGTTTCAGCTGGCCACTATCGCTTTAAAATTGCATTGGGAAAGGGTGTGAAGACAACGGGGCATGGACTTTTACCAGCACCAGTCTAAACAACGTTTTCAGCAACAACAGTACCAAAAAATTTCTGAAATATCGTTCAAAATACAATACCACTTAGAGAGTTCGTTCAAGTCTTTGAAGCTTAGCAGATCAAGTACAATGCACTTGTTTGGAGGAAATTCTGCAATATTTGCAGTATAGGTTATGGCGGGGTGTGTCTCGCGATCTTTCCACACCGCATGACTGGGTAAGCAAGGATTCAGTAGACCGCCTTCAAGCATGTCTCAGTATAAGACACGGTGTTAGTGTAGGCTGACTCTGCTGCGTGAATACAACAATCCAGCGGTACGAGCAAGATACATTTTACTAGGGCAGCAACAAATTTCACAGCACCACATCGCGGAATACAGGACCTGTTTTGCCAACCGAAAGCGAAAAGATACATGTGCTCGAAATATCAAGCCACGCCGGCTGATCCCTAAATGCGCACTCAGCTTTTATGAGGCTTCATCGGTCATAAGTGGACGGCGTATCATTAATCGCCGCATCGAGCATTCTTCGAAATGCATAGTCCCATATAGGCTAATTGAATTACAAATTGGTAACGGTTCACTATAGCTCTTTAATGGAAGCAGTCATATTCTCATGTCCTACCTAGAGGCGTGGATGCAATATCGCAGCCGCGATGCGAAGAGTCGAACTGAGTCTTGTAGCCTATAAGTTTATAAATGAGCTATTATACAGACGCTTCGCATTGGGCCGCATGGATATTTAATGTATCTGCGGACATGGACGTGTAATAACTGTGTACTTCATCTTCTCCCTGGACGGGCTTACCTTGTATGACCTGAATGCTGATTAATCCACATTTAAGACCCTGAGATCATAGTAATATATTACAGAGCGTAAGGATATTAATATATGCTGAGTGAATCAGACTTAGATGTGAACCTGGATCCAAAAGCTGACAAGCAGTCAGCCACGACGCGATCATGTCCTCCCAAGTGTTGGTATTGATTTCCAAGTCGCATAATTTACCTTCACTAGCAGGAAAACAAATGCGAATCTTTCTGGAGTGGCTGCGTTGATGATGACAAATGCTTCCTAAGGGTTGATGATCGCGAACTTAACATATTCCTTGCTAAGACGAGTGATCCCGGCGATTTATATCTATTCTAGCATGTAGCTACATGTTGTAACACTCTCTAGACCTCTGGCGGGCGTGGTAGCTGTCGAGTAGCTCAGGCGCGCTCATTCATTATCCAGGTAACAGTATTCTATGCATCCCTTACAGGATCTGGGTCAAATCCAGCCTCGTTTTACAGTAGATTAAGCAGGTTCAGAAGTCAAAGTATGGTCACGCCATTTTCTCGCTTAATTGCGCCTGAGTCTTAGACAGAGATGATTGATGATTGAACGCCACTCTGCCGGCCTTGCAAGCCGAATACTACATTATGCATGTATGCACTCCCTTATCCTGAAATGGCCAATGTCTTTCCCAAAAGCTAGCTCTAAAAAATACATGGAGAGGAGGACGAATTTAATAATGTTAAGCGCCTCGGATCGATTATCTGAGCATAGCTCTGTATACGGCTTTGCGCCATTCACTCCTGTCCCGTCCTTAATTATAATGATAGCTCCATAAACTTATCAACTTACTGCCATAATACACGCTTATTAAAATCTATTCTCATCATCATCATTGGCGGTGTCGACAGATGGGCAGTAGCACACCAGATAGTATCACCTCCGTGCGCTGCCATGAAGTTTATTTCAAGTCAGGGAAATATAGGCGTATAAGCGGTTTTACCATATCTAATTAAAATGTTGAAGGAGCACTATTAGTCTTAGATAGCACCGTGCTACCACAATGATCGCGTTGTTGTAAACTAGATACTGTGATTGAGCGCTTGTTATCGTATGCACCCGACAACTGTAGGCCTGTGATTTGGGTATCAGGCAAGCAGCATGGACAGGTGATAGAATCTGTCCTGAACACATAATCAATTTGTGAAGCATTGAGAGCGCTAGAAACAATGATATCTTGCCATATCAGTCAAATTATAAAGAAAGAAGTAGGTGGCAGATATGAGATATTCCTCACGAGTATTTACGCGCCGTAGTGATTCAGTGTAGAAGCAAAATGCTAAGGTAAAAGAAACGAGCTGAACCCTCAATATAGTCCTATATGAGGGTTATCAAGTAAGCGATTAGTCGAAGGCTGGTGGTAGCTCGGCCCATTCAGATCACAACAGAATTGTGATGTGCTACTTATCGAGGCACGATACTCGAAGGTTCAATAGTATCTGACTATTTCATAACAGACTCTCAATAACGCCGTAATTGCAACTCTCATAGATGTGAAAAAGCAGCTCCCGTTGAGCATAACGATTACTGGCTGATGAGAGTCGGAGGTATATGGTAGAGATAGCCACTTATTAAATCGCAGGTTGCCGGCCGAGCGTTCCAATAATAGCATGAAAGCACTAGATTAGTTACCTGTATATGCAATTGTTAGCAAATACATCTTGCTGCGAATAAGTTTTAGAAAAGAGCGAGTAGAAGAAGCTTGAGAGTTGTCAACTGGCACGAGAATCTCTCACTGAAGGTGACTCAGCTCAGCTCGTGTTATTTGCATGCTATCGTAGACCTCAACATATAAAACTTGGTTTGTCAGACTTCTGGCCATGGCAAGTGAATAGCGTTATAATGTTTTCTCTTTGCAATTGACTTTTTCCCTTGGAGAGTAACAATTCCTACTGCCCACTCACAGGGCCTAATTTCCTATAATCACTTTCTGATGCGATGTTTGTCAAGGAGACGAGCCATTCAATCCACTGCGATTTTACCGCCAAAGAAGAATTTTCTTGCAAAATCACTGCTATCAACAAGAATGATTTACCTGTATCAAATCGTCTCTTGACCAGAGGAGTGGATCATGAGTGAATCACAACGAACAAACGACTAAGATTGTGGCTCTCAGTCACACTGCGAGTGAACAACGATGCACAAAGCCGCAAAATTGTGTATAATACAGTCAAATAACTTTCAAAGTTCGAAATTATAAAGGAAGTGCTCCCGCTCTCCCACTTTTCTGCTCAATAAGAAAGGCTTCATTACAACCAAGACATCATCTGCCAGCTCACCAGCTAACCAGCTCCCTCGCCAGCTCAACCGCAGCATACACGAATAAGACCCGCTCTCTAATCAACAATGTGCACCTATATTGGTTGCTTCTGCCCCATTTGCGATAAGCGTTTGCAAACGCTGAGGGTGCCCTGTGAAATGGCTAAACAGGGCCAAACTTGTGGTGAATTTACGGAGGCCAGAGACTACGTAGAAGACGATCCGTGCGAAAAGTGCTTCAAGAGACGTCAGCCTACCATTGCGAACAAGGCAAAAGACATCGCACGAAGATTCACAGGTGGCGGTTCCGGTTCCGGTTCCGCTGCTGCCTCATCATCCAAGAAGGTAAGCGATGGCTAGTACTCATATCCGCCAAACCTGATCTATTCGGTGAAAGAACTATAATTGCATCGTCCACTATCGCAACTATGAGCCGTCAAGACCCACAAGGCTTACACTCTAATAAGTGATTAAACATTTACTAAACTGATGTAGTAAACGGGCACGCATTGCGGAACTCGACGCCCAGGGCGTGCTACCCGCTGATGTTCTTTCATGGTAAAGATGCCCAGTTGCTCGGCGGCCAGCATTAAGGCTTCAAAGGGATAAAGCTGCCCCAAGCAAAATGCGCTCTTGAAGACTTCCCCAAATTTGGCTATACAGGGAACGGACTTGATACCAGTTGTTCCTCCATCATGAGCTTCAGCCAAAAACCCAGCAAGTAAAAGCGAACGATTGCGACAAACAAGACTGTATCACGTTTCTAAGGAAAACGAGAGAGAAGCAAAGAAAAGAGGGGAAAAGAGAAAAAAAGAAGAGTAGAGGGCGTGAAATGATTTGATCAGTGCTTTCTTTGTGCTGGAAAGTGGTTCTTCAATAACTCAGATAATAAGAAAAGACTCTAAGGGCCATCGCAAGCCCACTTTAAAAAAGAATGTCCTCGGTGAGGCTCGAACTCACGACCTTCAGATGGCCCAAACTGGTGATTTGGATCATATTTATGGAGAATATGAGACTGACGCGCTAGCCAACTGCGCCACGAAGACTTGCTTGTATGATCGCTGCGGAGTCAAACCCTATGAAGACTTCACGCCCAACTGAATTCTCCGTCTCTAGTACGTCAATCTTTTCCAATTCTTCTTTTTACATGTTTTCAAGTGCATCCTGCTGTGAAGAAGGAACCTGACTGAGTACTGATTTAACAAAGACATCATGAAAAGCCGCAGGGTTCTTAACAAGCAAAATTGTTATTACACGACGGCTGTTCCTAGAATCTGAGAGCATGGGTGCCTTTCTGTACATGAAGCTTTTCTTAGCCGCGCTTCACCATCCATTACTCAAATACATATAGCTTATGTATTACGCATGAAATCACCGATCAGAAGCATGGTGTAGAGTTGCAACTCTATAACTTACTACACTATATGATTTCCAGCCCTTGAAAAGATTTAGCCCGCTTGAGAGAACACAGACCTGGAGCTGCCGGTTAGACTGGCAGTCGCTGCTTCAAGGCATGAGCAGTATCGTCTTACAAGGGAAGGCATTTGCAGCGTACCGCATTTGCAGCGTACCGTGCCCGCTTCAAACGCCCAGCTTATAAGGTACTTGAATTTGGCGAAATTGGCATTATATGCCCGAGTTTGTGTGCCTCAACTGTAAACTGCATCAAGATTGTGAGCAAGGCCATTCTACAAAAAAAAAAGACGAGCTGCTCAGGAACTTAGGCCCAAACAGTTGAAACCCACTTAGATCTTTGCATCATTCAGTTCATCATTACGTTCATATGTCTATTTGTTCTGTCTCAAAACTTGACAGTACTCATCGTTGCACATCCTATTGGATTCCCGCTTGGCCGGTTGAGAGCAACACAAACGGGAGCTGAGCCGTGTATGTGCCTATGCTTTGCAAATCTGTATTACAATTACACCCACAGCGACATCTCCGAGGGGCTAAGATAGAAGTCTACCGATGCTGTTTCAAGCTTCATGCTAGTCCCACGTCTTACAGGCAATACTTGATTCCAGCCTTGCCAAAAAAGGCGCGTTCAAGTACTTTATCATAGCAAATCACCCGGCAACTATTGCAAGGTGAACCCGTAACCCAAGTCTAGCGGACATTTCGTACAACCCCACGCGCCGTTTGTTGTCTGATCGAACAAGAGAGAAGGTTCTAGAGTTCGGCTCCGTTGTTCCACTAAACATCTACTGGTCGTCCAATGCTACACCGAGTCACTGTTGGAGCGGAGGCTGTTTATAAACAGGGAGGACGTTTTCACTGTAGCTAGACTAGATAACATTTGCTTGGGAGACACGATAATAGGTGCATCTAATGGCTGTGATAGATATCCTACCTGGGCAGTTTAGGATACAAGTTTCAAACCGAGCGCCAACTCACACACTGGGCGAGGCTTGTCAATCATGCTACGGCAAGGCGCCTTTCGGAATAAAGGATCTAGCTACCGCTCTTTCCGGTACTGTATAGCTTTCAACTCATAAGTTGGAGATTGTCTAGCCTGCTATCGATGTATACTTATTCATATCACTACTGTGAGTAGCTCTCGAAGCATCATAAGGACGAAAACAGCTAGATATCCGAGCTAGGCGTGAATGTAATTCGGTGGCCTTGCAAAGTAATATAAACATGGGCATAAGATGGATATTTAATTCTTTTCGAAAGAAGTATAGCACTTGGCATCAATATGTATAAAATACTCTTGTACAGCCAGGCTTGTAATTGACTCTCCCAATGTGTAACAGTTCTACATAACGTGCTAGGTGCTCATTCATATGCAAATACGTCCATCTGACGGCTCAGCCTCCAGGGTGACTTCCCCTGGCAGTCCGAGTAAGCAAGCATATAACGTTACAAAGAGAATTAAGTTCTCAATTACCCGCAATACCAACAGTCTTACATGTAGTCTGTCGCCATCTGGCCAGGGGCACAGACAGCTAATGGATGTCCTTGTCATGTCGTAAAGCAAAGCGTATCACCCTCATACCAAAGCCCAAGATGAGCTACTTATCTTTATCCGTCACGATACTCTCCTCCCTCGACCTCTTTAACTCCGCTTACATATACGGGTTCAATCACTGGAAGAGTCACTACAAAATTCACTCAAAAGGATCCACGACGCAATTCGTTCCCACTTTCATAACATCTGAACACCAAAAGCATCCGTCGGCATACTAAAAGTGGCGCCATTCTACATCTCAATATTCCGCACTGCGTTCCATCCAACGATCAAAAGACGGGCCCCTACTCTAACGTATCATCCCATATATCCCAGGTAGCTACCACCCCCTGTCCCTGGAACCACCCCACAGCTCAGCAATTCCTGGAAATCTCCCTCTTGGTGATTGGTGGCTCACACTTTTTCCCCTTCCATGACAATATATTTTGCCCTGCTTTTATCCTAAAATCCTTCTCACTTACTCCATCTAGATATGCCGGCCCGGAACCTCAAGATCTCCGCGAGCTCCCACTCATTCTCTTTTTTTCTCGGATCCTGTTGCTTAAAAACTCTCCGGGCCCGCCGGTGACCTTTGCCCGGGCGGACTGTATCCGCCTCTGTCCAGCTATAGGCGTACACCGCAATCAGCATCTCGAAGCCAACATGCATGATTAGCGTTCCAACTTCAGTGGACTCGCCACAAGTATTTGGTTGTTTCCACATTTTCTGTACAAGCATAAGTGAAGCGAATCTGTATTCCGTGTCCTCGGTAGCAAGTCAGTAAGCGTCTTGTCAATTATTGCATCGTCTCCCACATTCCGGGATTCTATACTGAACACAGGTGGTAGCGTTGCATTTTTCGGAGCTTCTACATCCACCCCGTTATGAATCGCTGAAAGCTAGCATTCAGCAGCGAGCATTAAGGAGATTTTTATTCCCCACGTTGCATCACTTCCCTCAAGGGTGTAAATGCGAAATATCAGTACCAGTAAAGCGCGAACATAGAGCAAAAAATCCGCGGTACCAACAGTCTACTGCCGCTGCTTTTATGGAGCTCATGCATGGGCTGTTGGCTCAAAGTAATTACTGCCGAGGGAAAATGCTTCGACATGACGCACAAAGTACTATACTACACATATGCAGAAAAGGGGAATGCTACCGAAGCAGCAAAGAAGACTCCCATGCTCTAATGTTACGAGCCGCGTGGATTTATAAGCTGTACCATACCGCAAGTTAAGCACTGTTCCCCTTCAAGAAGCACAAAATGGAAAAATAAAGTACAAGGGCTACAACTAACAGTTAAATTTGAAACGGCACGTCGATCAAACCGAGTAATGCGAGTGTGTCGGGCGGTCAGCGGAACAAGGGAGCCAGGGAATAACACGAGTCGGTTGGCTGCCTGTGCCATATACGAGAAGCCCCATGTAGCAACACAGTATTGCCCAGAAATATCAAGCACTCGAGGCTTGTTGAAAATTGATGAGCCTAGTATGTAGCATCATGCTTTATAATTTCATCACTTATACTATCAAGCTAGGGTCGAACCAACTTGCATATATGCGTGGAGACATGTGCTGGCATGTCGGCCAACTTTTCTCATGTCCGACCCTATTCACATTCATGCCATTCATTGAGAAAGAAAAGATGAGCGCAAAGAATGAAAAAGAATTTACAGAAAACTCTAATTCTACAATTTTGTAAAAATGAGCCTTTCATATTCCTTACTTATGCAGTCAATTCCTCCCGATAGCGGAATTGCAGCATTGGCCCATTCTGTGAACTGACAAAGCGATCATACAGCTGAAATTCGCTCCTGCACTCTCGCCCTTCTTTAGCATCGCCCACACCTTCTCCCAAGTTGCTGCTGGGGTCCAGACGAATGTCAAAGAGCCAGATGAGACGAGCCAAAACAATGGACATTTCTTGGTAGGCCAGGTGTTTCCCAATGCAGCCGCTGCGACCAGCACCAAACGGAGTAAACCCATGAGACAGACCCACTGCGGGCAGCATCTTGACGGACTCCTTGCCTGACACAGGCACAGAACCGTCCTTGAGCCCTCTTTCGCGCTCTTCCGGGAACCAGCGTTCGGGTGCGTAGGTCAAAGGCTGGGCGAAATTCTCTTCGCTGTGATGCATGCAGTAGTGCGGAACCCCCAAATTGACACCAGCAGGGAAGTATTCGCCGTCCACCTCCATGCCCCCTGGACCAACTACACGTGGTAGGATGCTCGGGACAGGGGGCGAGAGTCGCATGGCCTCGTCAATGCAAGCGGGCAAGTATCTAACGCTCTGCAACTCCGCAGAAGCAAATTGAATGGGGCACTCGACTTCTGATGCCTTCTTACCAACGTCTTCTGGAGACAATGGAAATGCCTCTCGAATCTCGCGTGTTAGGCGTTCGAGCGTGCGTGGGTTATGTGTGAGATAGAACAGGGTTGACGTTGTTGCAGTTATCATGCCGTCTGTACCACCAATTATGAAAAGGCTTGCTTCTGATATGAGTTCTTCCGTAGAAAAGCCTTCTCCGGTCTTGGGATCGCGCGATGCGAGAAGCGCTGCCCAAATGTCTCTATGAGGCATAGAAGTCTGCTCCAGGCGCCACAAAGCAAATGACCGGCTTACAGACATTAAGTTTCCCACACCAACGATGAGCTGGTTGAACAAGAGCTTATGCAAGTTACAGAAGAATAATGACTGCATGTGGCCAACCTTGAATGACAACGGACGTTAGTCGGCGAATGATTCTAGGAGGTGGGGCTGAGAGCCGTAGATTGAAGAAGAATTGCAGCTTCAACTTACCAAATGGATGCCGGCAACCCCATTAGGCAAATCTTTTACAAAATGCCGATACTTCGGATCTCTCTGGACGTTCCATGTTCGACCAAAAGTCATAGAGCCCATTATGTCGGCAATACAGAAAGATACGTACCAACACATATCTTTGCCTGAGCTCCAGCCATGTTCACCTTCTACTTTGCTCCCTACACCTTCGCTGATGATGTCAATGAATTCATCGACGTGAGGCGTGACTTGATCCTCAAACTCTTTCACTGCGGCAGGTGTGATGGCTGTCATATTGACTCGACGCCGGAAAGCATGTGCCTTGTGGTCTACCGTGGTGAGAGACATTTCTGCCCCAAAGAAGCGCTTGAAAGAGCTATATGCGTCGGCCTTGAATGTGTTGGAATTGACATTATGCAGGTCGCGAGATGCCTTTGCAGAATTGATAGACAAACGGTTGGGCCCAAATCTAACGAATTTCCCTGGGGTAGCATTGATTGGTTAGCTTTACATTCTATCTTCAACTGTCCACAAGCAGCGATGCCACCAACGCCCAGGACATTGGAACGAGGGTAACATGGCGGAGCCCCCTAGACAACCCGAGCCACTTTCGTCTGCTACGCTGCGAGGCATAACAGAGCACATATGTGCATGAACCGAACTCACCAAACTTCTTGTGCTGTTTATCAAACTCAAGATGACGGCCACCTTCAGCAATCCAGTAAACAGTGTACCAGTCTGTAAGTGCAGCGAACAGCGGTCCTGGGTACTTAGAAAGGGGGTGGAAGACAAGCCTGTAAACCAGGTTTGAGAGAACCTATGGAGTACTACGTTAGCGTACTAGCCTCCTTTACACCGCAATATGATGATACAGCGTATCAGGTACCAAATGCCCCGTATGATAGCTCATAATGATAAATGATTGTGCAGTAGAGAGATGTAGTGCGTGCAGGAAATAGAGCAGTGCAGTATGTGTATATGACGGATTGCTGCTGCTGCATGTACAGTATATAACAAAAGAAATGCTGCCTGTATGCGCGAGGCGGATACAATATGTCCAGGCGTTCCCCACTAGAATGCGTGGAATATTAATCTACACCCTTGTTACTTACCCATTCGAAGAGTATGATGGCGCCTGTTTGTGAATACCAGAGAAGACTGTGAGGCTGCTGTAAGTGAAAGTATGACAATATGGCCAGCCCCAGACAGCCGCTTGCAAAGATGCAAGCGGGCACAACGTGGAAGGCCATGTCCAATCCTTGCCTTGGTTCAGTGAGTTACAGTGGGCGCTATGGCAGTTGGTAATGCCAAGGGTAATCGTGGATTTAGATCAAAAGGAAGGGACTAGGTGTCAAGGCAGCGTCAGCTTGAATGGCCAGGGCTCAAATATAATACAAGACAAGAGACTAAGAGCTAAAAGAAAGAGGACTGGCGGAGTCAGAGAATAATCAGAAGAGAGAAGCTGGCGAACCCAATATTTGTATAAAAATTGGCGGGAAGAGCTATCACATACCTTTTTAAGGTGAGCCCAAGATTTGCGTACAAAAGTTGAGAGAAGGAATCACGGATAACACGTTAAGCGCTGCTCTGCATCTGACACCAAGCATCTAGCAGGGGTAGGGGGGTGTATTGTGGTTAAGGTAGCATTCATAAGTTAGTAAGGTCCACAACACCATGGATGCTGGCTGCAGCAACGCTTGTGCATGTACAGTGTAAGGGGCCTGTTGGATGATGATTCTGGTATCTGGGAAGAAGGTCGGGTAAAAGCTCTTTTCATTCCAGAAGCAAGTCGAATTTTACCGAGAGTTGCCATGTTCCGCTATTCTGGGACAGGGCGGCATTCGTGATTCACGGCTTGGGGAGAGCCAGAGTGGTGGGATCGCCGCCAATTCGCAACTCACCCCACTCAAAAAAGTACAATCGGACGTCGGGGGGGTTTGGACGGCGAACTGGGAGAGATGCCACGGATCCTAGCCTTTCTGGAACCTGAGCCATGTCGAAAAGTGGTTCAATATCCAATTTCGTGCCCTTAGACAGTGCCAGAGAGTAGGTATAGGAGCCGTTGCAGAACCACCGTTTACTGGTTCGCCGAATACATAAAGCCAGGCCAAGCCCTCTTCTTCTCTTTGATGAAGGTGAAACAGCTATATCCTGATGAAGTGAGCCTATCACTGCGCCCATTATCCTCCTTGAGCTTTTCTCAATTCCGCATAAGCCATTCATAGTTACATTCTATGATGCATTCCATAGACGGCTACACGCTGTTGGAAAAGGGGGTCGTGGCCCCTAGCTCAACTATCATTCCCGATCAACCTGTAAGTAAAGATTAGGACGTGATGTTCAAACACTCTCTGCGTATGCTTCATTGAGAGTTTTCATGATGGCAGGCTGGCTGCTAACAGTCTCCAATTCCGATACAGAGACGATCTCCGTTCTATCATCTGAAAACTCTATTCCTCTTCACCAAAAGCGATTTCAAAACAGTCATCTTTCCCCAGAGCATATTCGCCATTACAGCGGCGTTATCGACAGCGAGGTTAACCACAGCAGATCTGAGTGAAGACACATCTACACGGGCCTGGCAAGTGGCCTCCCGTCTACCACTGATGCTTGCTTGGATCTGGCTAAATCTCCTGGTGGAAGATTTGGCTAACCAACGCCTTGAGGGGTCCATTATCGAAGACACTGTCAACAAGCCGTGGAGACCGCTGCCCTCTCATCGTCTGACGGCAGACCAAGCACGGGACTGGCTCACGGTTGCTATTGTGGTTGCCGTAGGCTCGAGTCTCGTCTTGGGTGGCTACACAGCCAGTGTCACCCTAATGCTCTTTATATGGATGTACAACGACCTGGACGGCAGCAACAGCGGCATATGGATACGAAATGCCCTCAATGCGAGCGGCCTTATGTGCTTCAGCTGGGGTGCGTTAGCCACGTTGTCAGGAGGCGAACTATCATCACGGGCCTTCACCTGGATCTTGGTAACTGGAGCCATAATAATAACAACGGTTCATGCGCAGGATCTGCCAGATATTGAAGGCGACAAGGCACGCGGACGCCTTACTGTGCCCTTACTGTATGGCGAGACAGCAGCCCGGGTGTCTCTATCCGCCATGGTCATGTTCTGGTCAGTGGCGTGTCCGCTCTTCTGGGATGTGTCGGCGTGGGGATGGGCGGTCTCGACAAGCCTCGGATGCGCCATGTCAGTGCTTGCGCTGCAGAAACGAGGCCAGTGGTGGGACGAAGTGGTGTGGAAGTTGTGGTGCCTTTGGATTGCGGCGCTGTATCTGCTACCAGCGCTTGGCAAATGAGCTGCTAAATATCGAGCCGCTAATGATTAATGACAAAACAAATTCATGCTTGCCACAGTCCGCAGCGCTATAGCCTTTCTATATTATGCAAGTGTGCCGCATGTCAGTGGGCGGGTGTGTAGAGTAAGCCATGTACGAAATACGTGGGCAACAAACCTAGCCATCGCATTGCCCCGCGACCATGCAGGCACAGGCCGCTTGCTCTGAAGACAGTGGCTCTCTTGCATGTGCTTTCAAAGTAGGATACCTCATATGCCAAGGCTTGTACCGAGCCAGCCAATTGGTTTCCAAAAGGCCCTGAACCTGGGTTCGTCCTGCACAGCAATGCACCCGCGGACTCGCCTGCCGCCAACGCGCAGAAACCTGCAAAGCCCTGGTTAGGTGGATATGCACGAACACGTATTTTGCACTCACACGAACTCGTACGAGTTACTACCTACTTGCGTAACTCTGGGCAGGCCCGACATGGAGCTGCTAGCCAACGTATTCTTGGAACGGTACAGTGCTGTACAAAGAACGGAATCTGAGAACGACGCCGACCAAGGAAGAGGGAGGGGTGCCAGGAGAAGACCGAAGGCATCATGGAAACGATCGATCGAAAGGTATTCTAAGCTCCTATGTGTTGCTAAACACTTGGTTATCAATTAGACCAATGCCGCAAGTGTAGGATTCTTCTATCTTTCGTACCATGTCAGAAGCAGACGTCACTTTCCTACTCAGCTGCCATTAGAGCTGAGGTCATCTCAGCATGCCTACCCCAAAGGCGCGGCGGCATCTGCTGCCGGTACTTTCTCGATGGATTCTGCAGTAACGCGAGGCGAGTCGTTATTTTGGGCCGTGCCTAGTCCGGTGGCTCTCCGTCGGACTGGTGGCGGTGTCGTGCCCGTACTATCCCTCGAAGAGCGACCAAATACGGCCCGTACAGCTGCGGCTCGGTGTCTGTGGGACTCCAATATGACAGGTCGTTGTATTTAGGCAATATGGAAGTGAAGAGGCAAATAAGGTGGGTTGAGGAAGTTGGATAGTTAGTCCTTTGCGCGAGAAAGGCAATACAGGTGCACGTACTGGAAGGTCTCGCCTACCCTGCTGCGAGATTAGGTGCTATAGCGCTTCCGCTGATTATCGGATAGCGGTAGCAGCCCAGTTTGGGCTATTTCAGCGGCCCGGGTCAACGAAGATGCGCATGTGCTGCCACCTTCCATTCTTCAATCGTGATGTCAATCGTGATGCCGGCTCCCAGCTACATGATATCCAAGAATATATCCATGAATACTAAATGGTACATGTATGCATTCAACGGCCCCCGGACTTCTCTCCATCGCCAATTACATGCAGTCTGATGATACTTTACCCATCCTCATCCGCCCCCACGGCACCATGAGGCCACAGCACTCCGCATATCGTCTCCGCTCTTACTGGGACGCTGCTGTGCAGGTCCACCGATATGGCTATGAAGGTGCTCTATGAACTTGATTGATGCGACGCTGTGGTAGCAGCGCAGCAATGCTACGCTGTGACTGATTAATTGTTCGTTCCAGAGACCAAGTCAAGCGTACTAGGCATCAATACCGAGAAGAGCCCTGGGATAGCCTTCGATTTCCATCCAGTGCCCGTTCGTGAGTGCATTTCAAAGGCTGGAGGCTGGAGGGCTCAAGTCTAGGTGGTTTGAGAGACAAGGCAACCTCAATGCAGTGCCGCCTTATTCCGCACTTGCTCGTATTCTTGCTTTAGTTTATAGGTAGGTACACTTCACTGTGGCTCTCTTTTGTTCAGCGAGCGGCGTCTCTCACTCAGTTTAGGACTGTAGAGATAAGTTTACCGTCGGTCGCTTCCCTTCCCGAGGCTCGTCGACGAGAGGCGTATGCTATATGCAGCTAGCTATTAGCCTTGTCGGTTTGATCTGCGGCCACTATGCTCTGCGGAGAAGGGAGCCAACGAAGCGTGTTCTTGGGGCGGAATGGCTGTTTGGCCTATCCCTAGCGTCGGTATCGGCAGGGACACCTCGTTGCGAAGCACATCCCCCCTGAACGGCCCGTTTTGATGGCTCCGTCGCTTGGCTGGCGTGGGCTATTGTGTACAAGTACGGAGATGTCCGTGTCCTGACTTGAGCCAAGCAAGACTAAACAATGCACGCAGGACTAGGGAAATCCACGACGTGGGATTTCAGTTTAGAAGGGCCTCAGCACTAATTATTAAGTCCTAAGAATTGGAGCCTATTCGGAGGCTTTTGAGGTCTAATGGATGAGAGATGAAGCTACACGCGCTCCGAGTCGGATGGACTTGTATAAACGACATCAACAGTGTTTCCTCCACGAAGCCTACTGTCCTTCCAAATGCAGTAACGTAACTCTTAAGGAAGAGAGGTAGGGGAGTGGGCAAGCACCGGCCAGCCGGATGCCAGTCGGGACCCCTGTACCTCATGAGTTTGGGGCCTGTTCCCGCTCCGTATATTCAAACTGTATGCCGTCAGTTCATTGTCAGCTAACCGCTAGCAGGACTGCGGTACTGTATGTGTTGCCGCTATTGTTCTCTGATTTGCTGACCAAGGTGCACAACTCACTGCATCAAATTAGGTCTCAGCACACACTATCGCATAGCATGTATACAATCTTGCCATGGTATCTCGATATCGATATCATGTTGATGAACGTCCTTACACAAGTACATGAGCTCTTCTTTATTCCGCAGCACAAACTGGCAACTTTGCACTCTTGAGCTTCTTCCGCAGCGATCCCGTGGCGACTCCACGGTAAAATCCGCAGCACACCCCATTACTATCGCACTGATTGAAGGAAAGCATGCTGCAAACTTTGCACACCGTAACGTGCATCTGCATCTCACTTGCCTGGGATATACAGCATGCAGGCAAGCGGATACTCTCTCTTTCAGTGGGAATCCGTGTCGGCGGCGGCGGAAGAGGGTAGTAGCCCAGACTTGACCAAAATATGGGTAATAGATGTGCACACCCACACAAGAATGGCGAGAAAGAGGGAAAGGGAAAAGAAAAAAATAGAACGGTTACCGTTACGTGCCTTGAGATGAGTAGTATTTTGTAGGTTCGTGTAATGCCATGGATGGTATGGCTCTCTAAACTGCTACTAGATAATTCTGATATTTCACTAGCTGGCCAATGGCATTATACGTAGCACTTATATGTGTGTGCGTTTAGACATCCGCCCCGTCAGCCGGCTTGGTATCAGAAGCCGTCCAGCATAACACGCGGAATTGCTCGTCAACATCGACATGTGAAACGCGCATTCTCCAGATATGCTAATTTTCCGACCAGTTACGCGTCAAACAGAAGTACCTAATACAAATTAAGCCGATACACCACGTTAAAGATACCAACAGACCCATCGTACGTTGTTTGTCAATACAGCTTAGCAATGGTCTCGACTGGCTGCGCTCTAAATAGGCAAGCCGGAGTAGCATCCTGCATCCCCTAGTCTCATTTACCCTGGATATCTGACACCCTCATATGTAAACGCGAGGGATAAAACAGACGTGCATGGCCAAAAGGTCGGCTATGACAGTCTATTCGGATACCGAAAATACCGTTCTCAGAGGATTCTCCTCTTTGAGGTGGCAGCTAATATTACACACTCACCCAACAGAGGGTTACAGCAACGCTGCTTAGCAGCTCTCCATTCGAGCCATAATCAATATTTATGCACCGCAACCCCCTCCTTTTCCTACGTCATCTTAAAAAATGTTACAAAAATGACAGCTATCTGAAACAGTGTCGAGAGATATCAAGCTGTAGACACCGGCTTGGAATCTGCCTCTTTTGTCATCAGCTGTGCCTCTTTACGGATCCCGCTATAACACCTCGGCCACACCCTCTCCACATCTGCGAAATTTCAAGCGATGCAGCATCAGTGACTACTGCACACACGGAGGCATATGAAATAGCACACCGAAGCCGCTGCTAAGGAAAATAAAGACAAAAAACCCCCCCTCGCTTATCGTCCCATGCCTTGGATATCCAAATCCTATTGGTCTTTTCTCCTTTTTTTTTTTTCACCTCCGAAGCTTCTTAAGTTTTAACGTCTAGTCTGCTTATACGCTTACACGCGTATACCGAGCCGTACCGGTCTACATCGCCCGCGTTCGTTCTGAAGCTACAGAAGACCCAAGAGGCTAAACTGGAGCAAAGAAGTCCCACAAGCATTAAAGATGGCTCCCTTGACGTGGTTTGTTACTGGCTGCTCTAGTGGCTTCGGCGAACTCTTAGTACGCCAGCTCCGTGCTGCCGGCGATAATGTCATTGCCACTGGCCGTAGTGCCGAAACGAGACTCGCCCATCTCAAAGACACAGGAGCAGCTATCATCGACCTTGATGTCACAGCGTCGACCGCTGAAATCCAGGCCAAAGTCGACGAGGCCTGGGATATCTATCCCGGAGGCATCGACGTCGTGGTCAACAATGCAGGCTACATCGTCAGTGGACCGGTTGAAGAGTTGACGTACGTAAATACAGTCTTGGGCTTGAGATCCAGTCTCTCGTGTTCAACTTATATGTACTTTGTTGTGTCTCGTACTTCTGCATCTCCAAGTACATATACATGTTTTGGTTCTGAAAACAGTTTCTTTTTGAATTCCTCTTCGCTAACTGCTTGCATGATGCACGACTAGACAAGAAGATATGGATCTCTCTTTCAAAGTCAACTTCCATGGACCACTCAACATCACCCGTGCGTTCTTACCTCGCCTACGGGAGAAAAACAAGGGCACGCTTCTCTTTGTCAGTTCTCAAGCAGCGTGGCATGCCGATCCAAGTGCTGGTAGCTATTGCGCCGCCAAATTTGCTCTATCAGGTACGTGCGTATCATATTTTTTTCGAGTTCTCGCCAAAGGATTTCGCTTTATACCCTATGGGATGGGATGGGATGGTTCGTCTGATCTCTTTACACACCCATTTGCCCAATTCGCATAACAAAGCACGACAGGCTCAAGGATTAGGCAATGACACCTACCCATTTCCTCTCAACCTGGCGCAAATCATTACCTATCTTTCACAGTGATTATACGGATTGGGCTACTTGCTGACATCCACGGGGGGGCTTGCGCGCCCATCACAACCCGTATGCAGGTGCCGTTGAATGCCTCGCCAAAGAACTGGCCATGTTTGCTCCCGGTGTCAAGGTGCTCATCGTTGAGCCTGGTTATTTCCGGACCAAGGTCTTCTCCAACATCAAGCATGTCGAGCCCCGCCTGCCGGTTTATGCCCAGTTTAATGCCGGTGTGCGGCAGTACGAGGCATCCATTATCGGCAATGAGCCTGGCGACGCCGATAAGGCTGTTACGCGAATGATTGAGCTGGTCAAGGGTACGGGCATGGCTGCGGGGAAACAGATACCGCTGCGTGTTCCTTTGGGGTCGGATGGCTGGGAGAGGATCAAGGCGAAGTGTGAGGAGACGCTGGCGATCTGCGAAGAGTGGGAGGATGTTGCGAAGAGCACAGACCATGTGGCAGTAGATGCCGCTTAGAAATTGAATCAACGACCAATTACAATCGCTGCTTTTCACAACCACGATGAGAGAGAGAGGTAACGTTGATGTTGGCGTGAAACCAATCAGCGACTTACAAGATGCATACACTAAGTATACTCATATTGCAGTTTGATTAGCTTCACAGACAGCTCATTAATTGCATTGATCTCATTACCTTTATGTGATTATCTTTCCCCATGAATACTTCGTTGATCTAATTCGACAACGTCTTCACCCGGTCAATGCCCAATCCAGCCAACAACTCAGACTCAACCTTTTCCAAAAACTCCCTCACAAACTTATCCTCATAAAAGCTCACATTAAAGCACCCCGCAATATTCAGCTCATCCCTAAAGCCCCAGACATGGCACTGCACCGACCGCGACAACATCTGCGTCCCAAGCCAAATGTCTGCCACCTCGAAGCCCTCTTTCTCATCGCCGTACGAGCGCTGGACATACGCCTCGACTTTGCCAATGCTGCTCACGTCCGGATTCTGAATCTGTGGCAGCTCGGGCGGGTGCGGTGCTGAGAATAGCTTCGTCGTGCGCCGCACGTAGGGCGCCACCACTTTGATCATGCTGACGGGATTTCCTTCGTCGTCGGTCGTGAAGCGCGAAAGATCAGTCGCGTACACAGATGCCAGCTGCTGGACAATCTCTTCAAAGCTTTTGGGCCCGCTGCCTCTGACATCTTTCTCGCCGAGCACGTCGTGAATACAGATGGGGAGGCCGGAAGAGAACGCGCCCACGGCATAATCCGGCCCATCGTATGGCTTGGGCAAGTGCCTGCGCATATCGACTGGGAAGAAGGCGGCGAAGTGTTTGGCGAGCGGATGTTGTGGATAAGTGGCCGTGACGCGAATGACGGCTGCATGGACGGCACTGTTGACGCTGATCTTGCGAGCTCGACATGCCGCGACGATGGCAGCAGTTGTAAGCGCATCGATTCGCAGAGCCTCGCGCGCCGTATCTCCTGGAGGAACTGTTTCTGAACCTGGAAGCGTGGGCAGTCCGATACTAGGGACACCCTGAACAAATTCGCCAACGAGCTCATCTGCTGTCGCCTTTACGTTCTGCGGTGTAGTATCCTCATCAATATACGCATCGGCAACATCGTCCAAGCTTCTAGTAAGTAGCCCGCTACCAATTAGCCCATCATAGGAATCCGGATCACGGTCTAGGCCATGTCTCAAAACAGAAGCCAAGGAAGACAAGAAACTGTGCGTGAGCATGAGAAGGCCCATGCCATCAATACGCCAATGAGGCGAGCGGATGAGAATCTCCTGGCTTGCAGGCAGCCAGTGACATGTGGGAATACCATTACTGAGCATGCCGCCAAACACGGCACTTGCAGAGGCACCTGATGTTGTCAGAAATGTCTTGGACACCCAGGCATCTGCATCGAAAGGCTGTATCGTAAGTAAAGGCCTTTCCGATGATGACTTTGACCCATCATTGGACCGTTTGACAACTGAAGCAGTAAAAGTCGGGTGAAGCCGACCAGTAAGCAGCCAAGCCCGCCGCAAATATGGAATGGGATCTGTTAAAGAAGGTTTAAAGTTGATCTTGAGTGCCGCTAAAGCCGCCCAATGCTCACGGTTTACCGGAGCGCCACTTTCGTTAAGAATTATAAAGAAATTTTCCAATGTGTCAACAGGCCGTGATGAAATGCCAGCAGAGGATTGGCGCCAGTTTAGAGTTGACGAAGACTCAAGTGGCTGCTGAGAAGGTTTCGAAGGAAGCTTTTCACTTCGTGGACGGACGCAGCATGAAAGCACTTGTCCCATGGTGATGTGACTACATATGAGGAGGTAGGAGGAGATAGGTATAGTAGTACGTTGAATTGAGGGGATCAAAAAAGAAAACATTGTCTGCCAAATGTGCACCTCATTTACTTAAGCTTAATTGGGATTCTGCATGCTATATATAGTCTCCGATCCCTGGAGCTACCTATTAGGGGCGGTGTTGTTCTGACAGCAAACGGCATTTGGAGAGAGGACCAACCGACAGCACCTAGAGACAGTGATCACTGCAGCACGATTAGGGGGGATTGCGGTGGCTACGTAGAATTACTTCATTTTCAACACTATTTCCTGGTTACTGAGTACATGTAAATGACATCTAGTTGCGATCCAAAGGATTGGACTAAAGGAATGGGGTATTAGAGGCTTGGGGTTTTGTCGAGCAAGCTTATCAACTGGTTACTAGGCACTTTAGTTTGCTTGTGTATAAGCCATTAGAATGTATAGATGTGCCTTTCTCGTGCCCGAGCCGCGTTCGCACGCATTGACCTCTGGAGGATTCAGATTTGACTGGATCGGTTCATGTACACATGTGCAAGGCGGGCTTAGCATATACGGAGAACAACAGCGTTGCATTGCCAAGGATCGACAACGGCGAACCGCGGTCCATGCAGAGTAGTATCGTATATCCGATACATGTTAGAACACGGATTCCTTACTATAGCTTCGCAAAGTAGTATTATCCAACATGTTGTAGTATTCATTTTCTCGTACGGCATGCTATTAGCCCTTGTTCGTGCGAGCGACCTTTTGTGTAGCATTGTAGAATAGCGCGATGGGATAGGTATCTGCAGGTTGAAAGGCTCATTTACGACATACTATTCAATAGGTACCTATGCTCCAGAAAACCCGCTCCTAGACGAACTGATCATTTATCGATGTAGCATAGAGATGTCCCAGGTGTTTTCCTCGTGATATACAATCTATATGTCTTTAGTAAACTTATTCACATACAATCGAACAACATTTCAGTTGTAGGCGTAAGTTAGTATCTAATACATTAATCGGGATAATATGAATAATATGGCTCTTCTTTTATTAGTAGCGCACGCCAGTTGTGTATAGTATCTACACAGTCCCCCTTTTTCGCGGACTTTTAATCCTTTTAATTCCCCGCAAGTTGTATCCATACATACAGGTACCTGCTTTAGGTGCGCAGGCCTTTATGATTGCGTCGCATCTGTTCGCATCGCAACCCTACTCTGGCAAAAATATGTACATGTAGCTTTTCGTTACAGCATGGACAGCCGGTGGGTGGTCAGCAGCCAAAGGGGCAACGTGAGCCCTGGGCAAGATAGCAACGGCCAGGGCTGCAGCCAGATCAGACGACTTGGTACGAAGCCGCGATGCAGCTCAGAGGAATCGAAATGAGCATCGGAAATTACTGGGACAGAAGTAAGGATGAGCAGCAGCAGCCAAGAAATGCAAGAGGCTGCATAGAGTAAAAGTCCTCGTCGTAGGATATCTCTCCCTGGCTTCTGCAGCAACAGCAATTTGTACGTGCAGATGTGTGGAATCAACAGCGAACAGACAAGCGCACCATCTCGTGTACGCATATGTTCAACCACCTATCCCTCAATTGTAGCATTAGACCAATTGGAAGCCAACATACATCTACAAGTACAGCAAGGACATTAGTTGATACGCGTTGATCTCCATGTCTTCAATCGTTCGAAAAGCGCTCGGCCCGAAGCCTTCCCGAGCCACTGACGGCGCCAACACAGCATCGCAACGAGCACTAGCCCGCCAAGACACAATTAAAACAGGCAGCTAATGACGGCCGCGGGGCGCTAAAAGCTCATCATCAGCCACCCCACGGCGGGATGGGCGGGAAGGGGAGGGGTACGTGTAGGGGTATGCGAGGAACGAGGTTAGGGCATTTAGGCTCAGGGACCCTGCGCTGCCTGGGCTTGTATAGGCGCCAACTTATCAAGCGCTGGCTGACGACAAGCTGTAGTCTACTTTGGGTCTGTTTAGCAGCAAGCAGTAAATAGCTTCGCTTATTGACAGTAGTGCTATTGGAAAGTCAATCCGCTATTTCTTCTCGTGACAAGGCATTGCATGCATGGAGCTGAGGGATTCAGTGGCGCCTTGGTGCTGCAGAAGCCAAGCGTCACGGCATCCAGACACGCACCGCCGATTGCCCACTAAATTACAGCACTAGCACTGGCATTAGCACTGGCACTAGCTCTGGCGCTACTTCTCGCATCAGCACCATCTCAAGACCTGCCTTGCTGGCTTAGCCTCTCCAAACGGGGGACAGAAAAGCAGGGAATGCGAGACTTGTAAACACACACATTCCAAGATTGTGCACATACAATATCGACAGTCAACCAGCGCAAAAGGTGCTCATGTTGCGGTGTTGTGTGTGCTTGGCCGTCTTGCAGTCCTTGCCTTTCTGTCCTCCGCCTCTTTTCTGCATCATCATCATCCTCGTCCCCGTCGCCATCTTGCCGAAGCAGACGTCGTCAGATATTAGACCCGGCATCCAGCGCTCTGGTCCACCGAGGTGCTTCATCGCTAACCAACTCGTGCGATCGTCCAAGCTAATAGATCAGTTGGTAGGTCTTTCTCGACACTCCCAGAGCACAGACGGAGAGCATCCCAGGATACCGTCTCAGCTGCCCATCACGGCAATTGCCTACTACCTACTCTATACGTAGCACGAACACTCAGATCTTTTCTGTCCCTGTCTGCTGCAGATTTCACATCACGCTCAGACGCTGCTTCATCAGCTCGATAAAGCAAAGACTCCGAGTGCAGTTCTCTCGCCCTCGTACGACTCCTTAGCGATTCCAATCTCACCTGTGCGACACTGGCCGGAGTATCCATACAAATACTACCCATCGCCATGCCATCTCTCCACACATGTGTTTGGCAAAAAGTGGCAAAGCACGGCAGGGCCACACCTTGACCAGGCCAGCCATTCGCCCAAGACGCAATAGCCCGCTCCCTCGTGGCGGTTCGATATATGGCATGCTTGGAGAGTAACCAGGATTCGGCCTCGTGGGCTCCATCCAGCTCACTCGGAGCAGCGTTGCACTGTCCAGGGAGCCCGGCACTCGCCCAGTGTCGCCCGCGATACGCTTCGGCCAGTATCCGCGGCAATAGCAGTTCGCCGCTGGTTTCAGTTCGCTTCGTGCACGTTTCTGCAAGATGGTGCTCCAGTTGTTCCTACAGAGCTATTGCCGCTGCTGGGTGGTAGCATCACCGACAGAAGTTCTGAGTAAGATATAGACCGGGATCAGCGTAAGGATCCGAGCACGGCCCCCACAGGCCATTCACACCCCTCGCTATGATGATTTCCTCGACTGAGACGCCTCTTGCGCGCATCCTAATCGGCATATCGGACCAATGGTTGCATCTAGTCCAACTTGTGAGGTCAATTCCAATGCTACGGTAATCAGATACTAGTCTATCTGGGTTGCCCATCTTCTCTGTCGACTAATCGATGTGGCTTTTCCAACTTTCGAATACTGCTGCCGGGCAGCGGGTGTCATTATTTCTGATAGGGCTGTAGAGGCACCGCGCCGCTTGCTCCTCTCAGCTTGCTCTTTTCTTATTGTCTTGTTGGTCGAGTCTGTTGTGCGTGTATTCAGCTGGAGTCGCTTCGACTCCAAAAACCATCTGCCACGATGCCGCGACTACCAGATGCAGCCGAAATCGCCTACATGGAGGCGCATATCGATGACACGCGCGTACCAGATATCATTGCATGTACATCGATATGCGGAGTCGCATCCATTGTCTTCGTCGTCCTCCGCCTGATTTCGCGACGGTTTTCAAAGGGTGGGATGGAAACGAGCGACTGGCTGATATTGTTTGCTTGGGTGAGTTTAACGGGTTGTCGCAGCGGCGTCTTTCAACGGTTCCAGTGCGATAGACATTTAGGCGCCGGCTTTGGGAACAGAAAACCGAGTCAATGACCAAATCGGAAGAGCTCACGGCTAATACTGCTTTATAGCTCAACTTTGCAGTTTTTGATGTCTGCTTTGCCATGTCCGTCAAGTATGGGGGTGGTCGACATATCATCCTCGTTACAGATCCAAATGATGCACGGATGCTTCAAATTGTAAGTCAACCAGGGCAGCCTCAGAACTGCATGATATTTAGAAGAGGCGAAAATCCGTCAGTGACTCTAATACTCCCTTCATCGACAGATCAATATTATCAACGAAAATCTTTATTGCGTCTGCATGGCCTTTCTCAAATTCAGCATCTTGAGCATGTACGGCGCCATCTTTCCACAAAAAAAGTTCCACTACTGCCTTTGGGCTGTCGCCGTCTTCATGACTTGTTGGGCCATCTCATGCGCCTTCGTTGCCATCTTTCAATGCACACCGATTGCTTTTGGCTGGGATCCGTCTATCACTGGAGGTACATGCGTCAATTATGGCGCTCTTGTTCTGGTTGCCGGAGTATGCAACATCATTACAGATTTCGTTGTTCTCGCCATGCCAATACCGCTTGTGCTCAAACTCAATCTCTCCACACAGAGAAAGCGAATGGTCATATTTACCTTTGCAATGGGTGGCAGGTAAGCTTCGCGATTGTTACGAACATATCAGCCCTCAAAATATAAAGTCCAAACATATTGACAGTTGTTTACTAGCGCATGTCTTGTTAGCATTGTTCGTCTAGCATTTGCCCTCTCAGTTGGTTCTACAGCAGATGGGAGCTGTGAGTCTATACTGCTACTAAAACCTGATAAAATCTCTCTCAAGAGCTAATGATCTTGTTTAGGGGATAACATACCAGCCGGAATGCTTTCTGTCGTCGAACTCATGGCCGGTATTCTAGCTGTTTCGCTTCCTGTCTATAGACCCTTGTATCGTCGCCTTGTGAACAAAGATAGAGGAGGTACACAACGATCATCTGAAAATCCCTATTCTAGCGGGTCGCGCAGTGTTAAAATCACAGCCGGAGGGTTTACCAAAAACATCAACGATGGTATCGTAGTAACCGACGAAGTCGACATAAACTTG